GTCGTCTTTCTTGGATTGTCTTCGTAGATTTGAAATGACACTTGTGAATTTTGTTTGTCATATACAATTCTCACATAAAGTGTGCTCTCGGTATTTGCATATTCATCAGCATATTTTGCATAACATGAATTTATTTTTATCTTCTATATTTTTTAACGCAGTCTGTAGAGAAGATGAAAGGTCAACTTGTATTAGCTCAATTTCTTCCCACATTTTTCGTTTCCCTTCAGATATATAATCTATATGAAACTTTACAATAAATGGAAAACTTTTATCTTCTACAGAACACAACTTCATTCTACGAAAGCCAATAGCTTTTGTGACAGATGGGTCTCTTAGCCATCTTAATGGGTAGTCAAAACGATAGCCTTCATGCTTTACGGTCTCTGTCTCAAACTTTTGACCGACATTAGTAAAAAGTTCATCTAATGGTTTAGTTGTAGCAACTCTTGAATTTTCTTTTTCTATTGGAAGCATATTTTATCTAGATAAAAAATGTCAAATGAAACAGCGTCTATGAGAGAAATACAACACAACCGACAACTCATTATGCAAGCTCTAATAAGAACACAACAAACTTTTCAAAACTATTCTAAGATATCTGAGTCATTGAAAGAAGGAAACTTAAAACTGACATTAAACCCAATGACAGATGAGTTTCTGTTTCAAGACAATAAGAACCATACTGTCTGTATAAATCCAACAAAAGGAACTTTAAAGAGAAACTATAAATGAACTTCTTTTGAAAGCAGATGTTGACAACAAAGCTGACAAAGAATATGTAGACGATGCAATAGCAAAAGAAGAAGAAAGAGCTAACAATGCTTAGCAACAAAAGAACATACTCATCCTGAACTAGCAGACAAAACATATGTTGACAATAAAATGTCAAGTGAAGTGACGAGAGCTGAAAACGAATATTCTAAAAAGACTCATACACATTCTATATCTGAAATAACAGACTTAAACGTTAGCCTTGAAAATAAGGTAGATAAGGGACTTATGGCTAGTGTGTTAGTGAAGAAGGCGGATAAGGAATATGTGGATGAAAAAGATAACGAAATGAAAGAAAGGGTTGACTGGTACCATGAATGGACATCGAAGACTTTTAAAGTTAAAGCCGATACAGGATGGGTTTCAGGATGTTTAAGACCTTAAAGCAGATAAAACTTATGTTAACGATGAGTTAGAGAAGAAAGCAGAACAGAAACCATACACATACAAGTTTTTACAACTGTTGCTATAGAAAGTATTGAAGGAACGGTTGAAGAAACTGGTGGGGATGCAATATATTGTAAACCTCTAACTTTCCACAAGGTTAACATCGGATGACGACATAACGACGATGAGAAACATTAGATGTAAAGATGTTTATGTCATGAAGGATGAACATAATATTAAATTCACTGCTCAAGATTTATATGACAAGAAAGCAGACAAAACAGAGCTTCAAACATTAAAGACAGAAATACTTCAAACATTATATCCTATAGGCTCTATTTATACGTCAATGAACTCTACCAGACCAGAAACAGTTCTGGTTTTGGAACTTGGACTCAAATAGTCGACAGGTTTTTGTATTGTGCAAACTCTTCAAAGGAAACAGGTGGAAGTAAAACGATTTCAGGTGAAAATTTACCTGCACACAGTCACTACATAGATTTAAGTACATCTCAAGCAGGTTGGCATAAACATAAATTTTGGGATTGGTCAGCAATGACAAAAGGTAAAGGATTGATGTTAAAGACAACGTTCAGTTTGCTATAAATTGTTTCTGGGGTGACACTCAGGGAGATGGAAACATACACATCGCGTTTCAGGATATACGCAAACACGGGACAAAGTAAAGACTACATGCACCTTACATGACAGTTTACGCATGGTATAGAAATGCTTAGTCGTCATTTTCAACTTCTTTAGCATATTCGTCAGGAGTTGTCTTATATTTGTTAGGAACTGTCTTTGAAAGTATACCACTTGAACTTTGACAAGTTTGAAACGAGGTCTGACAATAGTAGTTTTATCTTCTGCTTGCAGTGTGTTACATTTTGCATGTTTGCCTAAAACTTCATAATATTCTCTTGTATACTTTCTTCTATTTTTACGAAACACGAATGTAGTACCTGTCGGGTTCCCATTGTTGTCATAGTCAATAGTATTTTCATATGGGTCGCGTTTAGGTATTTCTATTTTTACTTTGTCACCTTTCTGAAGTTTGAAGCCCGGCATTCTTTCTTGTTTGTCTCTTTTGACTAAATTATTAAATATATAGTCTTTCTCTAAGTCAGGGTTGTTTTTCATTTCTTCGGGGGAGTGGTTTTCCCAAACCTTTTTGTTTACGGCTATTGTAAATATTTAAAACTTGTCTCATCTTTGCCATGGAGAAGTGTCTATATTTGTCGTCATATGACATTTCATTTGCTTCACCACCTTGTGGTTGGTTTAAGTCTCTTAACATTTTTATACAACCGTCAATGACACCAAGAGCAGAATGGTTTTGGTCGACAATGAAATATTGGTTTACATTTTTTGAACGCAGATAGTTTTTTACATCATCTGATTTGAAAGAACTTTCACAGTCAGATGTCAGTTTTGTTGGATGGTATTTGTCAACGAATATTGTCAAAGCAGTTTTCACATCTAAAATATTTTTGGACCATAATGGTATGGCTTCACAGTATCTTGTGTTTTGACCGACAAATATTAGCCAGTATGGAGGTCCATCTTCTCTATACTCGGAATGTTTTCCAAGATATCCATAAACCAAGCATTTGGTGTTGAACTAAAGATTTTTATCATGAGTGCTTTCTTTGTCGCTTTAGAAACATAGGGTCCTTGTTTGGATTCGTCATTTTTACCCCATAAGAAATGGTTTATTTTGGCGCATTAGCAGGAGTTTGCATCCAGATTTTTGCCCGCAGTTGGAACAATAGCCAGAGGTGTATTTGGAGTTGGAAGGAAGATTTTGAGTACATTAGGTATACTTAAAGAGAGCAACAACCTATTATACAAACTGTACAGAAAGTTTGGGATGTAGCACGAGATGCAACAAATCTTATTCCAAATCCTGAAAACAAGAGGAAAAGTTCAAGGATGGATGGACAATGTAGGAAGACAAGCAGGAAACTATTATAACAAAGCAAATGACTACTATAACCAAGCAGGACACTATATGGACCAAGGTGAAAGATTCTTTAACAGAGGATATAACCATGCACAACAATGGGTAAACAATAACCAACCGCAACCACCTCAAACTTGGGGAATGTAAGTTTTTTACTGAGATGAAATGAACAATACAGCATTGAGACAAATGGGTTCAAGATGAATTTGTCGACTTCCAGCAGTTACACACGTGTTTGTCAAGTTCTTCCTATACCTCAGGAAGTTTTAGACCGACTTAAAAAAACAACAACAACCAGTTGAAAACAAACCAACTAAAATTTTTACTGAGATGAAATGACCGAAGAAGTTGAAACGGTAGATTTGACACCACAAACAAAAAGTTCAGAACCATTGTCAAAACCTGTCAAAGACTTACAGATGATGAAGAAAAATTCAATAATAGAAAGTGCAGGTCTGGAAATACAAACCCTAACATAAAAGTCACTTTTCTAGAAATGGAACGGCTAGTATCTCAAAAAGAAACAGACTCTCACAAATAAATATTGAAGTCTGAAGAGCTTTCGAGACAAAAGATGGAAAAGTTTACTTCACTGACCAACAGTTTCATTATAGAACATCTCATTGACTTAGAGTCGAAATATTCTAAAACTTTACAACAAACAAAAAAGTTGAAAGGAAAACAAAAACAAATGGCATATGATATTTATGAAGATGTTGACAACACAACTGTTCCTGGCAGGTGAGGTAAAGTCAGAGAACCGAAAAGTGACGAAAAACCGATAAGAAGAAGAGAAACCAAAAACTGAAGATAAACAAAACCAAAGTTTATTTTTGGAAACTAAACAAGTCAACCTTCATTAGCTGGTATGGTGTTGGCGTCAAAGACTTATGGCAGCAGGTGGTTATGTAAAGTAAAGAAAAAAATATTTTTTATTTTATAAAAATGCCCCCATATGAATGGATAGAAAATTGCTAGAATAAAAGCAGAGTTGCAAAGATATGTTGGAGAGTTTCGAAGAAGTTTAAATATAGGAAGGGAAGACCATAAAAGTCTATGACAAACTGGCTGGTCTTCGCTACGAAATGGATTTGGAAACAGCAGTGCAAATTATCCAAACAGACTAGAGAGGAGAAGAAGAACGGTCTTATGGACATGCCTTTCGATGTTAGTGAACATTGCATGAAGTAAAAATTTATTTTAAAAAGTGACATTTTTTATTTTATTTTGAAATGTACGCTGAGTTTGTTGGAGAAGACCGTTGGGAAACTTGTTTTTTAGATGAGAAATATGAAATTCACTGTTGTCAGTCATTTGAAGTCAGAAACAAAAGAACAAAAAGAGTTTTAAGCGAATGGGACGAAATGACGGATATGCTATTATGAAGATGAGTGGAAAACGCTATCTTAAACATGTTGTCATTGCAACTCATTTTATACTGAATCCTAACAATTTACCCGAACAAATATATACAGAATTCACTGCAATGTCATGGTATTATTTGCAAAGAATGTTAAATCAGAAAGTCGAACTTCCTTTAGCAAATATTTACAGTCGATATGCAAGAGATGAACCATATTTATTTAAAGATGTTTTCGACTCAGATGCTATTATAGTTCATGCTTCATTTTCTGGTGCACAAAACTCTTTTTTATGCTTGGCAAATGACTTTTACGAAAAACCTACAAAGCTATATGAACCGCCGAGTGGAAGTATTTCAGACTTTCAAGTATGGTTTACAACAGATGGAAGAAAAGTCCAACATTTCGAAAGAAGTTTCCTATCTTACTGAAGAAACCCATTTTACTATATGTAAAAATCTAATGTCCGCCTAGTCTCTTACGTTTCCTGTTGAGTTCCATAGCATTCTTTAACTGGAGCTCATACATTCTGTTTCTCCTCTGGTAGAAAACATATTCTGGGTCAACTCCTGTGTTCGCGTCATCTGCATAAAGTTGTTTATATCCCACTTCAGGGTTTGTATAAAACTCTTTCCATCTCATATTTGCATACCATGGTGGCAAACCTAACGCAGCGTCATTTGACATGGCAGTTTGCATTTGTACATCTGTTGGCACTTGACCATAGTTTGCCATTGCAGTTTGTATTCTAACTTCATTTGGAATATTCTCTGGGTTTGGTTGTCCAGGTTGCTGTGCATTCGCTAAGTTCTGTGCGTCCATTTAATATTAGATAAAAATATCTCTTACGAGTACATATACTGAACATTTGCAGGCATTGGTTCATCTTCATATTCTCTGTACTTTTCTGCCACGTCAAATAAATAAATGACACAATGGAAAAAACCTAAAACAAGTAGTCCTATTTCAAACCACATTTACTTACTAATAAAATTTCTTTGTTATGACACTTTCTCCAGTTTATAGGACCTCTCTCATATTCTATCTTGTCATATATAAACTCATAGTCATGTATGTCCTCTAACCATCTCATAACGGTTTCCAAACCACTTTTATCGGATGTAAAGTAAAAGCATGGATGGTTATGTAAAACGTCTAAAGTTTCTAAAGAGTCTCTCAAAGTCCAGTCTACTTGGTATTGAAAATCCCATGTGTTATAGAACGGCGGGTCCACTATAAAGAAAACATTTTCCTTGTCTTTATATTTTTCATACAAATCTGTCCAATGACATCTCACAAACTCTATACCCTCAATATATTTTTCTATGTCCTCTTTGAAAACATTTGTATAGTTAAGATATAAAACTTTTGACATAAGTGTTTCAATGTCATGAACTCTTATAGCACCACTATATAATAGTCTAGCAGATATACTATCCCAGTCTATATATTCTGCTTTTTTCAAAACCTCTCTCACAATATTTTTCTTATCTAATGGTATACGTTCCATCTTACCTATCTGAATCTTTTCTTTTAACTCTTTCAATATATTGTTTGTGTCTGGTATATGTTTGAGACGGTCCATATAGTTGTCGAAGTCATTGCATATAATCTTTGAGTCTGGGAATATTATATGGCACAAATGGGATATATAGAAACTTCCACCGAACAAATCTACAAATGTTAGACCATTCGGTAGTTTCTTAAGTTCTCTCAATATAATATCTTTACATCTACTCTTATTTCCAAAGAACGGTAACGGTGGTTTTGTAAAATTCATTTATATATAATAATAAAAATGTTTTTTCCTGAAAAGTGACAGAAAAGTGACAAAACATGAAAACATATATAATTTGTGAAAAGCGACACATTATATAATGTTTTCGACCCAGAAGAAGGCTTCTTCCCAGAAGCAATGGAGGAAGAAGAAGAGTCCTCCGAATAAAAACTTCATTTATACTAAACATCAACATCAGGGCTAGAAGGCACGAAGTGCCTGGAAGCCCCATTACCTTTTTTTTTTTTTTTTTTTTAATCATTTGGATATAACCTGGCATATTAGGGAGTTTTGTCAACAACTCAGTGCTGGGATCAAGATAGTTTGTAATCCAAAAGTAGAAACGTTCCTTGGTGTCTTGTTCTGGCTTCCTGCAAAATCTGTGATTTGCAGGATTCTTCTTAATATTGTCAGAAATTGCGCAAATCATGTCCATCGTCGTCAATTCTTCACCATTGATGTTAAAACGATTTCGATTACGGTAATTTCTTTTCTCTTGCAATTCTTTTTCTGCAGGAGTCAATTCACGAACATACTTATTATGTTTGAGAGCTTCTACAGAACAAGGGCAAAGACCGCAGGCGGCGGCAGCATTTTGAACCGTTCTTAATGATACTGATTCTTGCCATGCGCTAATAAATGAGTAGATAATGGCGTAGCGCATCATTGCAGCATTGCTGTTGAACTCTTGCTTCGGTGCCTTAATGTAATCTCTCAGATAATCCGTGAATTTGGACTTTAATCTTTTGGCAATGCCAACATCAAATACTTGTAAAATGTGTGTTGTATGTGCGGGAAGAACAATTAATTTGATGTTGGCACTTGCCAAAAGGAACAATGCCAGAGGATTCTCGCGGCTGGAGTGTCCATCACACACAATGAGAGCAGGCTTGTCACGTATATCTTCTGGCATTCTCTGGCGTTCAAAGTTAAGCCACTCGATGAAGAAAATGCAATACAATAAGAATACACTTCTGTTCACCCAGCCTTTTGGCGTAGAAGTAAACCAACAATGTCTTTCGCGCTGGAATACTTTCAGTTCTCTAGGTAGTTCTGCAATACATGGGAGAACAAAGAGAGGTGGGACAGATTTGCCTGTCATTGAGCATCCACATAAAGCTGTAATGTGCGGAAAGTTTGGAATTCCTTTGGCGATCATATGCTCTATCTCCTCAGGTAATGCAACTTTCTTCTTCTTAAATTTGTTTATGAATGTTTCATCGATACTAAAAATCAACTCCTCTGGAGTACTTTCGATTGTTTCACGATGTTTATCGTAGAATTCTTCGATAATTCTTGGTTCACACGCCATGTATCTTGATTCTTCAATCTCTTGGCATGCCTTAAGCTTGCAATGCAATTGCTGTAAAATATGGTTAACATAAGGTCTCGATACATCATCACCACCAAGAGTATTGATAACTTCTTCTGCAAGAGTAGGACAATTAATCTCAAGAAGGAATCTGTAACCATAATCTCTTCTGAGCTCTTTCAACTTGAACGCCTCGTCAATAATGTCAACTGCTTCTAGAGCTTCACCTTTGTAAGCAGAATCTTCGATAATTTCTTTTAAAGTGAGCTGATCACGCTCGCATAGGTATGGATCTGCACCGCCATGATTCCCTTTTTCCCAGTATAGACCTAATGCAGCTCTTTTAAGTGCAGTAGCAATGAGATTGGATGTTAAAGTTCCGAGATCTGGGTATTCTTCCTCCCATGCAAGCTTAGTTTGACTATATGTCATACCTTCGGCGCGACAATTGATGATAAACTTTTGTTGTCTACCAAAAAATTCGACTGTGAGAAATTCCATTTTTAATTTTAAACGAGCACCTGAGCCACGTTTTATCTGACTTCACCAGCCAAAAAGCCCCTGTACTAAGTGTCATGTTTTTGTTTATTTTAAAGTTTCTGCCATGTAATGGTTTACATTGCAAATTTTTTGAATACTTTACATCACCATAAAATGGCAGTACAAGGCTAGTTTATCGGTACAAGGCTCTTGAAATGACTTTATGGAACTTGATCTTGATGATTTCATTTTGGCTGTTACTGCATGCGCTAAAAAGCCAATTACACAACTGATAAACGAATCGGAAATTATAAAACTGTGCGATTTAGTCCTTGAAGTTTTTCAATCACAAGATATTCTACTAAATTTAATACCGCCCGTTACAGTTTGCGGCGATATACATGGACAGTTTACTGACCTTCTTAAAATTTTCGAAAAATGCGGTTCTCCAGATGAAGTCAATTACTTGTTCTTAGGTGATTATGTAGATAGAGGTCCTTCTAGTATTGCGACATTATGCTTGCTATTTGCTTATAAGTGTAAGTACCCTACAAACTTCTTTTTACTCAGAGGAAATCACGAATCAGAAGCTGTAAACAAAGATTTCGGTTTTTACAGAGAATGTGTTGAAAGTTACAGCAAATCACTATGGGAAAAATCCAATTCTACATTTAAATACATGCCAGTTGCAGCAACAATAAATAATAGAATTTTATGCATTCATGCAGGAATATCTCCAAAATTAAAATGCATTTATGATATAAAACAGATCCAAAGACCAGCTGAGATTGAAACCGACTCTCTTCTTTGCGATTTATTATGGGCTGATCCTGACAACAGAATTAACTATTTTACTGCGAATCCTCGCGGCGTTTCGGTTTTGTATGGTGCCGAAGCTGTGAAAAATTTCTTTAATGGGACGGATTTTGATTTAATAATTAGATCTCATCAACACGTTGATGAAGGATATTTGGCACCATTTAATCCAAATATGTCTGTTCTTACGATATTTGGCGTACCAAATTATATGGGAACAGTGAATAATAAAGCTGCAATGGTCAACATTTCTCCAGACATGGTTTGCACATTCACTGTTATCTCACCTCCTTCGTCAAGAAAGCACAAAAGTAAGAAATCAAAGAATCATAAGTAATTTATGGATGCTTTTATTTTTCAAATGAAAATTTATAAAAATTGTATGTTTTCTGTTTTAAAACCTTCATCAAGACAAATAACTTACTATATAGAGATTAGAAAGTTTTTTTATATGTGAGTTGAATCATGAAATATTTTTCGTGAAATATTCGAAATTGTCACTTTTTGAAAATACCATATTGGCAAGCATTAATGAAATCGAAGTTTTCTAGGAAATCAATATATATTTAGTAGATGCTTCTGTAAGATTTAAATAGTAGATGTTCTAATTTCTTTATATCCGGAGACTCAAGTTTTAAACTAAGTGTAATCGACCCGAAATCAAAGGATAATGTTTTATTCCAATTTTTTCGCTTTAAAAAAGTGACAAAAATGCAACCAGAAGATGTTGAAATATTTTTAGGCATATCAGAGATATACTTCAGACTTAGACCAACAATTTTGCCAGTTGCTGTTAGAGAATTGCAATCTATTACACAAAATAAGAAATTTTCAACAAATTTCTTAGATTATTTAACTAATGATAAGGAATACATGACAATTCTTATTGAAACATTTGAAAATGGTAAAAGCATGTCATCAAGACGTGTCAGCCACACATGCAAAAATACTACAGATTACATTATCCATTCATATCACATTTTGAAAAGAATTCTTTCCCAAAATCCAGCAACATTTAGTCAAGTGATTAGAGTTGTTTCAGATTACATCACAGGAAAAGTCGAATATAAAGATGCTCATGCAATGTTGATTGCCTTAACGAATAACGTCTCCATCATCAAGCTTTTGAATAAGAGCTTCATACAAAAGGACATTAACCATAGTAATTACGCCGAAACAAATGGAATGCTAGTTACAGAACTTCCTGACGAAGATACAGTAGAAAAAATAGGCGCACCAGACTTTGGAGTACCAGATGTTTCAATTGTCAAAGACAGAAGGCTTCCAATTACACCTATTGTTGAAGATCCACCAGATAAAGCTCATCAACGAGATTTAGCATGTTTAATATCGTTATCAGAGTCAGATGTTTCTCTAGTGTTCGACGAATACTTACCACCTCAAGTTGACCCCGAATTTCCAGATACAGTTTTCTTATATACTGATTCTCGCAGCGGAAATGAGAAACAGAAGATCGGACCATCATACATTGATAACTCACAGTTAAGATTTACGTCTGCATTTATCAGCCCGTATCTTGTTGATATTTACAACGTAAATAACCAATATTTGACCAATCCTTTGAACAACACCGGCGGCGAAGATAAAGAAGACAGGCAGGCAGAAATATTAACAGACCAAATATTCGAAAAGGATAAATTCGAAAGAGCTTATTTGAATTTCCCTGCAAAAGACCATGATTCCAACCTTAGATACATCATCAGCCAGTTATATTCCAAGAATTATTCGGCTCTTGTTATTGATTCTTCGTCGAAAAATCCGAAAATTTTCGAAAATGTTATTCGACCAAGAATTTTCAATGCGCTTCTTAACCACAGCTTGAGATTAAGCTGGAAATACTCTGATATTTACTTGGAGCAAGTGAAATTCGCTCCTTTAGCTTTTGCTCCTTATAAGTTCATTAGAGACGCAATGGGAAAGAAGAAACTTGCTAAATCAGCGGATTGGATATCAGAGATCATTCTCATACCTACATCTCAAGCAATTCAAAACGAATTTTATGAGATGAAATTAAGAGACTCGGATGTAAGCCTTATTGAGAAATGCATGCTATTCTACAGATACTGGCTACTGAAATACCATCCGAAAGACTATCCTCTAGGAAGAAATGAAATTTGCGCAACTGCATTTCCTTGGGATATCCTTTTCGCTTCGATTGTTAACCATGCGGACCTCGAAAACAAGATTGCTGAGCTCCCTGATATCCATGAAATTACAAGATTAGCACAAGAATCCCAAAATGAAATTTCAAAAGTTAATAAGAAGTCAAAAGGTACCTCAGACCAATTCATGACTGTTTGGAAAAAAGATGGCGAAGCAGTTAGCTTTTACATTAGAATTTAAATTTTGTTTGTTAATATTATTTTCTTTGTTTTGTTACTATTTAATATAAACCATTATTATTAATGTCAAAAACCAGACGAACAATCTACTATACATAATTCAATTTGGTTCCAATACAGCATGGGGAATTTCAAATATAATGATTGAGGTGATTAATTTGATCAAAAAATAAGAAAATATGAGTATGTAATGATATTTTAAACTCTAATTCCTTCTTCAAAATAATTCTGTCAAATTTTCCTATAAATTTTCCATTAAATTTTAAAGGAGAGGATGAAAGGCAGAGGTCCTGTGAAAAAGCGTAACACAGACGCACCCAACAAATCAATTCTTAATGCGTTACAAAAGAAAATCCAAGAAGGTCAGAAAGAAAAGCAATATTGGAATTTAATTAAAGATTCCCTTGATGAATCACCAGACAAAGCTAATCAATTAGTAATGGATATGATATTAAAGAAAGAAGACAAAGCCTTCTTAGCTGAATTGGCAAATTGATTCATTTAAATTTTCCAGCAATTACATGTTTACTAGTAAAATTTTCTTTACATTTTGTAAAAATACGATTTTACAATTCTTGGGTTTTAATCTAATCTACTAATTCTTGAATTTTTTTTATATAAATATTCTTATCGTTAATTCTGTAATGATTTTGGAAAATGCTTTGATAGTTTTGACCTACTTATACCATATACAAAACTTATACTTACAATTGAGATTCAATAAAATAAAGATTAATAAACAATTCTTTACTAATACATCTAGTCAACTAATTTGTAAAACAAAATATAAAGTTAGCAGAATCCAAATCTGCTAATAGTTTGATTTAACAATAACAAATGTTTTAATACACTTCTTTGTGTATATTTTCACTCACTTGGTGCTTATGTTAATGCTACAGCATGTAATAATAGTATAATAACGGCCGAGCTTCTTATTTCAAAGAAAAAGATGATCATGTAGAAACCACTCTTCATAATGCAGGATGGAGAAATAAAGAAGCAGTCGAACTTCTTTTCTTCACATGGTGTAAAGTTACAATGTTCCTATATTAAGTACATCTCTTTCAGGTATTTTCAAAATCGAATTTTCATAAATATCAAATATGACAATATTTCACAAAATAGAATGACAAAGTTTGCGTTTTGTGGTCATATTCCTTCATATCATTCATTAAGGCAATAACAACTTTAATTCTTTCAGATGATTCAACCATAAGATTAATTCTCTCTAATTTTAAAACGACCCATTTTATAATTCACGCCATTGATTGATGTGGTTAGTGTTTAACTATGAGAAAACCTCTCGATTTTGACTTTTCAAATGGTATTGGATTTTAATATTGAAGTTCTTACTGTCTCTATTCATATTTTGGCAATATTTGCTCATAAAATTTAGCATTATGCATTTGAATTAGTATAATATTCATTACATTCATAAAATCCATCTGATTACGCTAGCATGTCTTTCGAAATCAACAGCCTCTATTACTTATCAAGATATACATCGTAATGTCAACTTAATTCTACTTGAAATAGGAAAAATTATTTTTTGACACAAATTTTCGATATTCATAAATTTGGCGGTTTTGTGATATAAAAACCGTCAATAGAATTAGTCAATGGGAGATAATTTTACTCTTTGCTTCCGTAACCTATCATACAATACAACACGCCAAACATTAGAGGATAAGGTATCCCCCATAACCAAAGTCATAGATATCCGTGTTAAAAATAGAAATGGTAAGAAAGGATATGCTTTCGTAGAAGTTGAAAATGAAGAAGCAGGAAAGAAGGTAATCGACGAACTTAATAACAAAGAACTTGACGGACAAACAATTTCAGTTGAAGTTGCAACATCAAAGCCACATAGTTCAGATCGCAGAGATCGCCGCGACCGTAGAGACCGTCGCCGCTATCGCCGTGATGATAGAAGATCAAGAGACCGCCGTGATCGTAGCCCACCAAGAAGAAGTAGACATCGCGATTATTCCTACTCAGATGATGATTATGATTATGATTATCGCCGCCGCAGCTATCGCTCACGTCGTAGTTCTCGCTATGATTACAGTGATTCCGATGACTATTCAAGGCGCCGCCGCGATTCACCTCCAAGAAGGGACAGAAGGTCTGACAGGGACTCCCGTAGAGGCGATTATTCAGCGAGCGATTAAACCATAATTTATTATATATCCCAGTTCAAAAATTCCGTTAATTTCCATATTTCCTCCCTTTTCCCCTAAAAAAACAGAAATCCAATAATAGGTACATCCCAGCCCCTTCACCCATTTTTTTACTGGCCTTGTACCAAATATTTTATAACTTCCTTTGACAAATCCTAATTTGTACTATATATATTTGTTTTCTGATAAGTTAATATGCACTTGTGTGATCTTTTGAATTTACACAAACTGAAATTTATCAAATTAAAATTAGTAACGTTTGAAAAATTTATAATAATTTTAAATTTCTCCCTCCCTACGCACCACCTCAAGATTTTTTATGTACTTTTATGAAATACATTATCCATTTAAACGCTTTCGATGTTAATTTAATAATTTTATTAAATTATCCTTTCAAATTTAAATCTGATAATGATAAGAATAATTTTTATAATTATCTTGTTTCAAATCCATTAAAATTAATATCATTTATGAGTGAGCAGAAACAATCCAATTATTCCAAAAAACCATATAAAGGTAGACAAGATCAACGACCATATCCAAACAAACAATACTCAAAATACCCTAAAAAGGAAGAAGAGGAAGATATAAAGGAAGATGATATTTCTGATGAATCTGATGATTATGACCAACCAGATCTTCGTCATGGAGAGCAATGCTATGTACTTGGTCAATTCAAAAGTCTTGTTATTGATCCAAAAGCTTTCCCAACTAACCCATTTATAATAAATTTTCTTCACACATCTTGGTACAACATTAGACAAATACATAAATATTACGATGTAGGTTCTCAATTTTCAGTTTCAGTGGATCATTCCAAAAATTTTCCAGCAATGAGAGAATACGAACAATATACAACAAATCTAATTACTGGCCAACAATGCGTTGCTCATGGAGGACCTGAAATCGCCGATTTACAATTCCATTTATTTCCAAAAGGATTTTTTGCTCATGTTATGAGTATGAACTATCGTAATTTCGATAATGATATTTTTGCTGTTGTACTACATGGTGTTTTCTTAGGAATTACATCCCATGTTTTCGGATTTGACCGATCTTTCACAATTCAAGCAGCAGAATTAGGATTCAGCATATTAAGTGACCATTTATATATTCACTATCCTCCAAATTGACAGCCACATTGTTATATCTAATAAATATTATTTTGTTATTTTATTTTTAATTAAAACATAGAGATTTGCAAATACTATTATAATATTGGACGTCAAAAATGTTTTAATGCATAATGAGTCATTCATTATGTCGATATATCTCTTATAGTTACAAAATTGAAATTGTATTTGAAAAACGAAATGATAGATTTCATTTTTGATGAATCATACAAGATTAGATAGATATGGAGATTCTATATTCCAATCCTAACCATGATTGCATAATGCAGCAAAAATTGAAAAGTGAACGTTTAAGATTTTCTTGTATTTTATCAAATGAATATAGTACAGATGGTGTTCAATGATGTAAGGCAGAAAATACCGCCACCACAAGCTCAGACTCCATCTAAACCACTGAAAGGTAGCCTTTTTCAAAACCAAAACAAGCCAATGAATCAAAGCCAAAATATTCCTCTTCAAAATACTCCTTCTCAGTCGAAAGTTAAATTTACATCAGCACCAAAACTAAATGCTTCTCAAAAAGTACCAAAAACTCCATCCCCAATAAGAACATCACGAACTACTCCAATTCTTAAAGCTTCTCCTGCTGTTCCACAGCAGGAGCACGATCCAGAAACAGACGTTAAAGTTTTCCTTAGAGTTAGGCCAATATTAGATCAAGAAGCACAAGCTGATTTCAGTATTGATCAAAACGTTGTTATAGCTCATACTGCTACGAAAGAAGGAACGTCTCAGAACTATGCTGAAAGAAAGTACACTTTTACAAAGGTTTTTGATGAAAAATCTTATCAAGATGATATTTTTGTAGATGTTGCAATGCCATTGCTCAAACACTTTGTACGTGGCCATGATGGACTTATATTTGCCTATGGAGCAACAAGTGCCGGTAAAACATTTACAGTTCGTGGATCACAAGAAGATCCAGGCTTAATACCAAGAATTACAAAATCCATTCTTGGTATGGAACAACCAAATGGATTTGAGCGTGGTTTATTTGTTTCATGCGTTGAAATATACAATGAGAGAATTCAAGATTTACTTGGAAATAATAAGAATCCATTAAGAATATCTAAGGATGGATTCGGATATACAGTTGTTAAAAACGCAACTGAGATCGAATTGAAATCATTTGATGATCTCAAGAAGATTTTAGATACAATTGATAAAAACAAATCAGTAGGAACAACATCTTATAACTCTAATTCTTCACGTTCTCATTGCGTTTTTACATTAAAGCTCATTACAATTCCACTAGATCCACATACTCATCAAAGAATTGCTGATTTAAGCAAAATTACAGCCAGTAGATTATCCATTGTAGATCTTGCTGGATCAGAACGTGTTAAGTCAGGAGAAGGATATTCAAAGATTGTTAATGAAGCTAGAGCAATTAACAAATCTATGCTTACACTTGGAAAATGCATAAGAGGAATCAGACTTGCCAAAAACGGTCAAAGAAATGTTCAAATTCCATTCAGAGAATCAAAGATCACAGAGCTTTTCAAAGATTTCTTTGATCCAGTTTCGCAGAAGAAGACATATATTTCCATTATCATTAACATTTCTCCAAGTACGAAGCAATTTGATGATACATTGTTTGCTTTACAATTTGCTGCCGAAGCAATTCATTGCGACATCAAAAGTAAGAATGATGATGAAGATTCAGACGAAGATTCAGAGGATGATGCTGTTAGAGCTCTTTCATTTAATGAAGAAGAAGCTGATCAGACACAAGAACAAGAACCTGATGAAGAAGTTGTTAATCTCATAGAAGCAGAAGCAAAAATTAGACAACAAGTTTACACAGAAATGATGTCTAAAATGAAAGAATATCAAGAAAACCAAGCACAACAGTTAAGCCAAACAAAGGCTCATAGTGCTCAGTCTTATCCTAATAAGCTTCAGACAGCTTTAGTAATCAAAGCTGCAGGAGATCAACAAAGACTTCAACTCGAAGAATTCAATCGCGAAATAGAAAGACTAACAGTTAACATTGCAGAGAAAGATGCTCACCTTGCAAGTCTTAATGACAAACTCCGTCAGATGGAATTAACTCTCAGAGCTGTTATGCAAGATACAGATGAGAAAACTAAAAGAAAAGTCTCTTTGGAAGAAAGAGCTCAAAGAATTCTTGCCACAGCTCAAAAACTCAAAAATGATATTTCTGAGCTTATGGAACTCCATGGAAGAAAGATGGTTCAACTTAAAGCTCAACATGAAAAAGAAATATCTCAGAAATTAGCGCAAGCAAGACATTAGAATGTATGTATTTATATTTTTGTTTTAATAATTATTTAAAAAATTTAATTTCATTACCTATCAAAACAACACTTAAGTACCAAACAAATCATCAAATTTATTGCTTATTTGCTTGAATATATATGAATTTTAAAAAATCTGAATCTAAAACGACAATTCTTAAAGAAATATTACATTATTATTAGATTGAAATTGTATATATTTTTACACAAAATGATATTTTGTAAGAATTTCTACATTTAATCATAGATTTCATAAAATATTATTTTGATTTTTCAGATATGTTTATGAAAAGAAAAACATCATGAGGTTTATTAAATAATTTTTAAATAAAAGAGATAAATTCTATTTCTATAATAATAAAAAATAATATAACATTTTCTAATTCTTCTGGGCATAAGAAGCTAAATTCTTAAGAACCTGTCTAAAAGAGTGCTGATTTCCATCTAATATCTCAGCGATCTGCTCTTCAGACAGTCTAGAAACGATATTTGCGATAAATGACATCGTTTCTGCGTCAATCAAGTTCGTAAGCCAAGAACCACTGGCGAAGATGTTAACAGCAGTTGAAGTAAAGTTGTTGAGAACGAATTCTTCGCCTTGTGACTGGAATAAGTAAAAAATGAAGTGAGCAGCGAACGGAATATCATCATCATCGACCGGGGGCATTCTATTAATGATCTGCTCCATGTTCTTGTTGTTCAAAGACCCGTTTTGGACCCTTGTTATGGTACATAAAATTGTACTTGCTGTTGTCTGCAGCATATCATCGTCATTCTCCTTGTTAAGGATAGTAACGGCCTTGTTCCTTATATCTGTAATGTCTGACTTGTTGAAAAGCTTCTGTACGTTTGCGGAAATTAACATATTCAAAGCGCTCAAAGCAATATTCTTTGTTAGCGATTGCTTGGAGGTATTGAGCATTGATATTGCATTTGCCGCAATTGATTCTGAGCATTCGAGTGGTAATTCTGGGAAGGCGAAAACTAATGCAGATAATGTATGAATTATGAAGTAATGGATCAACTGCTTCTTCTTGGTGAGACGCTTGGTCAAGATGTCAAACAATGGCTGATGTATTATTCCTAATCTCTCTTTGCCAATTGAGAAAATTAATTGACGTAAAGCGAAGAAAAGTGACGCTTCAATTTTAGGGTTAATTTGGCCGGATAAAACCCCTGAAAATACTTCAATTGATTGATTGAGGTTTTCTTCGGTCATTTTCTGGCCAAAACTAATGAATAAGCCTCCCAATGCCCAGAATGCCTCGGAAATTATGTTGAAATCACCACAATCCTTGATTTTCTCGAATGTTGATTCGAAAAACTTTTGTGGATCGAGACCTTCAACATTTGTGAGCAAATCTGTGCAGTAGAACAAGGCTTTGAAGGCAGAAGACTGGATTTTTGCAGGTCCGTCGATGAATTTGATCAAAATATCAATAAATTTCGGTACAGTATCACTAAGATCGTTATAGAACTCATTCATGATACTTGCATATGCTGTGAGAACCTTAGAAGCCATCCTAACTCTTGGATCTTCCTCATCATTTTCGTCATCTTCGTCATCTTCGTCTTCTTGGTTTTCTTCATCATTGGCTTCTTCCTCGAGCTCTTCATCTTTAATTTTCTGCTTACGTGCTTCGGCTTCGATGGATTTTGGCAGTGGAACTTCCAAAATTCGTTCAAAACTCTCTGTTAAAGAAGAAACATGGGATTGTAAGCTATCAGGAATATTCTTTGCTAATGAGTCAATGCAAATAGCAATATATTCGTTCAAAACATAATTTGAGTCTGAGAAAGATTTTGTCAAAACCGCCAACAATTGTTCGGCCTGCTGAGCAGCCTTTGCAGGGGCAATACGGACGAGATAAGAGAAGCACTCGAATATTTTGCCTCTCAATTCTTCATCTTCAACTTGCAAATACTGGTCGAGGACTGGCATTAAAGAATCGTAGAGATCTGGGTTAGATTTGACCTTTGAGATAGCAGATGTGAAGCAGGACATGATACTTGAGAATATTTCTGCGTTTTCTGGTACAAATAAGTTGATAATGAACGATAATAAGTTTTCAAGATCTGAATAAACAATTGGCGAGCCATAAAGCAGTCTATCGAGGGTTTCTACAGAACGGCCAGCAGGAACCAACTGGGAAATTGCGTCTACGTAGTCTTCAAAGAACTCAGCAACGATATCTGGACTTTCTGTAGCAGCTTCGCTTATAAATACGCAGCAAAGGTCGAACAAATCACCATCGTCGATACATGTAGTGATTATTTCGAAGATTTCCTGTGCGTGTGCCGCTAAATCTTCTTGGCCATTCGCAATACAACCGGTAAGAGCGGTAATTAATACATACAACTGGTTGATATCGCTATCTTTGATCGCGGTCTGGCAACTGGCGATCAAAGTATTGATTACTTCCTCTGTTTCGTAGCCTAATGAGATTATTGAATCAAAAATTGACTCTAGAAAGCTGACATCGCATCCGCTCTGGACCAATTCGACACATAGGTCAAGAGACGTGTGCAATGTAAGCGGAACTAGTGTTTCTACGTCTTCTTCTGTGAAAAATTTTGGAGCAATGATGAGAATTGGATTTGTACAGGCGCGGAGCTCCGGGGAAATTTCCTTTTCAGCGGCTATTTCGAGTGTGGAGACACAAATCTGTGATTGTAAGGTTTGGAAGAGCGGAATTTGAATTTCTATTAAATGCTGAAGTAAAGTGAATATTGTCATAGCTTCTGCTTCATTCTCGTATGCTGTAACTGATTTCTTGGCAGCAATTACTAATTTTTCTGCGAAATCTGGTTTTGAATCAAATAATTCGGGATCTACGTTTTCTGCGTATGAATCTAAGAGATGCATAGCAGCTATTCTGTATTTGGAATCGTTTGATTCAAGGCATGGCTCAATTCGAGGGATTAAATTTGGAAATTGTTCATTATTAATTTCTTCAGCGATAAATGTTGTAATTTCTGAGAAAATTTCAAATCCGAGTAAAATTGTATCGTCTGAGCCTATCAATTGTAAAACATATTCGATATATTCGTTCCATACATCTGGTCCTTGAAGAAGAACGTCATTTGCACCAAAAAGTACTTGTCTGAGTGTTTTTCCAAGTGTGGGCATTTGAATTGTTTCGAAAAATAGAAGCTTGAGCTGCTCTGGATATACAGGACTTGCATCTTCACCGTATAACTCTGTTTTGGCTATCATTTGTCTAATAAAGATGGCTGTTTGTTCTTTTATCTGTAGATTTTCTGTTTTCTGAAGTATTTGAAAGAGAATGAAAACATTTTCGGGATTTTTCTGCAGTTCAAGCATGTATTTTGTAGATTCCTCGATTTGTTCATTGGTTCCATTAATACTCATATTGATATAACTAATGATCTCATCGAAGTTCTTTGTATCCTGCATTAAATCTTTATATCTATGGCCCCTTCAGAAAAAAAATTTTGTCTCTTTGATTTTGGCATCAATAAAAAATTATAGATATAGAATAAAAATAAACTAAAACAAATAAATATTATAATTTCGAATCCATACTAACAAAATTTCAAAAATAATTTTGGAATGAAATGAAATTGAGACGTAAAACATACTTTAATATGTCTAAATCTTGCAAAAACTAATAGTATTCTATATTATTTTTAATATCTTTATATGTTAATTTTTGGATGTTTAAGTTATGCATATTCTACTTTTGACTATAGAAACTCACTTAGACATATCCATATAAATCTCAAGAAACTGACTGAGTTGAGGGTCATTCTTAAAAAATGAATAAATTACTTGTTTATCATCATAAAAACTGACAGATATAATACATCATATGAATATATGTTATCCATGAAAATTATAACTGAATTCTATGATATTGTGCATAAAATATCAAATTTTTTGATCAGATATTTACAAGTATTAACTGAGTAATGCACTGTTGTAGGTAAAATACGAAATAGCTTAACCATATAATACAATAAAAAACTCTATTTATTCATATAAAAAACAAATCAAATATCATGTTTTGTCTCAGAACAGTATATCCAACAGAGACCGTTTCTGATTTCGTTAAATTCGTCTCTTCTATGGACATCAATTCCGGGAGGCATTGATGTATCAGGCGGAGGTGCAATTCTTGCGAAATTTCCATTCGGACAGTATACAATCAACATAGAATTTGGAAGTAAATTCTCCAAAATTCCTTTCAAATACAAATCATATTTTTCACATTGTTTTGGCTCATTCTTGAAATTGATATTGTTCATTCCTTCGAAATGACAGAATATCAGGTCATTCTCTGGTATGCTTTCAATCAATTTTTCATATGTTTCTTGATCGTTTTCTGTCACTTTTATCGTAAAATCTGCCTCGAATTCAACTTTTTGTTTTCTTTCGATGAAACAGAGTTTTTCATGCGAAATCAACATTTCCGATAAGAAATCTGGAGTCCTTGGTTTCTCCTGGACTGAAGAAACAGCTTCTCTCGTTGCTAATTTCACGAGTTCCATCGCTGCTGATGCATCTTCAATTGAATCATGTCCATTATCATTAGAATTGCGGAAAGGCTTGTTAATGTACTTCTTATAGATGGATATCAATGATGGCTTCTTGTTTGGGTTTGCATCATTTGGATAAATCACCGAAGTATCAACACATTTTAGATGTATCAGTTTAAGAGCTCTGAAATCGTTTTCTAATGAGTGTCCTACAATGATTGTGCTTTTAGATGCAACTTGGGATAGATATTTGACGGCTTCGTCGGGTGTTGCAGTAACATTTGATAATTTTTCTTCTGTAAGTCCAGAAAATTGGGTTTTGTAATCAATAACTTCTTCTGTAGGCTTAAACAGTTGGTCCATGACAACATTTCCTGATTTATCTGTAACAGAAAGTCGTGCAACTTCGCCACCTTTCTTTGTATAAACCATTTCACAATCTATTGAAATGATATCTCTAGTATTGGGATTCTTTTCTTCTGGAAGCTCTGAATATGCTTCTAATTCTTTATCTGATAGTATTGATAAATTATATATCGAACATTTTGGTTTTTTAGGTATTTTCATCTTGCCAACATGGATAGGATATCCATTGTTAAGCAATTCTTCTGGTTTTAATATCATTTCTTCAATATTTTTGAACTTTTTCTTAATTCGTTTTGGTTTTTGATAGCCAAGCGTTGTAAGAGTACCAGGAATAACAAATCCATCCTTTTCTAGTGCTTGTATATTAATTGGAAAGTTATTTTTGCTAATATTAACGAAATTTGGAAGTAGATTTTTGTATTCTTCGTATCTTTTTGTATCCAATCCTTCAAAAAATACGACAACTACGTTTTTGCATAATGCATGATGTTCCAAAGTTAAGTACTTTGGTGGAAGTGCAAGGTCGTAAATTGATTTAACAGTATCTTGAATAAATTTTGGATTTATTGGCTCTTCCATCTTATCGTGATCATCAGCTGTAATGTTTAAAGTTGCATTTGGAAAAATATCAAAATATGATAATGCATCCTTTTCACATTCCATTGAAATGAAGTTCAAGAATAAAAGAATTAGATCCATATGCTAAATTTTGTCAAAAATCACATTTATCGTTCATTTAATCAATGAAAAAATAATAATGATATTTCTTGATTATGTGTATATGCATATTAATTAGAGATACTGTTGATATACAAGATAATATATTATTTCTCATGAAATACTGCCACAATTTAACTATTTTTAATTAATTTGAATTGATTTGATGTATGCATAATTCACTTTATGAGCCATAAATATTTGTCCCTGTTATTACAACTCGATATGAGATGGAAATCAAATTGCCAAATATATACACATCATATCATTGAAATTTCAATCAATTAGGGGATCAAATGATTGAATAGATCCAATCCAACTCTTTTTTTCATAGTCAGAATTCAATTCTTTTGAAAGAGATTTGTACAATTCTTTATATTTTCAAATTTAATTTTTAAATTAAAATTAAAACCCAATATTTTATAGATAATCATTGTTAAATAAGATATTTTATATTGTTTTTAAGGAAAATTTATTGTTCAAAAGCAATAATCCGGTCTATAACTTGAATTTTGTTATCAAAAGAAAAATTGAATTGATTATTATCATCGAGGTCAATTGAAAATAAAATCCTAATTTTAATCCAGAGAGCAATATGAATAATAATTTTTCTTTATACGGTAGGACTTTCAAAATTTTCAGCCAATTATTTTCAATGATTTCAAACAATTGTATGTGTTTTTTGAATTTGGAATAAATTTTAATTATGAATAGCCTTCTATGCTTTCTTCGATTAAGCAGGGATATTCCAGAAAATGATAAAATCATTACTGACCTCAAAGGAATAGGATATGAGGCTTCCGAGGATAATTATCAATTTACTTATGTCACTTTTAAAAATATCTACCAGACCACTTCAAATAGTATTATACATACGAACGGAGAAATCCAGTTAAAAATGGAACGTTGTACAATGTTAAACTGCCAAACAAACAACCAAGGCGTAATTCTTGTCGATTATGCAAAAAGAATCGAGCTCACTCATTTTTGCTTCCGTGATAGTTTCTCATTTGCTTCAACCAATGGTTGCCTAGTGCGTGTTTCCAGTGATCCAAAAGAAATTACAAAATTAAGTGCAGTTTCAATGACTGGCGTAACCAATGGTGACTTTGGTGTTGATGCAAGAAGATGTGAGATAAATAACATAAACATTTCAGCAAATCGCGTATCAACCGAAATGTTGAATATTGTCAGTTTAGAATCAGGCGTTTTTCACTATTGTTATTGTGTTGATACTACAAAGGCAACGTCCGGTGCTGCCTTCGTTGAAAATCTCAATGGAAAGACATTAGACCACTTCTTATTTTACAACAATTTGGGAAAAGGTATTTACGCCCTTCAATCATCTATTTCGTTAACAGAATGCGGATTTGCAAGCAATGCAATTGATATCTACGTTGATTCTTCTACAGTCTCAGTTACAAATTCTCAATTTACAGATTTTTCTTCAAATGATAAAAGTAAAGTAACTTTAGGATCTAATTGTTATACTAAAGGATATGGATTACCCAACCAACCATTTGCAATGGAAAATCCAATAGGAGATCCAAATCATGAATGTAATTGCGCACAAAACGCTTTATCTGGTGCACCATATCAACCAGGAGAACCATTAACAGCTGCTATGACTCCATTTAACACTGCTTACATGACTCCTCATTCAACAGCTTTTTCAACTCCTTTCAACACTGCACAAATAACAAACGAACAAACACCTTTTAATACACCAATAATAACTGCAAAAGAAACACCTTTTAATACACCAATAATTACTGCTAAAGAAACGCCAAATATTACACCATTTATTACTCCATTTGTTACACCAAAAGAAATAAATCCAGATTGTGAAGTTGATAACAGAAATAAGAATAAGAAGAGAAATATCAGACGAATTAAATTTGTTTTAGCTTTGGCTCAAGTTGCACAGAATGTATGATAAATATGTTTTTTATATTATGTATGTTATAAATATATTAAATAAAGATGTTTTTTTATATAAAATTAAAGTTTTTATGTTTCTGTTAATGAAATAAAATGATAAAAGTTAGTCATATGAATTAGAATCATGTGCACCACATTCATTCAAGAAGTCTACAATATTCAAAAATCCTTTATTTTGAGCTAATTGGAGTGGGCATTCGTTAATAATGAAATTGTTTGATAATTAGCAAAAGAATTACGTGAAGCAATGCTTGATATGAAAGGAATTATAATTTCAAAAAACAAAGATAGATTTTAAAATATTCGGAACATAATAGAATAATGATAGATATTTGTAAAAAGAGAATAAGATAATTCAATAAGAGATATTAAAGGAACGAGAGTGTCATTTAATAATGTTAGACATTAAATGAAAACGAAAAATCTCATGATTGACATCGGCTCCATATTCAACTAAGAGTTGAACAATATCTAGTGAATTTTCTCTGATTGCACAAGTGAGAGGAGTTTCTTTAATATTATTTGAACTGATTAAAAATAACAAAGAATATAAACAGATACCGAATTCTCTTAATAATTGATAAACATTAAGATACATAGAATGAAATTAAATATATATAGATATGAGTCAAATAAAGAATATAATAATTAATTAAAAGACATAAAAGGAAAGGTAATTGCAAAAACCATTGAAAGATATGGAAGAATATAGAACATCATGAAAATAAAAGAAACATGAAATACATAAGAATGCCATAAATCAAAGATAAAAAGGAAAGGAAAATGAATACCAAAAAAGAATAAAAAATTTGAATTGAAATAGGGCAATTTAAAATAATGATGTATATTAAATGAGAGAAAATAGCATAATATTAGGACTGATATGAAATAACTAAGAATTCCATAGTTTAATGATAAATACCATTAATTGATATATGATTTCATAAAAGATGGGGTGATCTGAGTAACAATGTAATGTTATGAAAGCAATAACTAATATAAAAAGAAATAGATCTATATAAAACAATGAAAAATATGAAATGATTGAAGATATTATAAAAGAATGGTGGATGTAATATGAAAATAAACAAGCTCCCTATTAACTTTTGCTCCATGTTTAAGTAAGCATTCTACAATGTCTCTATTTCCATGTTTTATTGCAAATGTAAGAGGGCATTCTTCATAAGCATATATTGAATATAAATGGAAATAAAATATAATAAGTCAATGAAGGATAAAAGAATTAAAAGAATGCCATATGCAAATAGAAAATATTAGAATAAAAAGAACTTCATGAAATTTTGATGTATGTAAAAATAAAATAATAATGAATATGATGGTTAAAATGAATGTAATAAAAAAGTAATTGATATGAAAACAACATGAATGCTATGCATTAATGATAGATTTGAAAAGAATAAAAATTCTTTGATAAGTAGGTAATAAACATGTATATTAAAAAGAATTTCACAAAACAAAAATAGATATAATTATTAAAAAGACACAATTGCGCAATGAAAAATATAAAGGAAAAACGGATGTCATAAAACAAAGAATGATATAAAAGTATATGATAACTATATTTAACAATGATTAATATGTAATGAATAAAAATTCTATAAAAGGATGATTGAAATGAAAGGATAATAAAAAAACATTGCATTAACATTAGAACCATTCTCAACTAAGTATTCAACAAAATCTTTTGAATCTTTGAGAATTGCAAAACTGAGAGGAAACACATAATAATATGATTAATTTCATAAAACAATGACAAATTTGAATATAAATGGAATGAGAAAAAGGAAGGATTGATTTGACAGAATTATGAATGTCATAAAACATTATTGAATATGAAAAGGACAAGAACGCAATAAAAATAATGATAGACATGAAGAGAAAGAAAATCTTATAAAGGATCGAAGGATATGAAAAACAAAGAGGACGTAATAAAACAATGATAGATATAAAAATCAAGAGAAGGCCATAGAAAAAGGATGAATATGAAAACATGTAGTACGTAATCAAAAAATAATAGATATGAACTAAAAAAGGATATATTAAGATAACGATAAATGTGAACAAAAAGGGAATTTCATTAATGGAATGTGAATCAAATGAAATAATAAAGAATGTAAAATTCAAACGAATTTCATAAAAAATTATTCGATATAAAGTAAAAGGAAATGCTAATAAGCATTAATAGATATTTATTGAATAAGAATTTCATATAACAATGATATATATGAATAGTTAGAGAATATAATTAAGTAATAAATGATACAAAAAGATAGTTAATATAATTTAACTATAATTAGATAACAACAAAATGAATTTCATCAAATGTTGATTAATATGAAAGGAAATGTTATTGTATAATCAAATGATGTATATGAAAAGAAATAGAACTTCATAAAGCAATGATATATTTGAAAAGAAAAATGATTATATAAGACAAATAAAGACATAAGAATAAAATGAACATCATAAAACAGTAACAGATATAAAAATAAGTTGAATTGGTTGGACATCTAGATCTGCATTATGCTCATATAAGTATTTAAGAATATCCATTGAATCTTGTTTAATTGCTATAGTAACGGCGCATTCATTATAATCAAATAGATTCTATTAAATGATGATTGAACTTAAATGAAAAAGAATATTATAAACTTCGTTAATATCTGCACCATTAGTAAGTAAATAAGAAGCAATTCCATAATTTCCGAAATGCAAATGCTCTGGTAATGAAGAAGGAATTTGATTGAAATTTGTGACAAGGTATTCAGCAATTTCAAAATTGCGATAATCCAGGGCAACATTAATCATTGTATCAAAAGATTGACCTTCTTCTATCATTTGTGAAATTATATTGTGATTTCCTCCCTGAATCGCAAATGAAGCGGAACTTGTAGTGTATTTTGCTCCTATGTTCTTGAGGAAATTAAAACATAATTCTGATCCAAATTTGCAAGCGCAGTCGATAGGTGTCAAATTTTCATCATATTCTTGATTCACATCAATGTTTGGGAATTTGCTTTTAAGTTCGTCAACTTTGTCCCAAGTGATGTAATATAATGGATTTTCTTTTGAATAAACATCGAGAATTTCTTCGATTTTTTTAGGTTGAGGTTCTGATCCATCAAATTTGAAATCGGTAGATATTAATGTCTCTAATCTTTGATTTGATGGTGTCACAGAAATTGAAAAATCAGTTATTAGTTTTTTGTAAATTTGTGCATAAATTGCAATATTTTTAACACGCATATTTGAGAAGATATCAATTAAGTATAGCGCCATTTTGATTGGTGTTTTCTCTGTTTTGATTAAATCTGCAATTTGTGATATTGAATCAGAAAAATTGCTGGAATTGACTCCCCAAAGTATTGAAGAAGCTTGATATGGGTATTTAAAAACTTCAAGCGGTTTCAATTCACTAAAATTTATACTCTTTATTATTGGTTGCTGCCCTGAAGTTGTCATTAAATTGTAATGGGATCACTGTTCGGCCAAACAAAGCCTATCGTAGTTCAAAAATTTACCACCAAATGATGCTTCAAATTCAGTCGAAATAGCTGCAAAAATGATTTTAAAATATTTTTGAAAGAATGATAATGCTTCTCAATTTTGAATAGTTTACAAATTTAGAATATTTTGTCAAGCATTGAAATATTCACAAAATAGAAGTAGACGGAGGAATTTGGAATATTTTGACATGTATGTAGTTGTGCTATTGAATATTATACAAGAGATAGTAAAATTTATTCTTTAATTCAAGTAAAAACCAGCGAATCAATATGTACAGCAAAATGAGTTTATGGAGAAAATATTATTGAAGAAAGTAGCGTTTTTGATTGCAAGAAAAACGACAATCAGTATACAACAGCACTCTAATTATCTAATACTTTCTAACGTTTGCTAATATAATTTAATTATAATTTCTTTATCATATATAATGTTTACTAATATATTTAACAAAGGTTGGAAAATAATATTTTTAAACAGAATAAATTGAAAATACCAATATTCAAAAAATAAAAATAATATCATTGAAATTCTAAAGCGACTCACATATCATTTCCTTATCATCTTCATCCTCCATATCTGTAGGTGTTGTTGAGTCATCTTTCTTACTATCTGATTTAGAATCATCTAACGATGTTGTCTCTGAATAGAGTTGAATTAGTGGTTTGATGACAATAATTATATCAAGAATAAGAATTGTTGTGTCATTAAGGCAATATGTGTAAATCATCCTAATTGAATCAAATTTGTTCGTGTAATAAAGGATTAATGAGTAAACTATATAAAAAATGCCTCTGACTATACTTGGAGCCATTGCAACCCAGGCATATCCCATGCATTGCAAGAGTGCAGTAACAACCTCATTACACGCAGTTGTCCAGTTTGTAAAGAATGGTTTTGGAAGTAATTTCTTAGCATAGTTAAGAGTATCTTCTTCGTGGAGCCATATTTTTGCGATACTTACAGGAGCAAAAACAATAATTGGAACAAAAATAAATTGAAGAACTAATGTGATAGTAAGTGCATAATAAAAAAGAGATCTTACTCGCTTATTGTTCTTTTGGCTGAAAGAATACGATCCAGGACCTAATAAACCTTGACCAAATGCAATTGAAAAGCAATTTGCAATTGGCTGTAGTTTGAAGAAAACAGATAATGCTCTTCCACATGGTATTCCAACACCTGTTGCAAAGGCCGCTGTAACGAGAAAGTTAATTGCGACTAAAGGAGGGAAAAGTCCCATAATAACATTTAATATGTATGGAGATGCAATTTTCAACCCAACATAGGTTTCGTAAATCGGCTTTTTAATGAGATTTTTCCAAGATGTAATCGATTTGAATTTTTGTGTAAAAATTAGAAACGTAAGTACAAGTCCAGGCACGGATTGAGATAATGCGAATGCAAATCCTGCATATTTGAAAGCGACTTTTACTCCAAAGAGCAAAATTGGACCGAAAAATCCGCAATTGAGGAAAAATGCTGTAAATTGCATAATTCCAGCAAGTACTGATCTGCCCTCTGATTGTAAAAGTCCACATGACATTTGAAATGTCGAAATTAGTGGCATAAAAGCTAATTCTGGGATTAAATATTTTTGTGCATCTGGAATTGAGTCATCTGGACATCCAATATATTTAAGTAAAGGCTTTGCAATAAAATAGCATATTATTGGGATTACTAACATTGAAACAAATGCTAATCGATAAAGATCTGCAGTAACTTGGGCAGCAGCTTCATATCTGTTTTCTGCAATAAGTCCACTGTTGCGTGCTACGCATGCAATACTAAAATAAATATTTGCCGCCATACATAAATATCTGACTGTGGAAGCAAAACCGACAATTTGAACCTCTCTTTCATCATAAGCTTTTGAAATTAAAAGTAAATCAATAGCATCATGGATGGCTATACCTAAAAAATAAATTAAAGGCCCCACACTAAGTTGTAAGAGAGTACGTAGTGGCCCATGCTTTTCGTAACGCAATTGTTCTTCTGATAGTGGTTTTTGCATCAGCTTAAGTGATATATTTTAATGATTTATATTTTCAATTCAATTGATTTTTTTTATCAGAAAAATTTGATAGGAGATCATTTTTTACACAATCGGATAGTTGAATCGGTTACTGACATAGAGTAAAAATTAGCATTCTGTCCGATTTCATGGAGTTATGACCAACCGTTCATTCAATTTTGAATGGGAAAAAATTGCGTTGATTGAATTTTTGTCATTTAATAAAGCATCGTTTTTTAACTCAGCGAACCGCTATTTGATTAGAAAGGCTTAGCAAGAGTTTGATGTATTCTGTGTGTTTTTATTTATTCTTTACATAAACTCTCTGAATTTCATTTTCTTAATTTTAAAGATCGCGTGAATAGCAATAACCGAGAGGGCATAAATTAAAAATCCAAATGAAATTAATCCAAAAATATTTTCATTCAGTTGATTTTGCCGGGCGCGTAAAGGGTTGGCGTCCTAAGGCGTCCTGATGTAAACTATTCAATTTTTGAGAAGTTTACACTATAATTGAATAGTTTATGGCGTCCTGAGAGGAGATTTCAATGGGTATGGCGTCCTAAAAAATAGAAGAAAATGATTTTTTCTCGATTTTTCTAGAAATTGAATTTTTTAAAAAAGAAAAAAATCAAAACGTATACATTCAAGAAAGACTATAAATGAAGATTTTTCTATTTTTTTTCATTCTAAAACATCTTTTTTTTGATAATTTTTTTTTAATAAATATGTAAGAAAGATTGAAGAAAAAGTAAATTTACTTTAAGAAAGTTCGTTTTACATGATGTAAGACCCATAACAACTATAAATATTCAATTATTTAAAATAAAAAAAGAAAAACAGATTAAATGTATCTCACATCAAAATCCATTGACCTAAGGATGTTAAGTTTCTGTTTTTAAAAGTTGATATTTTTTTTTAATTTTAAGAAAATTAATAGCATGTTATTAGACAATAGGAGTGTAATGATATTGACTAAACAGAAATGAGAGAATAGAGATATAATTTTGATAAGCAATATTGCGAACAAATTCTGAAGTAAAATCGCGATCAATAATTGAAAATTACGATCGTGTACTGAAAAATGACGATCGAATTGAATGAATAGAATTATATCTAAGAAAAAATAAATTGTATTTAGAAGATGAACAAAGAAAGGTGTATGCTAAAAATCATTTAACAATAAATGGAAATAAAACGAAATTGTTAAAAGAAAAAAATGAAAATTGTTAAGGGTGCACACGAGAGGACCATGTAAACTTCAGAATTTAGAACCTTATTTTTAGGCATTATCTTGGCTACCTATTTAGGCTCGAAAAGCAAAAAATATCAAAAAATACAACTTGACTCCATTATGACCCTTTCATGGAGGTAGTTTTTATCCGCTAGTATTTTCCCTTTGAATCTCTTTACAATTCGAAATCAAATTCAAAACTCAGTAGAAGAAAGGAAGAATTGACTTACTACAGTTGTAATACGAATAAATACATATATTTAATTATTTTTATTTACATAATAATTGTTTGAAGCTCATATTCCATCAAATTTTTAAATAAAAACATTAAAATGTTGAAAATGTTCATATATTTTAATAGGGTTTTGGCACTTTATTGAGGAATTACTACATACATAGTGGAACTGAACTTGATATTTTGAAATTTAAATTATTTATCAAAATTAAACTCTAACTTGAAATTTATAATTATTTAGTCATATTTTGCATAATTCTAAGTAGATTTTGTAAAAAATCAAGAAAGAAAAATTTTAACGTGCTTTATTTTTTCTTTTTTATAATAATACATATTATTATATAATTAACATATTCATAATGTTTCACCCTTTCAAAAATATAATCCTCCTCCTCTCAAATAAACGTACATACGGGTGGCCTCTTTTTTCAAAAAATTAAAATTTGAAATTTTGGGCTCAAATATTAGAGATTTTTTCAACCTTCAACGATATATGTTGTCTATATCAGACCTCCTTTCTTTTTGATACTTAACATTGTTCCTAAATCTTAGCCGTTAAGGCTGTTCTGAAAATATTTTTTTTTCGAAAAAATTCGAAAAAAATTCTTAAAATTCAAAAATTCCTTAATTCCTGAGGATTTTGGGAAAAAGTTTTTACATGAACATGTGTATATTATATGAAGTATATTGATAAGGTAAAAATCAAATTTTATTGCATATTCATCGAGAAAATAAACTAACGAATCCCTCAAAATTGAGAGGGTAATCCTCCTCCTCTCAAATAAACGTACATACGGGTGCACCCTTAAATAATATATTATTTTTTAGTCATAAGAATAAAAATATAGTAGTTATAAAAGGAATTAGACTTCATATATCAATACTTTTTCTCTGTAGATGTGGAACGTTTGCTTTTCGATCTCTTTCGATGAACTTGAAAATATAAGTTATTATCGCTGAGAATCCTTTCCGAAATAGGAGCTTTACGTTTAGGAGGATTGTCGGATGAATTTTGTTTTTAATTGTTTGATTTTGTTGTTATGGAAGATTTTTTCTTATTTTTTTCAGAATTTTGCTTGCTATTAAGGGTGCCCTATAGACGATAGACCACCCTCAGAAAAGCACTTTTAAGGCTATTATATTGAGAACTAGAATCTGGATAATCCATTCATTCGAGTTCTAATAAGGTTAATTTTGTGATGTTTACATTATCGTTATAGGGCACCCTTAACTGAAACTTGTTTTGACGGCCCAACAATAGCATTTGTAGTAAGAAGAATTCCCAATAACGAGCGCATTTTCGACAATTGTTTTTCAATATGATCAAGAAGGTCCAGCTTATGTTCTAGATTACTAGACATTTGATTTGTAGAAGGATGGTTTTGATTTTCTGGTTCTAAATCTGTAGAGTCTGCAATATTTGAATTTTCGGAGCGAATTGGAGCATCTGAACCTTGATTTGTATCGGCTTGCTCAAAATTAGTTTGAATTGGAGTGGATGAATTAAAATCTGGATGATTTAATGTTTCATTAAATAATGCCATAATTTTTTCTATTTTTTCATTAATAAACTTAGTGATCATTGTATCTTTATCTGTTAGATCGATCGATTTGAGTATATTTGCATCATGAACTGGAATATTTTCGAACAATGAACTCGATTCTATGGAACCATATGGAGAAATCTCGTTCTGAGCCAAAGAAAGATCACTTACGTTGTATTGTTTGATAGAAAAAATTGTTTTCTCAAGTTCTTTTTGAAAGCAGTCAAGAATATAATTTTTGTAGCTATCAGTGATAACGGTTTTTATATGGCGCTCGATCTTCTGGTTATTTTTGATGGCGTTATATTTATCTAATTGGATTTGAGATATCTTCTTAATAGCTTCATAAATGTTTGGATGTTTTAACGAAGAAAATTCTGAATGCATACTCTCGAGGCAATCATTAGTGAATATTGCAGTTGCATTATTATATTGAGATATTAAATTGTAGTGCGGCAACCAAACTTTGTTGAAATAATCAATATAATCTTTGATCGAATCAACTTTATTTTGATTAATTATATGCATTGTAAGTACAAATTCTTCATGAGACATGAATGGAGTAATAGAATATAGCTTAAATAAAGAATTTTGTAAAGTATTGAAATTTTTTGTATAAAGTGCTACAAGTTTCCTGTGTAAAGCTTGTTTGAAATGAAATAGGCATCCAATTATACGGACTTTAGGGAAAATTTGTTGAAGTGCCTCTATCATTCCCTTTTCAAAATCACAATGAATTTGAATTAGCTTTGAAAATTGAATACCCTTGACAGTAAAAATATATTCAAATGCCTTCTTATAAGATTCAAATGTGCGGTTTTTCATGAATATAAATAAAAGTGGTAGATATTGATTTGTTGAAGGTTCACAAATCATAATTGTTAGCATCTGTCCTTTTTGAAAATGTTTTGGTGTAATTTTAAAAGTTCCATCGCAAAATAAATCTGTGGCTTCTTTTGCAAATTGAATTGCCTTCTCAAAACCAAAAAACATCGTCTCACAATTTGCTTGAAAATCATAGCCAATGAAAAACTGCTCGCCATTTATTAAACAAAAATTAGCAATTTCATCGTCTGTAATTTTTTCTCCAACAGAAAATTTTCTGGACTTATTATAAACTTCCCTGACCAATGAATCTTTAATTAATGGTTTTCATCAGTACCAACAGCAAGTTCTGTCATAAATTTTTTAATCTGCTGAAAAGTGCCGTTGTCTTCAGAAAATTTTGCCATTGCCTTATTGTATATTTCTGTCAGAGTCATTGATTTATGAAGATCATTTTTTTCATTTTGTAACTTTTTAAATTGTCTGCATTCGGGTATATGTTCCTTTTGTAAATCTTCGGAAACTGAACTGTTCTCAATTTTAACTAAATAACGTGCTTGACAAGAATGATCGATGCAACGGTAGTAACGTTCAATATTATTTGAATTAATAATATTTGTATGATCATGCGAATAAAGCATATCTTTGCGAACAATTGTATCAGGATATTTTCCAGTAACTGCGGGAATATTTTTAACTGCAATATAACTAAAATATCCTCTGACAGCTTTAGATTCATTTTCGGCGTATTTAATATTAAAATATTGAAGAACTTGTTTGATTATATTCGTTTTTTCATCTCTCGATGTTGATTTTTGGTATTTATCAGATTGTTCCCTGATAAATATTTTATTTTCGTCTGTAAAGTTTGCTCTTTTTTTGATTAAATATAGATGATTTTCCCATTAAAAAATGAAATGATGCAAAATTTACGAAAAGCGTTCGAAAATTGGATCAAAAATGAAAAGTAATACTTAAATGAGGAATTCTTTGAGATATTGGTCTTAGATTGAATGTAGCGTCATTCTTATATAGAATATATATTCATATCATCGGAAATATGATAAAAAGCATATAATAAATGTCAAAAAAGTGAACAAATAAGCAAAGTTTTTTAAAAAACAATGAAAAGTAATACTTAAATGAGGAATTCTTTGAGATATTGGTCTTAGATTGAATATAGCGTCACAAATTTCACAAATATAATTTACTATACAATTTTATTCATTTTTTTAAAATGGCTGACGACAGTCTGTATCAACTAACTCAACTAGTCAAGCATAATGATTATTCTTCGGATTCATTAAATCAACTTTATCAATGCATAAGTACAATGACAGAAAGATCAATTGGATGCTTGAATTGGGATAAATTTTTCAAAAAAATCACAGTGACTGATGAAGTTCTTTTACATTTTTAGCATCCGTTTTAAACATTGAAAAGATATCAGAATGTTTCAAGGATTCTATTTTTTATCACAATATTAATTGAAAAATTCAGTAATTTAACTGAAACAGAACAACAAACAATTTTAAATTCCTACAAAGCGGATAAATTTACATATTACATAATGTGCTCACAAATTGTAAAATCAAACTGGAACAATTTATCCCAAACTTTAGTTAATATTGCAAATCAATATTTGCCATTTTTAGATGAAGAAAAGCAAATATATATATTTACTGAAATAACTGGCAATTATCAAAATTTTAAAATTTCAGTTGCAAACTTGTTACTTTTTTATGAAAACAATGAAGAAAAATTAAGCAACTGTTTTAATTTAACATTGTTCCAGCAAATTTATTCCAAAAATGGAATCGAGCAAATGATATTTTTTGCTGCAAATACAATTTGTTGCAATAACACTTCTATCAATTTTTACAATCTCCTTGAAATTGAAGAAATGAATCCATTTGATTTTTTTATTTCTCAATTCAATATAAAGAGATATTAAATTGCGATGATTTTCCAAAAGTTACAGAAGTAATCACAGGTTTAATCTCAGCTTCAAATATTAATGCTATTATGCAAATTTGCCAAAAAATTTTGGATAAAATTACATTTTATAAATGTAATTATTGCCATATTACCTCAATATGGAATTTTATCACAAATGCAGCAATAATTCTTCCTGATGAAGATTTATTAATCAAATTATTAAAATTCATAGAAAAAACAGAAAAAGCAACAGATGAATTATTCGAACCGGAGAATGATTTGGGTTTCTATGAATATTTAAATTCGATTTTCTCAGATATTACATCTGCGAGAAATAAGCAATTTCTCTTGGAATTTCTAAATACCCATGAAGATGACTTCACTTATGATCAAATATTGTGAGGTCATTTTTGATCAACAAATTAATTGAAATTCCGATCAAAAAAAATTCACAAATTGGATCAAAAAAATCGAATCTCAAGTTAAAAATAAAAAATTTCTACATTTTTATCAAATTTAGATTTTTTTTTCAAATCATGCGAATTGATTGAATAATTGCATATTTTATCCCATGCATCTAGAAGTATGTGTAATATTTTTGCTTTCATCAAGAAATTGTCGAATTTGATCTTAATTTTTTTTGAAAAATATACTTTTAGAAAAAGAAATAGTGATTGAATAGCTGCCCATGCTGTAAAAGGGTTATTTTGACAAGTAAAAAAATTGTTATTTTTCGAGCAAGTCGAGGCTTTTTTACCATCTTATTTTTGAAAAATTTACGAAAAATTATATCTGAAAAAACGCTTCATTTTGATGTCTTACAATGATAAAATACCAATGTTGCTGGGATATAATAGCTACACCTGGACATCTACGACATTAATGCGTATGACAGGTAAAGTTGATTTCAAAAGTATAGCCTGGAAAGATTACAATAAATCAACGATAATTCAAAAAAATTTCTTATAAGTTAACATAATAAAAATTTAATTTTTATATTGCTTGTATTATACTTAAGTATATAATATATTTAAATCTTAGAATGAAAATTCGGGACGCCCTAGCTATTCAATTTTCCCTTAGGACGCCCATAAACCTCTCAAAAATGTGATGTAAATATCACAATTTTGAGAAATTTACACTAGGACGCCTTAGGACGCCAACCCCCCTTTTTACCGATTTTGCCAACTACAAAAAATTTTGAAAACATAGTCATGCCTTAGAATCATTCCAAGACAGCCAATTAATAAATCAAATTCTGATGAAGTGATATGAAATTGAAGCTTCAGGAAGAACACTGTAAATGCTCAATAATGCATTAGATTTTCTTCAAAAGATGATTACATCCTTTCTAAATTGTCATAGATTACTTCTGCCTGTATACATTTTATATGATTTTGTTCAATAATTTCACAATATGTTATTTGACCCCAATTCTGAGCAAATTTCTGATATACGCTTTGCATACTTTTGAATCCTTTATCAAAATGAGGCAAAATATGAATTCTCCTGAGATATTTTTCACTACCCCAATTTTAAAATTTCAGACCCGTAATTATTTCTTATTAGCATAATGAATCCTTTTTCTATTTTTCAGACAGTAGATCATGTTTTAAATAATATATCTGCTAGGAAAACTGATTTACTGTTATATAGTGATCCACAAAGCCCTGTTACTATATCAGATGAAAACAAAATTTCCTCAGCTAATGAATTATGGGCAATGTATGAAGAGCATTTAGGCCCAAATGGTAGATTTTGTCGTTCTTACAAGTTGTGGCTAAACTATACCGATACTCGCTCTGCATATATTTTAGATCAATTAAAAGATAACGAAGAACAACTGATTGCAGCGAATAAATCATTCGAGCAGGCATTACTTAATTTGTATTTATGCCCAAGAATATGGATTAACTATTTAGATTTTCTTGGACGACAAAAAAAGGTAACTTTATTAAGAAAAACATTTAACAGAGCACTTCAATCATTGCCTATTACCCAACACGATAAAATTTGGACTGAATTTTTACCAATTATTAAAGAAATCAAGTGTATTCCAACAGTTTTCGATTCATACAAGCGTATACTTAAACTACATCCTGAATATATCGAAGAAGCTGCAAGTTACTTTATTACAAACAAAGCATATAAAGAAGCAGCATTTTTCTTGAAAATAATTTTAGACAATCCTAACTTTAAGTCAGTAAAAGAAAGACCGAAATACTTCTATTGGTCAAAGATGTCCGATATCATTGCTGAAGACCCTACAATCGAAGATTCAGAAAATTTACTTAAGAACGGCTGCGACGACTTTGTTGTTGAGACTGGAAGAGTCTGGACATCAATTGCTGATCATTACTCTCGACTCGGCTTATTTGCTGACGTTTTACAAATTTATGAAGACGCTTTAACGCAAACAAGGACAGCTCATGACTTTTCAGTTGTTTACACGAGTGCAACAGAGTTTATGAAGCAGGTTATCATCAAATCTCCTGAATGGCGTGAATTATTCATGACAAAATTAAATGATCTTATTGATAGACATCCAATCTTATTAAATGCGACCATTCTTAAGGCAGAACCTAATAATATATTAGCATGGATCAATAAAGCGCCTTTATACCAAGATTTGCCTTACTTTTACGAACCAACAAAATATAATGAAATTTGGGATCAAATTAATGACATTTTTGACGAAGATACTAAGAATGAAATGTTTGTACTTATAGAAGCCATCGAAACTGTAAAGCCAAAGTTCGCATTTGCCGGAAATGTATCTGATTTATGGATTGCTTTGGCCAAACTATCAACAAACCCTAAAATGGTATTCGACATTATTCTTTTCGACCACGAAAACAAAGAAAATGAAAAACCAGCTTTAACTAACGAAGATTGTGTCAGAATCTACTTGTTTTACTGCGAATACCTAATTGAAGAAGGCAAATATGAAAATGCCTTAGATGTGGCCCGCCGTTCCATCGATAACCGAAAGATTTCTTCAACATTAGGAATGAGTCGTCTTTGGTCGCTGGCTTTGGACTTGGAATGGTCTCTCAGTGGTTCATCATCCGTCAGAGCTTTATTCGAGCGCTGTATGAACTCTCCTGCCGTTACTCAACGCCATATTATCTGTTATGCGAACTTTTTGAAGTCCATTGACCATATCGATGACATGTTTCGTGTCTACGAGCGTGGTATAGCCGCAACAGGATGGCCGGCAAGCGCTCCAATTTGGTTAAGATATCTTGATAGTTTTGTCATGACTTATAAAGGCGAAAAGAGGGAACGAACACGTGATTTATTTGAAGATGCACTGAAAGGAGAGAAATGCGAGTTCTCTATTCACATTTATTTGTTGTATGCAGATTATGAAGAAAATTACGGTTTGTTTTCACACGCAATGTCAATATACAAGCGTGCCACAGAACAACTAAATGATAGCAGAGTTTATCATGTATGGATCAGCGCTGCAATGAGGATTTTTGGTGCAATTAAAGCTAGACAAGTTTACGATTACGCTGTAAACACATTATCTGGTCAGGAAGCAGCAGATTGGTGCGTAAGATATGCAGCTATGGAGTCAAAACTCAAAGAATTCGAAAGAGCCAGAAAGATTTTCATTCACGGCAGCCAATTCGCTGATCCTGCTAAATGCCATGACTTCTGGGAGAGCTACGAGAAGTTTGAGACCGAACACGGCACGAAAGACACATTTGCTGAGATGCTTTCTCAGAAGAACATCGCAGCTCAGAAATTCAACTCCGAAATCCACATGGGAATGGTCAACGAGGAAATGGACACCGCGGCGTTGGATGACGAGAAAGAACTTGATGTCGTTGAGAACGCAAGGAAGCTGGCAGTCCTTGAGCAGAGGATTCCCAAAACAATTTATGAAGGTGGCCTCAACCAAGTCAGTACAATTAGTCAGCTTTTCTCTTCAAAGAAGACAAAAAAGAAACTTGAATTGTAAAAATTTTTTGTTTATGTGTTTTTTTGTAAATATATCTTCAAATTTTTACTTATACAACAATAAGTATACCTATAGCAAATATAATCAAACCTAAATATTAAGGTTTACACCTTTTTCTCCTGACTATATATAACTATGCCCTCAAATTTTTACATGTGCAACTGAATATGGAGAAAATTTTTGAAATTATAGATCTATTTGAAATCAAGGAGAGCCTAATACTTATATAGAAATACAGGATATACAAAGGCCTTTATTCTGGTAAACTATGATGAGCAAATTATAAAATATGAATTAGTTATAATCGATTTTTTGAACTCAGGAAAATTGCATAAGCATTAAATATTAGTAAATACGTTCGAATCAAGTTAGAAAAGGCAGAATTAAGCAGTGAAAGCAAATAATTCAATTAAACTATAATAGGGGCTAGTTATAAAAGTCGCCTGATTCTTCACCAGATGCATCATTCTTGTGTTATTAAAGTTGTTAACAATTTTTTTCGTTGCTTTCAATATGTTTCGCTTACCATATATGCTTTTTTTACCTATTAAAGAATCTTGAAGTTGCTAGATGTCTTATATATATTGGGACTGATATAGATATATGCTCATCTTGAAGTTGTTTTCATTTCATTTCGTATGTAAATAGAAGCTCATCTTGATGTTGTTTTCACATCATATAGACATACTTGATTAATATAACTTTATCATAGAAATCCAACTCAATATCCTGCCATTTTTAATGGAAATAAACTTGTTTTGATTGATAGCAATTATAATATGTGATGGGATGTATAATAATTCTAATCCGTATTTTGCCTAATTTAACTAATATATGTTTGTTATGCAAGTTCAAGATGAATGCTTTATACAAGTGTAAAAAAAAAGAAATCATTAATATATTATATGTTTATTCAGATAGAATGTTATTGCACTGCACCATGAGAAATAAGGAGTTTTTCGAATACTATATAGTGATTTTCTGTAGCAAAGTATAATGTCCATCATTATCTTTGATGTTAACATCAGCTCCTTGAGAAATTAGACATTCTGCTACATCGTACGCATATTTTTAATAGCATAGTGAAGAGGAGTTTGACCTTGATTATCTTGTGAATTGATATCTCCTCCTAGAGATTTAAAATGCTTTATCATTGCTACACTTTTATTTTCAGCTGCAATATGAAATACAGATCTTCCTAGGTTATCCCGTGAATTAACATCAGCTCCATTAGAAATAAGAAATTTTGTTAATACTCTGTATTTGTTTGGTACACCATAGTGAAGAGGACTTTGTCCATTCTTATCTTTTGCATTGATGTCAGCTCCACTCTTAATAAGAAAACTTGCCATTTCTTTATAATTATTTTGAGCAGCTAAATGAAGAGGAGTACATGCTGAAGAGTCTGTAATATTAACATCGGCACCATGTAAAATAAGAAGTTTTGCCATTTTCATACTATTTATTGAAACGGCATAATGGAGAGGAGAGAATACACTGTACTGATTTTTTTTCATTAATTTTTGCTCCATGCGAAATAATCTCGTAAACGAAAAAGAGGATTTGACGCAGTCAAATCCTCTCTCTCAAAAAGTGAACTTTACATGGCAAATTTCAAATGCATGTAAGGTCCACTTTGATCAGTTTCAGGATGGAATTGGAGGCCATGAGGTACTGACATTGCATCAGTATCTCATAGCCTCCAATCCCTTCAAAAAATGGGAGAAACTTTGGTCGAATAATTTAACATTCGGCCAAAGTTTCTCCCATAATTAATGAGAATGAAAGGGTAAGAGGCATATAGGGTCACTATATACCTCTTACCCTTTCATTTTCATTTGGAGGTCAACAAACCCGGAGTTAATTGCAAACAATTAACTCCAAATTTGTTTATGTTAAGGAAGGAATTGGAGGGTAAGAGGTACATAGTATGAATATGTACCTCTTACCCTGCAATTCCTTCTAGAAAGTTCCAAAACTTTGGGTTAATTGCAAACTATTAACCCAAAGTTTTGGAACTTTCAAGTGGGGATGGAAGGCTTTGGGGTATACATTAATATAATATACCTCAAAGCCTTCCATCTCCACTACAAATGGAGAAACTTTGTCCGAATAGTTTAACATTCGGACAAAGTTTCTCCCATCTTTCAATGTAATTGCTACCTGTGAGGTACTGACTTGAAGTTAGTGCTTCACAGGTAGCAATATCCAAAAATTTAAAAACATTTTATCAGTTCGTTAGAGAACTAGAGCCTCCTAGGTACTGAACCAGAATCAGTGCCTAGGGGACTCTAGTGATCTATATAAATCTGAGAAACTTTGAGGAAATTGTTCGACATTTCCTCAAAGTTTCTCAGCAATTTAGCGAGGAATGTTCGTTATCGTGTAGATATTTATAATATATACATGATAACAAACATTCCCCGCTAAAAGATGTAAAATCTTATAAGAAATAATTGCAAAAGAATAACAAATTGCAACAAATTTTATATGAAACTGAACCTTATGAGGTAGTGATTCAAGCTCACCGCCTCATAAGATTCAGTTTCAATCTCAAGTATCTCAAAAGTAAGGCTCTATTTTTTGCCATGTAAAGTGTCACTTTTCTGTCAAACTGTTTTTATTGTTTTCGTTTACAACAATAAGAGCACAATGAATTGGGGTTTCCTGTTAATTCCACATATGAATTTGAGATAAGAAAATAGAAAATGTTCACAGAACCGTAAAGACAGCAAGCTTCAATATGTGACATAAAAAATATGTCGGATGATGTATATCATTTCCATTCATTGAATTCTCTATAATATATTCTTTGAAATTATCAATTTGGTCATGCATAATCGTGTATTCTACATCTGTTTTAGTTGGAATCTTTGATCGAAAATAATCTACTTGGTCAGCACTATTGGGATCTTCTGAATGGGAAATACTTAAATCCATACACAAATAATGTAAATCTCCATGAAATAAATGTTCGTTTAATAAATCTTGGTAATTCATTGAAAATTTATTTAAGATTTGATTAAAAATTTTAAAATAAGTCTCAAGGGACCGAAAATTATACTGAATTGCTGAGAGAATGTTAGTGAGGAGACATCTAATTGGCGTTTTGTATTTGGTTATTAAAACTGATGAAATCAAATTGTATAAGTCTTCGGCAGCTTCATTGGATTTCAAACGAAAGAGTCTCTCATAAGCTACAATAAAATCATCATACTTCTGCAAAATCTCGCTACTGCTCATAAAAAAATAAGAAAAAGTAACATAAATTTTCCATCAACTTTTTTTTCACATGCATGTATATGATATACACTTATGGTTTTATAGAACAAAATTGACATTTGGCAAAATATGTGTTAGAGTAGGTGCCAAAAGTGGTTACTCTTAAACAACTGTCGGATTTCCGGGTGAAATCGTGACACACTTTCGTCTTTGGTAGATCTACTATTGATTGAAAAATGGTATATAAACAAAGAATTGGCGACCAATATTATGAAATCTATAATCAATGATATATTGCCATCTTATGTGCAAATTTTCAAAAAAAGTATTCAAATATCTAGTGTGGTGAATCGCAGAAAGTCCTCTAGATTTAGGTTGTTGACTATTTTCAATAATGAAGATATAGACTCTAAGTCATATTTAAACACATTATTTCAATAAAAAATGGACATCGGATGGGCCAATTTTGAGAAAACTTGATCAGCGTTGACCAAATCTCTTCTTTTTGATATCTGAAACGACAGATAGGTAGATAATGGTATGTACATGGTATGGTAATGCTTATGCAGAATGATATCTATTCTATCAAGAGAAAATAGACCTCGAAGTGTCGAAAATTGAATAGTTGTAAACTAAAGCGGTGATCCCTTAATAAATGTTTTGAATAGAATTGCTTTATTTAGGTTTTTAGATTTGTGGTACCTTATTCACTAAAGCATTCAGCTAGATATACAGTGAAATATTGATACTACGCAGTATAAATTCTTTGATAGAAGATAAAAAAAATTCAAGTAATAGTATAAGCACGATTCTGACGAAACATTTTGATATATTTGAAGATTTAAAAAAATATAATTCAAAGATTTAAATTAATGTGACTTTTCATTGTTGGCAATATATGCAGTAATAAGTTTGACCACTGCTTTTTTGTGATGCTCAGATGCTAATTGAAGAGCAGTTTTTCCGTTTTTATCTTTTATATTAAGATCAATGCCATGTAGAAGAAGACATTCTACCATTCCTTTGCTATAGGTGTTCTTTGCTGCAATATGAAGAGCCGTCATTTCATCATTGGTTGTTGAATTAATATCTGCACCTTGTGATAGAAGAAGTATGGCCATTTCTTTATAATTTCGATCTGCTGAAAGATGAAGAGTCGTGAAACCTTCATTATTTTTTGCATTCGCATCCGCACCTTCTGAAATGAGATATCCTACCATTCATTTATAATTGTTTATAGTTGAATAATGAAGAGCTGTGTGTCCATCAATATCTTTGTCATTTATATTACATCCGTGAGAAACAAAACGAATAGCAATTGCTTTAAAGTTAAATTCTGCAGCTATATGAAGGGCAGTTTTTCCTTTATTATCTTTCGCATTTACATCTATTTTGTGTGAAATTAGGAGATCTACTATTGATTTAGCATTTTCCTTTGCTGCATAATGAAGTAATGTTTTATTGGATTTGCCTTTTGAGTTAATGTCTGCTCCATTGATAATTAGAGTCTCAGCTGATCTTATATTTTCATATTTTGTTGCAAAGAGAAGCGCTGTCATACCATTATTATCTTTTACATTTAGATCAGCCCCAAGTGAAATTAGAGTTTCAATAAAAATTACAAAATTACACTTTGCTGCCAAAATAAGAGGTGTTTCTCCGATATCATTTTTTTCATTAATATCTATACCTTTGGAAACGAGAAGTCTTGCTGTAGCAGTACTTTGATTTATTGTTGCATAATGAAGAGCATTGTTCTCATTAACATCTTTTGATTTAACATCAGCACCCTGAGAAATTAGTGACTCGGTAATTCTTATTGCTATGTCATACGCTGATTGATGTAGAGGAGTAATTTTTTGTGATCTTTTGCATTAACATCTGCTCCTTTTGAAATAAGAAATTCTACTATTTCTAAACAGCCGGATGATGCAGCAAAATGTAATAGAGTCCGACCAAAATTATCTGTTTCATTAACATTTGCAGAATGCAAAATAAGGAGTTTCGCAACATTCGTACAACACTTTTTTGCTGCAACGTGGAGAGGGGAAATTCCATCATTATCCTTTTCGCATGTTTTTGCACCATGTGATATAAGAAGATCTGCAATCTCCTCATTTTTCATTTTTGCAGCCAAATAAAGAGCATTCTTTCCTAATTTATCCTTTACTTCAATGTCTGCATCATGTTGAATCAATAATTCTGCAATTTTATCATTATCCCGTTCAATAGAATGAAGAAGTGCAGTACGGGAAAGACTACCACATGTTTTATTTAAATCTGCACCTTTGGATATAAGAAGTTCTATCATTTTCTTATATTTCCTTTTCGCTGCAACATAAAGGATAGTTGATTTATTTGTACTATCATTTACATCAGCACCGTGAGAAATCAAAAACTCAGCTACCCAGATTTTCCTTACTTTTACCACTCCCCATGTAATTTCTGTGGAAAACGATAATTCATTTTTTTTATGGATGAATAGATCGTTTTCCTAGAAAGGACCTCATATCTCTGGCTAAAAAGAGTGTCAGATCCTAAATAGATTATTGATCTAGTGTACAAATCCAATAAAAAGCCTATTTTTTTGGCTTTTTTGGTGCTTATTTTTTCGAAGATCTACATGAATATGGGGAAACCATCGGATTTTTTTGGTTAACTCACATCTTCATGTAGTCTGGACTATCTTTCCTCGAAGGACCTCTTTACGGGTGTAAAAACTCATAAAGTTCTCAAAAGATTCATTCTCGATCTCCATGCTGAAAGAATTTACAATAAAAAAGAGATCTACGCATCAAACTACAGCCATAAATGAACTGAACCCCTAAAGCTCAGCTCTTAGTTTATCAAAAACGTCGAAATCCTTCTCATTGCAATCAAATTTTCTCAATAACTCATAAGAAAAATCGAATTTTGATTAAGCCGATGTTATAGGTATCACAAATACTACAAACTTGAGCAATATCGAAATTGCCAGCAAAAGTTTGAAATTGCATTGCTCATATTTGTTTTGTAAACTAAAAATCTGCTTATATTATTCATTAATTTTTTATATATTATTCATATACTTTAATAAAAACAATACTATTTCACCTTAAAAATGAATTTCATAAGTCAATATTATTTTTTTGAAAATGTATCAATTTTCGATTAAAACAACATGAGAATAAAATTTACGCAAAATTATTTTAAAAAATGGTTTTAAAAATTTATAATTGATGAAGAATAAGATTGCAAGAAGTTTTGAAGTTTAATTTTAAGAAAAAAAATTCGGATATTATTCATGGATCTAAGTAATCTGATATTTGAGTATCGGCACTATGCATAAAACATATATTTATAGTTTTTTTGGAGTTTTATGATTTTAAATATATTCAAATTTGGCAATCCAATAGATTTTTAAAAAATAGGTAAATAAAAATAGATTACATATGCAGCAGATTTAGAACATGAAACAAATCTTATAGTGACCCAAAAAAAAATTCATGATCCAAAAAAGAAAAAATTTGGTTAAATGGGAATCAAACCTTGGCATAATGAATCATTATGTCGGAAGTTTCCACTACACTACACCGGCAGTTCGAAAAATGCCCTTGGTAGTTCTATTTAATAGCTACTCCCAACGATAGGCGGTGTCCCCAGCTTTAGAGAGGTGGTAAAAGTAAGGCAAATCTGGGTAATTCATTATTTGCATCTTTTACAGCAAAATAAAGAGGTGATTTTTCCTTTTTATTGTGCTCATTGATATTCGTTACATGTGAAATAAGAAGTTCTGCAATATCTTTATTATTATTTTTAACTGCGCGATGAAGAGCTGTCATTCCTGATGAATTTTTAATATTTACATCTGCACCGTGTGAAATAAGAAGATCTGTTATTTCTTTGTTATCATGTTTAACTGCCAAATAGAGGGCAGTTTTGCCGGAAAATTCTTGATCATTTATATCAATTTGCTCTATTGCCATGGAATTCAAAATATGTTTACAAATCTCAATATTATTATAAGAAGTTGCATAATGCAAAATTCCTTTATATTTGGAAGATACCCTATTAAAATCTAGATTTTCATCATGGATGATGTCTATCGCCTGTGAAAATGCGCCACACCATGGAATTACAGAATTTTTATCTAGCTCATAGAAAATAAATAGAGCTTTCAAGTTTTGAGATCTTATAATATTAGAAAAATCCCTTAGAGATGGTAAAAGGTCTCTTTGAGAAAGATATTCGAGAAATTCATTATTATGGCTTTGAATAATATAATCCAGGCCACAACTGTCTATTTCATGGTGTTTCATGCATTCATTGATAATATCAATATTACCCCAACTAGAGCCAATAGGAGACATTTTTCGGAGATATTACAATCTGAAATTGATTTAATAAAAAAGAAAATGTTGACAGCTCCAAAATAGCAGCATGCTTCAAGAGGTGTAAACCATGAGAAGCCGGGAATTTTCAGCCTTTGATCCTGAAATGAGTTTTTTGATACGTATTCTTTGAATTTATCAACTTGATCATACATTATCATATATAAGACCTCATCTTCTTGTGGAAATTCATCTCGGTCAAAATCGATTTGATTAGGACGATCCTTCTCATAATCTATGCTCAAGTATTCTTGTTGTGCCCAAATATATTTTTTATAGCAAAACTCTGAATAGTCTAGAGAATATTTAGTTATGATTTGATTTAGAATTTTAATGTAAGACTTGATAGATCGATAATTGAACCTTATTGCTATGAGAATTACCAATATAAGTTCTTTAAAGGCCATTTTATACTTGTCGATTAAAACTGATGTTATCAAATTGAAGATTTCCTCCATAGACTCGTCTGGTTTTAAATGGGCGAGCCTCTCGTTTGCCTTTATGAAATCATCGTATTTCTGTAAATACTCAGAACACATAAAGAAAACGCTAATCTAAAAAAGTGACTTTTATTTTTCTATATATAGATATCTATATTACCCTAATATATAGCGTCTGTATCTTTCAAATTCATATCTTTCCAAATCAATCCACTCCATATCAATTAATAAAATCTGGAAAAATAAAAAATGCATTAGATCAAGTCAGAAAGCATTATTGTATTCCCTGCATTTCTAACTTTAATGCACAGAATGATTTCAAAAGGAAAAATAAGAAATCAGACAATAATTTCTTACTATAGGTCAAATTCTCGGTTTCAAACAAAACATTAGGATGGTTAATCTATCCATGTGTTGTTTCACTTAGACAATACTTTTTGAAATGGATCTATTATAATTCACTTAAATATCATGTATTATTGAGTATAAATATCAGATCCAGTGATACTGTTAAAGGATAAAATGAAATTAACCCAGTTAATTCAACTCAAATCTGATATTAAAACATAATGGAAGAAAAAAACTGAGCATCATGATAATGCTTTGCTAAAACTTAACTCTTATGAGTTAACAGGATGAACATATATTTGTTTTATTATCAAACATAAAAGATTGACACAGAAAATTCAATTTTTTGTCAATCGAAAAAAATTAGTCAAAATTATGTGCGGAATCATAAAGAAGCCATAACAATGCTTTCGTATGGAGCAAACATCGGGAATTGTCTTAATTGGCGAGCAAATTCTTCTTTGCTGATTTTCAGGCGTCTGAAGATATCAATAGGGCTGAAGAAGAGAGGAGGTGCTACAGACTTAATTTTAAGCTCATGGCCATCCAAAGAGCGGAAAATTGTGCCACGAGAAATATCTCTGTATCCGATCACAATTGAGGGGAATTGGATGTTAACTTGAGGTCTCATGTGTAATCTGTTCCTCTCAATGAGATATTTATAGTAAATAAGCATCTTAATTTTCTCGGCTAATTCAAGTTGCTTTTTGCGTAATGCTTCTTCTCTGCCTGGATTAGGTGGAGCGATGACCTCTTGTGGTTTAACTATTGGTGTTCTATTCGTTAAATGAATTTGCTTGTTATTCTTTTCGAGCAAATCTGCTGCAATGAGGACATTTATCACATCGTAAACTCGACGGCGTAGAGTTTTGTCTTTGCTCTCTTCGAGCGTATCCTTATCAAGCGTAGCGACGAATATGTCGGCAACTTCTTGATATGTTGTTGTAACTTTTTTTGTAATGATTTTATATATTGGGGTCGCTAGATTGTTCAAACAGAACGGTTTCGAAGCGCGTGTGGTGTGAGTTGAAGGAGTTTCCTCGGGTGGAACCTCCATTAAAAATTTTTTTTCGAGTATAACTTTTTGTCGCCTCATTTTGGTCATTACCGCTTGAATTTATAACTATTCCTATTTAACACATCTTTATTAGACAATGCTCTATATCCTGGAATGATCACTAATATAATTTTTTAATAATAACATCTTTTTGGCAAAATTATTACAATGTTTGTGAATATTTGCAGAGTTCAAATTAAAGAGTCTAATAGTGTTGTTTTCTCATGTGTTATCATTCATATCTAGCATGATCTCATAACTATGTTCATATCTCTTAGAATGCTAGAATATCAAAAATATTTTCAGTAATTCCAAAGATAATTTATGAATTACTACAATATATCTGCACAAAAACATTATTATATGAGTGTTACATCATAACAAACATTAAGAATAATTGTCTTCTAAATATTTCATCAAATCGTTTATCTTTAACTAATTATTTTACTTTAAGAATCACTAAACAAAAATTTACTACAAAATCCATCCAAAGACAAATTTTTCAAAAAATAATTTAAAAATAAAAATAAAAATGTTAATTAATCATCCTTTTTTAAAAAATATTTTTATCTTTACTTGTTAAGTGGGAGAGTACGGTTGAAGATGAGAGCTCCTGTCTTTGAATCATCATCTACGCAGAAGTAGCCCTTTCTCTCGAACTGGAATCTATCATGTGGCTTTGCACCAGCGATTGTTCCTTCTACGAGGGCACCCTTGATGACCTTGAGGGATTCCTTGTTGAGGGCGTCTGTCCATTCGCCTTCGATCTTAGATGTATCAGCGACACTGAAGAGGTGTCCGTAGATGCGGAGTTCAGCTGGAACTGCATCAGCACCGAGCCAATGGATGAACTTACGGCCATTGCGCTTAGCTGGTTCTTCCTCGACATCGCAAACCAACTCTGTGACCTTTCCTGTCTCGTCGTGAATGACGTTGACAACCTTGATGGCGATCTTTGCGTAGTTCAATCCGACATCGTTCTTTGGTGTCAATCTCATGAAGTCATCTGTTGGGTTCTCCATGAAATCTTCACGTTCGATGTAGATTGTCTTTGAGAGGTGGAGCTTTCTGTTGCCCTTCTCTGGCTTCTTCGGGAAGAGTGGAGCTTCGATGATCTTCTCCTCCTTGAGGTTCTGGAGTGTGACCTTGATTGGGTCTTGGACGCAGAATGCACGTGGTGAGTTCTCATCGAGATCAGCGCGCTGGATTGAATCGAGTGAGTCGATGTTGATGAGTGTTGTGACATTACGTGTGTAACCAACAGACTGGCAGAACTCTCTGATGGCTGCTGGTGTGTAACCACGGCGTCTCATGCCTGCAATTGTTGGCATACGTGGATCATCCCAGCCATTGACGTAGTTGTTGTAGACAAGTGTCTGGAGTTTGCGCTTTGACATGACTGTGTTTGTGAGGTTGAGGCGAGAGAATTCCCAAACAACTGGCTTGTAGATCTTGAGAGCGTCAAGAACCCAGTAGTATGAGTCTCTTCTGTTCTGGAACTCGAGTGTGCAGAGTGAGTGTGTGATGTTCTCGAGTGAGTCAATGACACAGTGGCTGTAGTCGTATGTTGGATAGATGCACCACTTGTCACCTGTGTGTGGGTGCTCGTGGTATTTGATTCTGTAGGCAACCTGGTCACGCATGTTTGGATTGACGTTCTTGTAGTCCATCTTGAGACGAAGTGTGGCCTCGGATGGTTCGTAGTAGCCGCATCTCATGAGCTCGAAGAGACGGCGGGACTCCTTTGGATCACGATCACGCCATGGGGATGGCATGAGCTTCTCACGGTACTCCTTGACTTCCTCCTTTGTCTGGTGGTCGACATAAGCAAGGCCTTCATCGATGAGCTTGAGAGCGAACTGGTAGAGAATGTCGAAGTAGTCGGATGTGTGGGTGATCTTCCAGTAATCGAAGCCAAGCCAGTGAACATCCTTCTTGATGCCTTCGATGAACTCAACTTTCTCCTTACCTGGGTTGGTATCATCGAAACGCATGTAGCAGTGGCCGCCCTTTGTAGCTGCAAGGCCAAAATCGAGAATCATAGCCTTGGCGTGGCCGATGTGGATCCAGCCATTTGGCTCTGGTGGGAAACGTGTCATGTAGAGACCACCTGTAGCCTCTAAGTGCTTCTGCTGGATCTCTGGTGGGTTCTGCATGGCGTTATCCTGTGGAGATGGGAAGCTGGCGACGATACCACGGAAATCGATCTTTTCTTCGTTGGAATCATCGGTAGCCTGAGCAGCTTGTTGGTGCTTGGCAGCAGCACGGGATTTGATTGTTTCTTCGTTAAGACCATTGAGAGCAGCTCTAACAGCGTCAACAACGAGCTTGGATGGAGCGAACTTCATCTGTGGAGTAGCAACCTTGGCGCGCTTCATGATTTCGGAAAGAGCAGCCTTTGTTCCCTTCTCGGCGATGAAATCGATTGAATCATCGATTGTCTTAGCGACTGCAGCCTTAACATCTTCTTCTGTGACTGTAACGCCAACACCTGCAGCAGCTTCGAGCTGTGCTGGTGTGAATGTTGTGTTGGCCTGAACGAATTCTGTAGCAGCAGCAAGTTGTTCTGGTGTAGTAATCTTAGAAGCACCGATTAATTCAGCAATAGCATTTGAATTTGGAACGTCACCACCGCAAAGCTTGATGATAAGTGTTCCCATTGAAGATGGGCATCCTTCAGCTGGAATATGAGCAGCTTCAATAGCTGTCATGATTCTTTCCATGATTTTCTTGTTCTTGAGAAGTTTTGGAACCTCTTTGCCGTCAACACCGATTGACTTCAAGCGGAGTTCTTCAGCACTCATTGAAATTAGGAGGCTAAAACCTAAAACCGCCGATACCAATAAATTGAGAGGAAAGTTCGACGGTAATGGATAAATATCAAATACGCGATGATAATATTGTGTTTTCCAAAATATATTTTTGTGAGCTCAAGAGGTCGAATCTATCGTCATTTTTTACATTGAACAGATTTAGAAATTTTGCATACAAATCTGAACATAATTACATGATGTTATATTTCAGATGTACATGCACTTATATGAAATTTTAATATGATTGCTGAATCTTTGAGTGAGAATTAAATTATGAAACGTAGTTGGGAAACAAATTTTCCTATTTTTTGTGATTGATTGATAATATTTCTTTGGACAAATAGTTGTTCTGGGATGAGTACTTTGAACATCTAAATTTTTAAATAGAATCATATCCAATTTGTGATTCATGTTGATGATATATCTATTTTGATTGTAAAATGTATATTAATTGTTTATTATATGGATTTTATTTGGCTATTCAAGTTATGATAATATGCATTTTATGTAATGAGATAAAATTTTAAATGAAAATAAGTTATATGTTAGGAAGGAAAAAGTAATGTTTATATTGAATATATTTTGGACAAAAATATTAAAAAATTGTTTATTCTTCACCATAATCTCCGTTAACTTCGTCACTTTCGCTTCTTGCAAGACGAAGGAATGCATGGTACATAACACCGAGTGCAGAAATGTTCTTATCACTTGTCTGGACGAAGACAGAAACTGATGAAACCCACTCGCTCTTTGTGAAGTGCATAAACTCATCTCTGCAGAGAGGAATATGCTTCTGGAGGGCCTTTACACCACCTGGGAAGACGCCATAGGTGATGAATAATGATTTGCATGTGAATGAAATTGCGCACATTCTTGCAAATCTCATTAAGAAGCGGAAATGGATGGAAAGAGCTTTCTGAGCAATTGGCTCGTTCGGATCCTTTTCGATAAGAGCCAAAACATCTTGTCCATCGGAAATTCCGTGCTGTGCAAACTCGTAGCAGTTAATTAAACCACGGGATGAGCAGATATCTTCCCACTCAACGGCATGGCCGACTTTTGAGCCGATGAACTTGATAAGCTCAAGTTCCTCGTCGTAGTTTGGCTCATCTGGGCCGCAAAGCTGGACTAAAGAGTGGCCCCATTCTGAGGCGATTACACGGTAAGAGTCTGATGAGTCTATTGGTACGATGAATGCTGCGCCAAGGCCGTAAGCAACCTGGAGGACAGCAGCTGCATCGCTTGAGAAGTATAATGGATACAATGTTGGCATTGTTTCGAGGGCTGGAGGCTTCCAGAGAGGAATAAAGTCATCTTCTAAGCCGAAGAATTCATCTGTTGAAATAAGACCGTGGCCAGGAGCCTGAATTTCATTAATAAATTCGAATTGGCATTTTGAAAATGAAAATTCTGAAAATTCAGCCTTGCAAAACTTGTTGTCGCCAGTTGACCACCAGTTTGGTATCTCAACTGAATCGCCTTCTATCGGACCTGGGAAAGAGATTGTTGTCGCGAGAATGTTAATATGCGGAAGATATGTTTGGAGCATGAGATTCCAGTCATCCATTTCACGAAGAATTTGTTGCTTTGAATATTTTCCGTGTTTAGAGTCAAAATATACGTATGATACATCTTGGTGAGCAGGATGTAAGCAGAACGTTATTCCATTCTTTGATATATGAATACCAAGTGTCGACTGCTTAAACTCCGCCCTATGAAGAATATTCTGTGAGGGAGAAAGTAGATCGTTCGACATTGATTTATTTTTCCTTTGCAAAAATTCACAGGTTTCTTCAAAATTCAAAATGAATTGGTTGGGTAGAGATTATTAGATGTATATTATTTTTATCTCAAATTTGCTCAAATTGGTTGAAGATCTCTCAAATTTTAAAAAGTGTCAAGCTGTAAAGATTCATTTTTGACATTTTGCCGGCAATTCTGACGGTAAATCTGAATTTTTGTCAAGATTTAAAGTGACAAATCATTATATGAAAGAGCGCAATCTCGCGCGTCTGCGTGATGCTTCATCAGGTCTATTACGTGCCATTGGTCGTGATGAGGCCAAAGCACTTGAAGTATTACCTTTTGTTCAAACAGTTACTCAAAAATTAATGTCAATTTATGTTCCAAACCAACTTTTTCCAAAAGGTCAAATGGATATACCTGAATTATCTGCTCTACCTTCCAGGGAAACAATGGATGAGAGATCTCGAATCGCAAAAAGATTATTCGGTTTTAATCCAAAAGATAACTATGTTGTTAAAGAAATTTCACGGCGGTTCGGTGGTCTCATCAAACATGGTGAATTGGTAGGTATTGCAGCTGCAATTGCTGAAAGAGCAAATTTACGTTTAGATCGAGATGCAAAACGTCGTAAAAATGTTCTTATACGTTGGTTCGATGAAAATTGGGAAACAATAGAGCCTTTCCTGGATTATGTTGTTTTGGAAGAAGTACCAGAAGAAGATGAAGCAGAATCAAATGACGAAGAAGCAGAAACACAACCTCCAAAAGAAATTCCTCCACCTCCACAAGCTGTCCCAACTCTACAGCCACTTCCTAGTATTCCAAAAATAGAAGAACAATTCAGTAGAAATGCAAGAATCGTTAAACCTTTACCTAGCTCACAACCATAATCGGAATGTAATAATACCTTATTTTGTATGAATAAAACTGTTAAGTTTTTCCAAAAAAAATGTTGACAAGAAATTATTTTCGAAATTAATTTCATTTTAATACTTCAAGATATTCTAGATAGAAAGATTGAAGTACCTGTTCCTGGATGATAAATTAGAATTATTAGAAAAGTACTTGGGGATTAAAAAAAAATTGTTGAAAAATATCAGTAGCATCTTTTGATCAGAATCGACTATATTAAAAAGATATCAAAAAGATAAGATGTAAATTAGATAGTACCAACAAAATTTTATTTTGCTGCTTTCTGTAAAAAGAAATCTTCACTTGGAGTTGTGAATTTCCAGAGTTCACTATTAAATCCATAGAAAACCCATCTTCCATCAAGTAGAGGTAATCTATCGCATCCACCAAAAATAATAATTTGATTATTAACTTCTACGGCTGTATGACCGCAAAGAGGGCCTGGGCCTGCTCCATTCATCATGGAAGGAACAATACTAACGCTCTTCCACGTATTCATATCAACTATATTAACCTCATTTACGCATCCTGTCTCAATTGTGTTATCTGTAACTCCGTAGCCACCAATCAAGTAAAGTTTGTTATTTATGAGTGTTGCAGTGAGCAATCTTCTGTCTACCTTGAGAGAAGGCGGTGGAACGTATCTTCCAGATTTAATTACAGTGTTATCAGTAAGACTGTACACGATAAATGACTGAGAAGAGTTTTCCTTAAATCCACCAACGATATACATCAAATCGTTGGAAACGAACGCTGCGTGGCCATATGTCTTTGGTAAATCTTTGATGTCGCTTTTTACAGTCCATTTAAACTTCTTAAGATCTAAGAAGAGAACATCGGCATTGAGTGGAGACTCGCCATCTGTTCCGCCAAAGATTACCATGTAATTCTTCCAAATTACGGCAGTATGTTGGAATCTCGCTGTTTTTACTGCATCGGGAGCATCTTTAGCAGTGAAAACACACCATGTAAGGTGAGCATCTGGGCTTGTATCTAAGAAATATATTCTTCCGTCAAGCTCTGTTGCATTTCCGCCTGCAACAATCATAAAAGAATCATAAACGACAGCAGTATGGAAAGATCGTGCAAGAGGAATAGGAGTAAGTTCCAGAGGAGATGGTGGATGATAATTAAAACCTTGTTCGATAATAACTTTGCGATTAATTGTTGTTGTAATTTTATTTGCTGAAGCATATGACCAACCAAGCATTTCATTAAAAGTAAGAAGATCATTAAGTGAGTTGTTATTTGAATCATGGCCGCCATAAACATAAAGTGTTGTGCGACCTGAAGAATTATCTTTGATTGCGACGCATGTATGATTAGATCTTTCATATGGATCAATACCGTATGATGGCTTGATTTCTTCCCATTTGTTTGTCATATATTTCTCAGAAGATGTCTTGATAGACTCGCTGTCGTCTTCCATCTTTTGAAAAATTTTTATGCAAAATCTCGCGAGATTTTTTGAACTTTCCTTCATAAAACATAGCTGCAATATCACTGTGATAATATAGGTGATGTCAACAGAGGCTTTGCTGGAATTCTTCTGCAATTCACAGCCAAATTGAACATTGAATTATCATTAGTTAGGTAATAACCTTGAACAGAATATAGCAAACGAAAGCATGCATGTAATATGCTTTGTTTATTTTCACTAAGGGTTTATATTTTAAACAATGAAGAATCAAAAATATATACCATAATAATATACGCTTTCATAAAACTAGAATAGCAAGTCATAAGTGGGGTGTTTACTGAAAATTCAATCAAAATGCATTACAAAGAATAATAAATACGGAACAAGATATTCCGTCGTAGAAAGGTTTATTCGCTAAGTAGATTTAAATCTCCCTGGCCTGATATTTTGAATCCCATGAAATAATAGGATTTCATGATCCGTAATTAATTAATAATTTTTTTGGAGAAGATACTAGACTAAATTTTACTGTTTAAGCTCACTGACAGAGAGGCCAGATACAATGGAACCGTCGTCCATAAGCATAGCAAACGGCATATGTTCAGTATTATGATAGAGGCCATATTCGCCTGTTTCTTTCTTGATGCAAATAACGCCACCGACATGTCTTGGAGACTTAGCGAAAGCGTTAATTGCCTCCTTAGCGGCTTGCATAGGATTCATCTTTGGCAAGCGCTCAGCAGTCTTAGCACCAAGTAATTCGACGAGAATTGCCTCACCGTAGCCTGTGCAAGAGCAGCAGCCCTCTTCATCGTTTGCATAAACGCCGCAGCCAGGGAATGGGGAGTCTCCGACACGACCAGTTGGAGCAAATGGTGTTCCGCCTGTAGAAGTGCCTGCAGCAATATGTCCATGAATATCTCTAGCAACGCAGCCAACAGTTCCGTGGTCTGGTGGTGGCTGAACGAAGAGATCTAACGGATCACCGTGGCCAGAAAATTGATCCTGGATATAACGGTTGTATGCTGTTTCGAACTTTTCGTCTGGTAATATTGGAATGCCTAATTCTTCAACAAATTTCATAGCACCTGCGCCCGAGAGAATTGAGTAACGTGGATCATCAACCATCTTACGAGCGACGTTGATTGGATTTTGGACGCCATGTAATGATAAAATTGCACCATATCTTTTATCACCGGTCATAATACCAGCATCCATTTGGTGGCTACCCTGAGCATTGAAAACTGCACCAAAGCCAGCATCTGAAACTGGGCAATCTTCAAGAACGCAAACTGTAGCAGCAACAATATCTTCTGCTGGTGCTCCTGTTCTAGCAACTTCGGCACCACGCTCAACAGCCTTTCTAACCCAAACTAATGACTCTTCCCTGAACTGCTCTGGAACATCAGAAGCACCAAGGTGGACGAGTATTCTAGGTTGGAACATTATGCTTCTAAAATTCTCTCACAATTAGAACCGTTCCGAAAAACGATGCTATCGTCGTTCTCAAACAAAAATCTTGGTCCATCGGCTCTTGAGAAAATGTCCTCAAATTATTAAAATATATCGCACTTGTGATCATTATCTTTCCGAATTTATTGAGGTGAAATCAATTTTTTTTCTTTTTATCGTTCTCCATTTTAAAAAGAGAAATCACCCTATTTTTCAAGATGGCAATCTGATATTCTGTTTATTTAATAGCAATTAAACAATGAAAAATGATCTCATCCAAGCGTGTCACTTTTTAATGTATTGAGGGTTCTTTTCTTGATCTCCTTCCGCATAATCTTGAATCATCTTTAATACTCTATTTTGAGGTATATTATCAATAACATCGACAACTATCCCTCTCTAAACTTATGATTCATTGACCATTTCATGAAAAAATAATTATGTTTGAAATAAACATGTTTTAACAATGGGATGATTCTACATGTAAGGAATGTGGCTGATTTAAAGGGATCATCCACTGTTTTGTTCAAATATTTCATCATGGGCGCGTAAAGGTTTTGCGTCCTAAGGCGTCCTGATGTAAACTATTCAATTTTTGAGAAGTTTACACCATAATTGAATAGTTTATGGCGTCCTGAGAGGAGATTTCAATGGGTATGGCGTCCTAAAAAATAGAAGAAAATGATTTTTTCTCGATTTTTCTAGAAATTGAATTTTTTAAAAAAGAAAAAAATCAAAACGTATACATTCAAGAAAAACTATAAATGAAGATTTTTCTATTTTTTTCATTCTAAAACATCTTTTTTTTGATAATTTTTTTTACCCAGATTTGCTTTACTTTTACCACCTCTCGAAAGCTGGGGACACCGCCTATCGTTGGGAGTAGCTATTAAATAGAACCACCAAGGGCATTTTTCGAACTGCCGGTGTAGTATAGTTGAAACATCGGACATTTTGATTCATTATGCCAAGGTTTGATTCCAATTTAGCGGAATTTTTTCTTTTTTGGATCATGAATTTTTTTTTGGGTCACTATAAGATTTGTTTCATGTTCTAAATCTGCTGCATATGTAATCTATTTTTATTTACCTATTTTTTAAAAATCTATTGGATTGCCAAATTTGAATATATTTAAAATCATAAAAATCCAAAAAAACTATAAATATATGTTTTATGCATAGTGCTGATACTCAAATATCAGATTACTTAGATCCATGAATAATATCCGAATTTTTTTTCTTAAAATTAAACTTCAAAACTTCTTCCAATCTTATTCTTAATCAATTGTAAATTTTTAAAACCATTTTTTAAAATAATTTTGCGTAAATTTTATTCTCATGTTGTTTTAATCGAAAATTGATACATTTTCAAAAAAATAATATTGACTTATGAAATTCATTTTTAAGGTGAAATAGTATTGTTTTTATTAAAGTATATGAATAATATATAAAAAATTAATGAATAATATAAGCAGATTTTTAGTTTACAAAACAAATATGAGCAATGCAATTTCAAACTTCTGCTGGCAATTTCGATATTGCTCAAGTTTGTAGTATTTGTGATACCTATAACATCGGCTTAATCAAAATTCGATTTTTCTTATGAGTTATTGAGAAAATTTGATTGCAATGAGAAGGATTTCGACGTTTTTGATAAACTAAGAGCTGAGCTTTAGGGGTTCAGTTCATTTATGGCTGTAGTTTGATGCGTAGATCTCTTTTTTATTGTAAATTCTTTCAGCATGGAGATCGAGAATGAATCTTTTGAGAACTTTATGAGTTTTTACACCCGTAAAGAGGTCCTTCGAGGAAAGATAGTCCAGACTACATGAAGATGTGGGTTAACCAAAAAAATCCGATGGTTTCCCCATATTCATGTAGATCTTCGAAAAAATGAGCACCAAAAAAGCCAAAAAAATAGGCTTTTTATTGGATTTGTACACTAGATCAATAATCTATTTAGGATCTGACACTCTTTTTAGCCAGAGATATGAGGTCCTTTCTAGGAAAACGATCTATTCATCCATAAAAAAAATGAATTATCGTTTTCCCCAGAAATTACATGGGGAGTGGTAAAAGTAAAGCAAATCTGGGTAATAAATATGTAAGAAAGATTGAAGAAAAAGTAAATTTACTTTAAGAAAATTCGTTTTACATGATGTAAGACCCATAACAACTATAAATATTCAATTATTTAAAACAAAAAAAGAAAAACAGATTAAATGTATCTCACATCAAAATCCATTGACCTAAGGATGTTAAGTTTCTGTTTTTAAAAGTTGATATTTTTTTTTAATTTTAAGAAAATTAATAGCATGTTATTAGACAATAGGAGTGTAATGATATTGACTAAACAGAAATGAGAGAATAGAGATATAATTTTGATAAGCAATATTGCGAACAAATTCTGAAGTAAAATCGCGATCAATAATTGAAAATTACGATCGTGTACTGAAAAATGACGATCGAATTGAATGAATAGAATTATATCTAAGAAAAAATAAATTGTATTTAGAAGATGAACAAAGAAAGGTGTATGCTAAAAATCATTTAACAATAAATGGAAATAAAACGAAATTGTTAAAAGAAAAAAATGAAAATTGTTAAATAATATATTATTTTTTAGTCATAAGAATAAAAATATAGTAGTTATAAAAGGAATTAGACTTCATATATCAATACTTTTTCTCTGTAGATGTGGAACGTTTGCTTTTCGATCTCTTTCGATGAACTTGAAAATATAAGTTATTATCGCTGAGAATCCTTTCCGAAATAGGAGCTTTACGTTTAGGAGGATTGTCGGATGAATTTTGTTTTTTATTGTTTGATTTTGTTGTTATGGAAGATTTTTTCTTATTTTTTTCAGAATTTTGCTTGCTATTAACTGAAACTTGTTTTGACGGCCCAACAATAGCATTTGTAGTAGGAAGAATTCCCAATAACGAGCGCATTTTCGATAATTGTTTTTCAATATGATCAAGAAGGTCCAGCTTATGTTCTAGATTACTAGACATTTGATTTGTAGAAGGATGGTTTTGATTTTCTGGTTCTAAATCTGTAGAGTCTGCAATATTTGAATTTTCGGAGCGAATTGGAGCATCTGAACCTTGATTTGTATCGGCTTGCTCAAAATTAGTTTGAATTGGAGTGGATGAATTAAAATCTGGATGATTTAATGTTTCATTAAATAATGCCATAATTTTTTCTCTTTTTTCATTAATAAACTTAGTGATCATTGTATCTTTATCTGTTAGATCGATCGATTTGAGTATATCTGCATCATGAACTGGAATATTTTCGAACAATGAACTCGATTCTATGGAACCATATGGAGAATCTCGTTCTGAGCCAAAGAAAGATCACTTACGTTGTATTGTTTGATAGAAAAAATTGTTTTCTCAAGTTCTTTTTGAAAGCAGTCAAGAATATAATTTTTGTAGCTATCAGTGATAACGGTTTTTATATGGCGCTCGATCTTCTGGTTATTTTTGATGGCGTTATATTTATCTAATTGGATTTGAGATATCTTCTTAATAGCTTCATAAATGTTTGGATGTTTTAACGAAGAAAATTCTGAATGCATACTCTCGAGGCAATCATTAGTGAATATTGCAGTTGCATTATTATATTGAGATATTAAATTGTAGTGCGGCAACCAAACTTTGTTGAAATAATCAATATAATCTTTGATCGAATCAACTTTATTTTGATTAATTATATGCATTGTAAGTACAAATTCTTCATGAGACATGAATGGAGTAATAGAATATAGCTTAAATAAAGAATTTTGTAAAGTATTGAAATTTTTTGTATAAAGTGCTACAAGTTTCCTGTGTAAAGCTTGTTTGAAATGAAATAGGCATCCAATTATACGGACTTTAGGGAAAATTTGTTGAAGTGCCTCTATCATTCCCTTTTCAAAATCACAATGAATTTGAATTAGCTTTGAAAATTGAATACCCTTGACAGTAAAAATATATTCAAATGCCTTCTTATAAGATTCAAATGTGCGGTTTTTCATGAATATAAATAAAAGTGGTAGATATTGATTTGTTGAAGGTTCACAAATCATAATTGTTAGCATCTGTCCTTTTTGAAAATGTTTTGGTGTAATTTTAAAAGTTCCATCGCAAAATAAATCTGTGGCTTCTTTTGCAAATTGAATTGCCTTCTCAAAACCAAAAAACATCGTCTCACAATTTGCTTGAAAATCATGGCCAATGAAAAACTGCTCGCCATTTATTAAACAAAAATTAGCAATTTCATCGTCTGTAATTTTTTCTCCAACAGAAAATTTTCTGGACTTATTATAAACTTCCCTGACCAATGAATCTTTAATTAATGGGTTTTCATCAGTACCAACAGCAAGTTCTGTCATAAATTTTTTAATCTGCTGAAAAGTGCCGTTGTCTTCAGAAAATTTTGCCATTGCCTTATTGTATATTTCTGTCAGAGTCATTGATTTATGAAGATCATTTTTTTTTTTGTAACTTTTTAAATTGTCTGCATTCGGGTATATGTTCCTTTTGTAAATCTTCGGAAACTGAACTGTTCTCAATTTTAACTAAATAACGTGCTTGACAAGAATGATCGATGCAACGGTAGTAACGTTCAATATTATTTGAATTAATAATATTTGTATGATCATGCGAATAAAGCATATCTTTGCGAACAATTGTATCAGGATATTTTCCAGTAACTGCGGGAATATTTTTAACTGCAATATAACTAAAATATCTTCTGACAGCTTTAGATTCATTTTCGGCGTATTTAATATTAAAATATTGAAGAACTTGTTTGATTATATTCGTTTTTTCATCTCTCGATGTTGATTTTTGGTATTTATCAGATTGTTCCCTGATAAATATTTTATTTTCGTCTGTAAAGTTTGCTCTTTTTTGATTAAATATAGATGATTTTCCCATTAAAAAATGAAATGATGCAAAATTTACGAAAACCGTTCGAAAATTGAATCAAAAATGAAAAGTAATACTTAAATGAGAATTCTTTGAGATATTGGTCTTAGATTGAATGTAGCGTCATTCTTATATAGAATATATATTCATATCATCGGAAATATGATAAAAAGCATATAATAAATGTCAAAAAAGTGAACAAATAAGCAAAGATATTTTTTAAAAAACAATGAAAAGTAATACTTAAATGAGAATTCTTTGAGATATTGGTCTTAGATTGAATGTAGCGTCATTCTTATATAGAATATATATTCATATCATCGGAAATATGATAAAAAGCATATAATAAATGTCAAAAAAGTGAACAAATAAGCAAAGATATTTTTTAAAAAACAATGAAAAGTAATACTTAAATGAGGAATTCTTTGAGATATTGGTCTTAGATTGAATGTAGCGTCATTTTATATAGAATATATATTCATATCATCGGAAATATGATAAAAAGCATATAATAAATGTCAAAAAAGTGAACAAATAAGCAAAGATATTTTTAAAAAACAATGAAAAGTAATACTTAAATGAGGAATTCTTTGAGATATTGGTCTTAGATTGAATGTAGCGTCACAAATTTCACAAATATAATTTACTATACAATTTTATTCATTTTTTTAAAATGGCTGACGACAGTCTGTATCAACTAACTCAACTAGTCAAGCATAATGATTATTCTTCGGATTCATTAAATCAACTTTATCAATGCATAAGTACAATGACAGAAAGATCAATTGGATGCTTGAATTGGGATAAATTTTTCAAAAAAATCACAGTGATGATGAAGTTCTTTTACATTTTTAGCATCCGTTTTAAACATTGAAAAGATATCAGAATGTTTCAAGGATTCTATTTTTTATCACAATATTAATCTTGAAAAATTCAGTAATTTAACTGAAACAGAACAACAAACAATTTTAAATTCCTACAAAGCGGATAAATTTACATATTACATAATGTGCTCACAAATTGTAAAATCAAACTGGAACAATTTATCCCAAACTTTAGTTAATATTGCAAATCAATATTTGCCATTTTTAGATGAAGAAAAGCAAATATATATATTTACTGAAATAACTGGCAATTATCAAAATTTTGAAATTTCAGTTGCAAACTTGTTACTTTTTTATGAAAACAATGAAGAAAAATTAAGCAACTGTTTTAATTTAACATTGTTCCAGCAAATTTATTCCAAAAATGGAATCGAGCAAATGATATTTTTTGCTGCAAATACAATTTGTTGCAATAACACTTCTATCAATTTTTACAATCTCCTTGAAATTGAAGAAATGAATCCATTTGATTTTTTTTATTTCTCAATTCAATATAAAGAGATATTAAATTGCGATGATTTTCCAAAAGTTACAGAAGTAATCACAGGTTTAATCTCAGCTTCAAATATTAATGCTATTATGCGAATTTGCCAAAAAATTTTGGATAAAATTACATTTTATAAATGTAATTATTGCCATATTACCTCAATATGGAATTTTATCACAAATGCAGCAATAATTCTTCCTGATGAAGATTTATTAATCAAATTATTAAAATTCATAGAAAAAACAGAAAAAGCAACAGATGAATTATTCGAACCGGAGAATGATTTGGGTTTCTATGAATATTTAAATTCGATTTTCTCAGATATTACATCTGCGAGAAATAAGCAATTTCTCTTGGAATTTCTAAATACCCATGAAGATGACTTCACTTATGATCAAACATTGTGAGGTCATTTTTGATCAACAAATTAATTGAAATTCCGATCAAAAAAAATTCACAAATTGGATCAAAAAATCGAATCTCAAGTTAAAAATAAAAAATTTCTACATTTTTATCAAATTTAGATTTTTTTTTCAAATCATGCGAATTGATTGAATAATTGCATATTTTATCCCATGCATCGAGAAGTATGTGTAATATTTTTGCTTTCATCAAGAAATTGTCGAATTTGATCTTAATTTTTTTTGAAAAATATACTTTTAGAAAAAGAAATAGTGATTGAATAGCTGCCCATGCTGTAAAAGGGTTATTTTTACAAGTAAAAAATTGTTATTTTTCGAGCAAGTCGAGGCTTTTTTACCATCTTATTTTTGAAAAATTTACGAAAAAATTATATCTGAAAAAACGCTTCATTTTGATATCTTACAATGATAAAATACCAATGTTGCTGGGATATAATAGCTACACCTGGACATCTACTACATTAATGCGTATGACAGGTAAAGTTGATTTCAAAAGTATAGCCTGGAAAGATTACAATAAATCAACGATAATTCAAAAAAATTTCTTATAAGTTAACATAATAAAAATTTAATTTTTATATTGCTTGTATTATACTTAAGTATATAATATATTTAAATCTTAGAATGAAAATTCGGGACGCCCTAGCTATTCAATTTTCCCTTAGGACGCCCATAAACCTCTCAAAAATGTGATGTAAATATCACAATTTTGAGAAATTTACACTAGGACGCCTTAGGACGCCAACCCCCTTTTTTACCTTTCATCATTATTAATAAAGGCAAAAATGATCAAATAAACACTCATTTCGAATGCCAGATTCGGCAGTGATAAGGAAATGGAAAGTTAATTAAATTATTATAAATTTTTGAATTTACTCTTTGGAATTGTCAATATATTTATTCACTTAATTATCAATATGTGGAGAACATCCTATGAAAAAAAATGGTATCAATATGTAACCTTTTTTGAAACCTAGTAAATAGTGCAGTTTTATGTAGTTTTTGTTAGGGGACAAATTGTAAATCTCAAAATTTCGTCAATTTTGAAAATCTGCTTCCCTCATGCTTTCCATTTGAACAGCATTAATGAGTTCATGAATAATATTTGATGGAAATAAATACAAATATTGAGTGCGGGACAAATTTGCCAAGTGTCACTTTTTCGATAACCTTAAATTACGCTTTTCTGATTTTAAAAAATAACCTTAAATTATATTTGAAGAAATTATGTCTATGATATATGTTTTATGCTAGAATCTTGGAGTTTTCATGCACTACACAAGAGCTCCAAGGTTTCAAGAGTGAATGCTCAATAGCAATTATAGAGATGTACCTTTTCAAAATGACTTTTACTGATTAAATTTAATCAATAGAAGACATTTTGAAAAGGTACCTCTACAATTAGATATACAAGAGATTCAAAGCTTCATTTCAGATAGATTTGAAACTTTGAAACTCTTGGTAGATTTTGAGTGAATGCTGACAATCATCTTTGAGAAGGTTTTCTTTAAGAAAACCTTCTCAAAGAGGTTTCTCAGGAGCCCTGAGGCTCCCTTTCGTAATGATTGGGAGCCTTGGGGCTCCTGAGACGAAGAATGGCTTCGCCGAATCTTTGATCAGCAGAGGCCAAATGAAAAGGCCTCTGCTGATGGATTCTCAGGAGCCCTGAGGCTCCCTTTCGTAATGATTGGGAGCCTTGGGGCTCCTGAGACGAAGAATGGCTTCGCCGAATCTTTGATCAGCAGAGGCCAAATGAAAAGGCCTCTGCTGATGGATTCTCAGGAGCCCTGAGGCTCCCTTTCGTAATGATTGGGAGCCTTGGGGCTCCTGAGACGAAGAATGGCTTCGCCGAATCTTTGATCAGCAGAGGCCAAATGAAAAGGCCTCTGCTGATGGATTCTCAGGAGCCCTGAGGCTCCCTTTCGTAATGATTGGGAGCCTTGGGGCTCCAGCAGCAGAGTATCGCTCCGCTCCATTAATTTTTTTTAAAAAAAGTGCCTTGTGGCAAATTTGTCCTGTTCCCACAAATATTTACGCTCATTTTGATAATTTACAAAAATGAAGAATCTGTCTTTTAATTTATAAAATTATTAGTCTTAGAGGTATTCCCTTAATATGTCAAAATAAAATTGATTGATCATTTTTATCATCAGAATCACATTTGATAACAAATCATTTACATTTTATTCTTTAAAAACATGCGCAACTATTGTGGAGGATCAATAAATCAGATTGTAGTGTTTCGAAAAAACTATAAATCAATTCAATTTGCTATCGCAAAAATTGAAAGTATAAATATTTATTTAATGACAAGTTAAATTTTGATTATCTATGTGAAAATGATATCTTCTGTTTATTTAGATTTTTGAATGAATTTGCATTTTCAATTAAATGCGTTAAGCAATAAAATTTCGAAATTGGTTTTATTATTAAATTATTAGTCCCATTCGCCTTAGAAAAATTTGAATGTTCATTCAAAAATTTCATAAAGTTATTTACATCTAAATTCCGGGATTCTCTATTATGCATATTGATTTATAATATTATCATAAATTAGTTTGAAAAGTCGAAATAATTTTTGAGAAGCATTTATTTGACAATGCGAGGACTCAAGAACCTAATACTAGAGTATGATGCACTTGATAAAGTAGGGAAGCGAGTTCGCGCAGAAACAGAAATATCCAAATTAAAGAAAGTTTTTTCAAAAGATAACATTCGGAAATATATAAAGAAGAAGAGTATCGCTAAAATATGTTTCCTTGTATTAACAGGTTATGAAATTCGATTTGGGTTCAAGCAAACACTGGAATTAGTTGAAGAAAAATCTTATGAGTGTCGACGCATCGCGTGGATGATGATTGTTATCTATTTAAACACATATCCAGAATGCAAATTGGATTTTGTTCCGAATCTAAAGAAGAATTTACTAAATAATACCTTCCCGGAATCGGCCAATTTAGCATTACTTGCAATTGCATCAATTTGCACTCCACAGCTTGTCAATTCCATGGCTTCAACTATAGTTGATATTGCCTTTCAAACAATTCTCGATGATTCTACTAGAAAAATTGCACTTTTAACATTAAGCTGCATGTATCAAACATCTCAACAGTTATACATCATTGAACATGCCGGCCCTAGAATTGCTCCACTCATGAAATCGAGATCTGTTGGTGTTGCCCTTTCTAGTTCTGTTTTAGCATTAACGATCGTAAAATTGAACGATTCAAGTATTACAGATAATATACAGACTGCTGCATTAGAAGCAATAGTATCCATACTTCTCAACAACGAGTTCAAAAAAGAATACGATTACAAAGGATTTCCTTCTCCTTTTTTACTTTCGAATTTATTCAGAATTTTATCATATAGAAGGATTTACGAAGATGCAGAGATAGAAAAGATGGATGCAATTGTCAACAAACTACTTGATTTATTCTCTGCCAGCTTCCATCAGAACAAATTCAACAGTTTATTGATGATTTTTAATGATGCGTTCAAAGTATTCGTCAAAATCCCAGATTTAAAGCTTGAACCATACAAAAGGATAATCACTACGCTAGGATTACATCTAACATCCTATTCTTTTTGTTTAGAATGTTTGTTTTTCCTTGTCGAAACACATCCTTGTTTTGTAACTTATTTTTCAGACTTTATAACATCATTAATCAAGATATCCAAAGAAGGATATCATCCTCTTGATAGTAACGCCTTGAATTTACTATTTTTGGTTACAACAAGAGAAAATTACCAAAAAGTATCAGCAGAAATGATACCTTATATTCAAACGTGCCCAGAATCAATCAGAGAATCTATCTGCAAGAAGATAGCCACAATAATTCAAAGCTTTTCTTCAGATAAGAAATACGCCAGAGAAAATTTACTCAAAATTGTTGAATATGGTGGCCAATACAGCGAATGCATATGGGGCATGGTAGCTCAAGCACTTTTAGATGATAAAGAAAACTACAAATCCGTTGTCGAAGAATTAATAAAATTATCCAAGTTCAATCCTCGAGTTCCAGGCCCAATGACCAAAATTTTATCCCATATACTAGGTATTTCCTGCCCAATATCACCATCAGATGCCGTAAATAGCCTTGCTCATAATTTTGTATTCCACAGACCTTCAACACAGTCTTCCATTGTATCCTCCCTTACTAAGATCACGATGCAGTATCCTTCTGTTAGGACTGCTGTCATTGGATACCTCAATGGATGGCTAAACACGAGCTATACAACAGTTTTACAAAGAATCAAAGAAAGTTTAGCGGTTTTGACATTGAATAATGTCCCGCAGCTTAAACTTTCAGCGCCAAGCCATTACGTTGATACAACTATCAACTTTAGGAAGGATCTTCCCAAAGCGGAGAATATTGTTTTCGATGACCAAGGAATCGAAATTTGCGCCGATACAAAAATTGATGTCAATAATTCAACAGCTGTTTCAAATCTTGTTGTGAAGAACAGGTTGCCAAAAGATTTGAAGATCAAGAAATGTGATTCTATATGTGATAAACATATAACAGCTGAAGGCGCAATATCCAAGAATGATAATGTTGTTAGAAGTGGATCATTTTTAGTTGTGAGAATTAATTTCCACATAAAAGGTCCATTTTCCACAAATCCGCAGATGGAAATGCGATTTTCTGGTAAGAAAGTTTGCAGGTTCCAAGTCCCTGTTTCTATTGTTTCTTTCTGTTGGCCATTTGATCTAACAATGAATCAATTTGGTGACAACTGGGGAAAAACGAAGTCTAAAAAGTTGACGGCTGTTTCTTATTTAATTGTACCTGATGGAGATGTTATAACAAGCATCAAAGAGATGTCGAAGAAGGTAAATCTCAGCGTTGTGAAGAGAGAAGGAGATGATGGGATTGTTTGTGCTTCAGGTTACTACAAAACAAGTAAAGGAAGAACAATTGGAATCCTTGCAAAGTTTTCATTTAATGAAAACGAAATGACTTTGAAATGCGAAGTTCATACTGTTAAAAAGAAAGCAACATCAGTAGCGATGACGATGATTAAGAAAGCTTTCTCTTATATGTAATTTATTATTTTATAATTTTTGTTTGTTTGTTGTTAAAAAAAATTAAAAATTTTGTTTGCGAATTATTTAAAAATATTTATAAGGCCTAGATGATTTTCCTCAATGAAATAAAAAAGCTTAGAAATGCGAATGATTGAATTAGGATATAATGCGGGGTTTTTTCAATCAATAATTAAATGGTAAATATAATAGCAGTCGATATATAATAATTCTTATTAAAGTTACAGATACATGAGTATATATCTAGTGAAGTAATGCGAATGGCACCATCACCTATATGGCCTTCTTCAAGAATATTGTCTGGACTGAGGAATGTTTGATTGCCATTAAGCATCTTCATGTCATAAAAGACAATGCCTGAATAATGGTTTGGACTATTCGTTGGTTGTCCATACTCATCTACTGCATTACACCCTTTATATCCGCTGATAAAACTAGAATCGCTTGATGCAACAGAAACGTAATGCATATTACGATTTTCAGATGTTTTCCCTGCATTACTGCCATAGTAACCTCCTCCGGCACCAGAACTTGGAGCATGAGTGGTATTTGCACCATCGGCCCCCTGGCCCAAAGAATATCCATGCGTTTGGTCAGTGTCAGATTTAGAAAATTGTTTCGCAAAGTAGCTGTCAACTTTATATCCGGTTAAATCTCCGCCAGGCGCACCAAAAGTTTTAAATGATGAACCCGATCCGCCTGCTGCTACAATTAATCGACTATAAAGAGACGACATGTCAAATTTATTAATCAATCTTATGTCAGTGGCGCCTCCACCTCCCCCTGATGGATCATCATCAAGTGGATCAAATCCTGAATCCCCACCACCATTGAATCCTCCTTTTCCATTATACTTTGGAGTGCATTTTTCTGGGTCATGACCTTTCTCTCCGATGAAGAGGAATAGCTTCTGGTTCTGGAAAAAGTGGACTTTTCCGGATACAAATGCACCTCTCCCACCATAATAGTCCGTCAGACTTACATTATCTGTGCATCCTTGACCACCCTGCGCACCCCAAAGTTCAAAAAGATATGAACCTCTCTTTAGATTGACCTCAACAATCTGCTTTTGACTATTATATCTGTATAATGTCATATACTATATACATTAGAGATGAATCACATAAAAAAGTTGATCGGTCAAACACCACATCAAATTGCATCTCACTTAAAAATTATCACTTCTTTTGTAGAAATCAATTTATTTTTAACATTAGTAATAGTTTGAATCAATTTCTTAAATAGTACAAATGTTCCTTTATTTGTTTTAAGCTCCATGTAATAATGAAAATGTTGAATGAAGATAATTGAAAATTTTCACATGAATATGAGAAATATTCTCTCATATTCATGTCATATAGTAATAAAAAATATTTATTTAACGTCAAACAAGCAAAGAATGAATGAAAAAAGATAAAAACTATCAGAAATGTTGCAAACACATGAGTATATATCTAGTGAAGTAATGCGAATGGCACCATCACCTATATGGCCTTCTTCAAGAATATTGTCTGGACTGAGGAATGTTTGATTGCCATTAAGCATCTTCATGTCATAAAAGACAATGCCTGAATAATGGTTTGGACTATTCGTTGGTTGTCCATACTCATCTACTGCATTACACCCTTTATATCCGCTGATAAAACTAGAACCGCTTGATGAAACAGTGAAATAATATAAGTAGGAAATATCATTGATAGTTTTTCCTGTGTTTCCACCATAGTATCCTCCTCCAGCACCAGAGGTAGGTACATTTACATGGTTAATTCTATTTGCGCCTTGTCCAAGAGCATTTCCATGTGTTTGATTAGTGGTCGATATAGAAAAATTTTTCTCAAAATAACTGTCGACTTTGTAACCGTTCAGGTCCCCACCAGGTGCACCAAATGATTTAAATGATGAACCTGATCCTCCCGCGGCGACAATTATACGACTAAATAAAGATAAATTTTCAGAATTATTTATTATTCTTATGTCTGTTGCTCCCCCTCCCCCTCCTGGGGTGTCGTTGTCCCTTGGATCAAATCCTGAATCCCCACCACCATTAAATCCTCCTTTACCATTATATTCAGGTGAACATTTTTCTGGATCATGGCCTTTCTCTCCGATGAAAAGGAATAGCTTCTGGTTCTGGAAAAAGTGGACTTTCCCAGATACAAATGCACCCCTCCCTCCATAATAATCTTTCAGTCTAACATTATCTGTGCATCCTTGACCACCTTGTGCACCCCAAAGTTCAAAAAGGTATGAACCTCTCTTTAGGTTGACCTCAACAATCTGTTTTTGACTATTATATCTGTATAAGGTTATATACTATTAGCATGATAGCTATCAGAATAAACTTCACTTCATATTGCAGCGCAGCAAAAGTCCACTAATACCCAAAGTGGTAGTTATTTGCATTTGTGTAAGTTATAAGAATCTAACATAAAGCATTTTTTGAAACTCTGATACACAAAAACAATCATAGATTAGTTTTGTAAGAACCAAATATGCTTTTGTATTGCGGTTATTAAACTCAATAGTATCTAAAATCAAATGTCTTTTATTATCTTTTGATGGAGATATTTCTCAGGATCAAATTTCCATGGATCAATTATGGAAATCGAGTTTAGTTATTCTTGAATTTTCGGATTTAACTACTGTAACTCAACATATGAATGCGTGTGGTATTTATAAGTACTTCTCAATTAATATCATTTAGTTGGATGATAAGTTCGATATTTGAAGGAAACTTATTCGAGCATTTAATAGATAACTCTCTAATATGTAATATTACAGAATTATTTCCTCAGTTGATAGTTCAATTCTAAGAATTTGCAAAATCTTTGTCACTTCATATCAAAAAAACGAGTACAATTCTTTCCCAGCGCGATATAGACTATTTATCTCAATGGAATATCATTTTCGAAAACCAAGAACGTTCGTTAGTCTTATATAATCCTTCATCAAGGCAAGTTAGAACTGTTTCAAGATCAGATTTAGATCGTGTTCCATCAGCAAGCCAATACTCCGCCCATGATTACTTCCGAATCCTTAGAGATTTGTTCAGATCCAATTTACCATTACCACCACGTTTAACAGACTTCTTAATGAACGGATATTTCGAGAAATTTTTTAAAAAAGGTCAACAACTTGGTCGTGGAAGTTTCGGAAGTGTTTACAAAGTTGAGCATTGTCTTGCTGGAATACATTTAGCTGAATATGCCGTAAAAATTGTTCCAGTAGGTAATATTAATTGGCTAAATAGGGCATTAAACGAAGTTAAATTACTTGAACAATTATCTGCATATCCTCATCCTTTTGTTTTATCGTACAAACATTGCTGGATTGAAGACTGGCAAAATGCAGATTTTGGGCCAAAGGTTCCATCCCTTTTTATACTGATGGAATACTCTCAATTAGGAAGCTTAGAGTCGTACATATACATAAATAAAGAAAGAGGCATTGAAATTCGACAACTTAAAAATGATGAAATTTGGCAAATCTTTCTAAGCATTGCGATAGCAATAAAACACTTACATGACTGTGGAATACTCCATAGAGACCTTAAATTATCAAATGTTCTTGCTTTTAATGATAATCATTACCAGCCTTTGCCAATGAGATTTGCCTTATGCGATTTCGGTACTGCTACATCAACATTTAATGGAGACATTGACGCAGGAGAGAAAAGAACCGGTGCAACAGGAACAATTGAAACAATGGCCCCAGAACTTTTAGCTCAGAACGAAAGTGGAGAGTACAAATACGTACATACGAAATTTAGCGACATTTGGTCGCTTGGAGTTATTCTATTTACGCTTTATACTCGAAAATCTCCTTTCATTGGCGAAAATGGAGAAGAATTGCTCCGAAACTTTACAGATGTAGACTCTTTAGCCGACCATCTCCATATTGATGTAAGTAGATCATCAAAAGAATGGGAATGGATCCGAAAATTTATGTCAGCGAAGCCAAGCAAGAGAACTCCACTAGAAGATTTATTTAATGATCGATTTGTACGTGAGAAAACAAAGATTTTCGGTTTCGAAGGTCTTTTGGACAAGCCACAATTTTCTCATGTCGTAGTTACTTCGCCATCCATTGATGACTTCAACCAAAGTATCCCTCTCCCTCTAGCACTTGATATAAACAGAAATTCAAGCGAATCATCCTTCCTAAGTCGATCAGCTTCGGTAGAAACAGTTGAAATTCCGGAAAAACCACAAAAAGTCAGTGAAAACAGGATTGCAATTCCAAATTCGTTTAACACAAAGATTATTGATATTGCAATCTTATTCCTTGCTTGTTTTAGTAACATTTCGAAATATCCGATATATGAAATTGTTCGAGTTATATTTTTGTTGTTAATATTTTGGATTTTATCCAAAAACTCACAAGTTGCCTTGTTTATTCCTTTAATTGTTTTAATAGAATCATTAATTGGATTTATTCCATTTAATGTGTTTTTATTATTATTGATACTGGTTCAGTCACTCAGGATTGCCCAATATTACCATAAATAAATGTTTTTTATATACGATTGTTTAAAAAAAAACAAATTGAGTTTTTTTTTACTTTCAACAAGCGTGTTGCATAAACAACATAATTGAAAGCTAAGTCATATGGGTGTAAGTGGATCCTTAATCTGGAATGTAATTATGTTCACTTTTCACTTTAAGGTGTTCCATCACTGTTGTTCTTACTCATTTTTCTATTTTTAAATCATGTTGGTGCCGTACCAATAAAGCACAATAATACTAAGAATACAAATGCCAAAATATCGCATGAAAATTCGAAATTTCATATCTCAAAATTGTAAGGACTGAATTTATCATTATTCTGTGATATTTCCCAACTTTTGATATATATGCAAATATAGTGATTACAGATAAAATTACAAAGTTTAGAAGTATAACTGTTAATTGATTCATAATTGATATTGAATTGATATATAGTTCACATGAAAAAAGTGAAACTACTATAGTGTGGAAAACCTATCAACGTTCTCCACTGAAACTTAATATTTATATTTTTTTTTTTCAATCTAGAAATTTGATGATCAAACATAAACTATTCTCAGTCTCGTGAGAACTCTTTGATGTAAATCTAATTTTGATAAACTCTTGAGGAGAATGTCATGTTTGATGATATGATTTCATTCTGAAAAGTGACAAAATATCATTCGAAGCGATAAAATCGAAACTTTAATATACTGCTTAAATATTTAAATTCCAGTAAAATCTCAGATAAAAGCTCTAAGAAAATTTCAATATAAAATTTCCACGTAAACAAAAGAATTATTTTATAAATGTCTGAAATTGTGATTGTCGCGGATACACGCACGCCCATCGGTGCTTTCAATGGTAGTCTTGCAAACACACCAGGTATTGAATTATGCGCTGCCGCAATGAAAGCATGCGTAGAGAAATCCGGAATTCCCATTGACCAATTTGATTCTGTCTATGTTGGCAACGTTATTTCAGCTGGAGTAGGACAAAATCCAGCTAAACAAGCCTCTCTTGCTGCTGGTTTTCCATGTTCGACACCGTGCACGCTTGTAAACAAAGTATGTTGCTCCTCAATGAAAGCTCTTCAAATTGGTGCAACAGAAATCAAGGTAGGAGATTCCAAAGCCGTTATGATAGGTGGGTTTGAGAGCATGTCTCGTTGTCCACACTTATTACAAAATTCTAGAAATGGTTACCGTCTTGGTAATTTCACTACAGTTGATAGCTTGATTAATGATGGCTTATGGGATGCCAGATATAATATGCATATGGGCCAGCTCGTAGATAACCTCAATGCAAAACTCGGAATATCACGCGAAGAACAAGATCGCTTTGCTATACAATCATTTGACCGTGCTGCAAAGGCTTGGGAAGAGCATTGCTTTGATGGTCAAATTGTCCCAATACAAACAAAAACTGGCGAATACAAAGTTGACGAATCAATTTACAAGCTCCGTCGTGAAAAAGTACCAGTCCTTAAGCCATCATTCTCTCCAACAGGCACTATTACACCAGCTAATGCTTCTGGTCTCTCTGATGGCGCTGCTGCTCTTGCAATTTGCTCATCAGAGTTCGCCGCTGAGCATAATTTAAAGCCAATCGCCAAAATACTTTCTTTCGGAGAATCAGGTATCGATCCTGCCGAATTTCCTCTTGCTCCTGCTGATGCAGTCAAGAAAGCATTATCTAAAGTTCATTTGACCACTTCCGATATTGATCTCTGGGAGTTCAATGAAGCATTCGCTTCTGTACCACTAATGCTCATTAACAGCCTTGGTTTATCGGAAGATAAAGTTAACATCCTCGGTGGAGCTGTTGCTATCGGCCATCCACTCGGATGCTCTGGTATTAGAATTGTTACGACTCTCATTGCCGGTCTTAAGCACCGTGGTCTTAAAAGAGGCTGTGCTGCTTTATGCAACGGCGGTGGTGGTGGAAATTGCGTTATTATTGAGATGCTTTGAAATATTCTATGATACTCATATGATTTTTCTTTAATTTAATCTTGATAATAAATCATTTTTCTATCGCAAATGAATAATATCGTTTTTAATTCAACAACATTAACTCTATATGTGAATGTATTGCAATCCAATGAAGTATTGCCCAGTTTCACTTCTTTAAAGCAGATATGGTGATGAAAATATGATCAACAATGAATTTTAATGAATATAAATAGCACAAACTATTTTATCATCGTATGAGTGATCAATTTCTTTGAATTCGATGTAAATGGCTGCCCAGCCAAAATTCCGTTTTACATTCCAAATAAAAAAGCCACTCGGATTTTAGATATATTTGCTTTTATAATGCTCATCTAAGTTCAACAATATATCCGGAAACAAATGAATGATGCCACGCGTGTCACTTTTATCGTTGCGCCAATTGTAAAATTTTTCCTGAATGAGCAGTGAGTTTACTTTCAGCATTGCTGGTGACCGCCCACAGTTCGACGAGGGATTTACAAACGATTACTTAGCAATGAAATCAGAAAAAGAGCCAAAGTATAAACAACAAAGAACTCCATATTCTCAAAGCCCAAAGAAATACAATAAAAACGATAATTTCAAGGTATATAGAACAACATCAGGTCAAATTAATGACAATTCTACTCATAAATTTGACGAATATACAAATCATAAATCTCAAAAACCTTATAACAAGTCATACTATCATAACGATAATAATGGAATTGCAAGGCAGCATTCAACTGACTTCACTCCTAGATTAGGAAAAAAGAGTCAGCCAAATCCTGCACTTAAGCAGCCTGACCCACCAATTGTACCTCCAAGATCAACACCAGAGAATACTAATGATGGTTCTGCAATTCGTTCATTTAATCCTCGGCCATTAAATCAACAGTCTGAACATGCACCTCAAACACAGACTGAAATCCCACAAACATCTCCAAAGCGCGAGGATACAAAGCAGAACAAGTCTCAATTGGAATTTCCAAAAGAAAGTGGTCAGCAATATTCTCCAAATAAGAACTTCTCTCCAAAACCGAAAGCCCTTAGTACACCAAAAGATAAAAAGCTATCGAAGTCAAACCAAACAAAATCTTCAACTGGAGCTTTGGATAATCTCTTTCAATGAACTCTTTTATGAATTTTATCTTCGTATCGTTATAAATTATGTTAAAACATATTACATTTAATAAATTAAAAGATAGATAGATACTATTTTGGAATTTGAATTTTTTTATATCACATGTCATAATTTTTTTTACATAAATGGCAAGATTTGTATCAAGTCTTGATGCTGCAGAAGAAGTATTTAACGAAATAATGTTTATGAAAGGCCAAACACCTGGAACATCATCTAAAATACGTCCATTTTTTGCTACAAAAGTAATTAGAGATTCAATTAAGCACTTTTTAGCAGATCCAATAATGATCCAACTTGATGCCCCTTGTATAGTAGTTGGAGGCTTGTTTGGCGATCTATATGACTTACTTCTTATCTTTGAAACGTATGGATATCCACCAAACAGAAAATACGTATTTTTAGGAGATGTTGTTGGATCTTTTCCACAAAGCCCGGAAACTATAATACTACTATGCAGTTTAAAGATTCAATTTCCAACTTATTTATACGTTATTCGTGGTTATCACGAAATGCGTGATGTAAATAAGAATAGCACATTTTGTACAGAATCTATAAATCGTTTTGGACCAGAATTTTATGAATGCTGCAATGAACTTTTCGATGACCTTCCTTTGTTATGCCAAATATCAGAGAAAATGCTTTGTGTATCATCTGGTGTCCCTGCTGATGTTGCGTACCTGGACCAATTCGCAAGCTTGACACGACCTTTGGAACCTTCAAAAACTCCATTTGTTAAAGAAATGCTATCTTTACAACCAGATGTAGCAACTAATGAATGGGAAATCAACAAAAAGTCTACACATCCTTTGATGAAACTTGATTTTATTCATGAATTTACAGATCGTAATAATCTCGAAGTTATTATACGTTCCCACAATGTTGTTAAAGATGGATACGAGTTTCCATTTGATGGAGATCCAAAACTTCTCACAATTTCAACAAAACCTTCATATTTGTTCAAAAATTTCGAAGGAAAGCCAGTGGAAAAGTGCGGAATAATTCTTGAGATAGAGACATCTTTGAAATCACTATTCAGAACCATCCACCCTCTTCCTTACGAATACAAAGAATATTACATGTCTAAATCAGAGAGGGCTAAACTTAAAAAGGCAGAAGCAGATATCCTTCGTCGCTGATATGCTCTATTTCATTATATCTTTAAAAATCATTGTTTGTATTTTTGAGATTTCAAAAAATATATTTTTTCTTCCTTATATCCGAGTAACTCGAAAGGTTTCCATTCATAGAATCTTTAGGATTTTCCCAGATTATATCAAATGCGATAATCTAAAAATAATTATGCAAATCATTAAAATTTATCGAGTTTTCGCTTAGTATAGTGGAGATCCTGAAGATACGATAAGTTTTCTAATCATGAAATAATAAAGCTAATCAGATATATCTCAAAAGAATGATAGTACAGTAAATTCAGCAGATTGTAAACTATTGAATTTTATAGATTTATTAACGTAAATTTTAAAAAATGAGTGCAAATGAAGACCCAGATCAGCCAGGAGGCGAAGAAGAGGAGGAACTAATGGATCCAAATCCAGAAGAAGAGGAAGGTGATCTTTTTTTAGGTGAAGAAGAAGATGATGAGGAAGAAGAAGAAATTCAAGAGCTTCCTCCAGATCATCCACTCTTTGCAACATTGCAAGACAAGATGAAAGATCAACTTCAAAGACAATACGATGCAATTGAAGTCGAAATTAGAGATAAACAAGCTTTGAAAAATCAGTTATCTGAAAACCGTGAACAAGTTGGTGTCGAATTGTATACAATACAGCAAACTCTTGTAAAACTTCAAGCGCGTTTAACAGAAGCTAATGAAAGGAGACAACAATACGAACAAGAACGCTTAGAAAAAGAGGCAGAACTGAAAGAAGCAAGGCAAACATTAGCAGATCGTGAAGCAGAACTTAAAGAGCGTACTACAGAATACGAAAACCAAAGAAAAGAACTTGATAGATTAAATGAAAATGTTTTACTTCTCGAACAGCATAACCAAGAGATCCTTAACAATGTGGCAGTCACCCGTCGTGAAACATACAAGTCAGAACAAGCTGCATCAGAGACAGAAATTGCTAAAAAAGAGCAAGATTTATACATCGACAGATTAACACAGCAAGTACAAAACATCGGTAAAGGACTCTCAGAAATTGAAGCACAAGTACTTGCACAGCGTGCTGAAACGAAAACAGCTCGAGATGCTTTACTTCAAGCTTCCCTTGAAATGGAAAAGATTACTTTCGAGAGAAACCACTTGATCCAAGAGTGGAATTCTTCTCTTGTTAACGTCAAACGCCGCGCAGAAACGCTTGCAAGCATCGAAGCTGCATCTGCAAAACAAGAAGAAGAAATCAGAGCTTTGCAGAATGAATACAACGGAATTAAGAAGCAGATTGCCGATCAAGAAGAAATTGCTGAGCGTAATACTGGTCTTTACTCAAAAATCAGAAATCGGATTCAATATCTTGATGGAAAGATCAAAGAAACAGAACAGCAGCGTGGCAAATTGCAAGATACACTTGACCAGTTAACAACTCTTACCAGAGAAAAAGAAAAACTCCTATCAAAATTACAGATCGAGCGTAACCAAGCAAACAGCGAATACAAGAACTCTGCAAAGGGTACTATTGAAATTAGTAACCAAATCCATGAGCTTGAAGATAAAATCATCGCTCACGTAACTGAACAAACAAACATGAAACGTGACACAATTGCAGCTCAAAATGAAGTCCAAAAAGTACGTGACCAGATTGAAGAAAAGGACAGAGAGTTGAGCCAATTGCAGAATGAAGCCATGAAGCTCAAAATCGATAGATTAAACATCACAGGACAATGTGCAAAATTCGAACGCGGTTTGCAAGAGATTGTTGAGGAATTAAAGCAAAAGGATGCTCTTATTAACCAATATGAGCTCCAAATCCGTAAGAACAACGTCAACATTGAGAAATTGCAAAGTGAAGTTGACAAATTAAACAGAAAGTATGAAGAATTGACATCTGCTCAAAATGGTGAAGAATATGGTCCATTAGAACGCAAGATCCGTGTTTTAGAATCCAAGATTCAACAATCAGATGAAACCGCCCAAGAAAACCAAGCACAATGGCTTAAGAAACAGACAGAACTTGTTGCTTTGACACACCAGTGCGAAGATAGTGAAGAAACATGCAACACTTTGCATGCTCATATTGCAGTTTTAAGCAGAAAGAGAGATAGAACGAGAAACAACTTAGAAGCAACAGAGAAAGAGATAGAGAACTTGAACATCCAAATCAGACTCCTCCAAAGAGAGATGTCAAGGTTAGGAGAGAAACTTAGCAGCGGTGCAGGCCAAGGCGATATTTTGATTGAAGGAAACATCAATTTCGAAGCAGATATCTTAGAACAATTAAGGAAGAAAGAAGAAGAATCTGCAGCCTTGGAGACAAAGATCGAAGAGCTTCATAACTTCAGAAGCCAATGCGCTGATGATTTAATGGAAACAGAAAAAGATATCATGCTTTGGGAGAAGAAATTGCAGCTTGCAAGAGAAATGAGAGAAGCTTTAGATCCAAATTATGGTGCAAGCGAACTGAAATCAATGAAGAAAGAAGTTACAAGAATGGAATTGAGATTGAAACAGATCAAGAAGCAACAACAAACAATTGTTCAAGAAATGGAATTCGCTTTAAGAAGAAGAGAAACAATTGCTACAAGAGGAGCTGTTAAGCAAAGATTGAACCAGGATAAGACACATTCAGATGTAACTAAAGGTATCACAGAGCTTAGAAGGCAAATCAAAGCTTTGCAACAAGAGCACCAACAGATAGAGAATGAAATCAAAGAACATGATGATGCACAACAAGAACAATCCGCTGAAATAGAACAATTAGATTTGATATCAAGAGAATTGCAAGTTCAAAAACAAACGATTGAACAGCAACTCAAAGAAGAAGAGAAACAGAAGAATATTGCACACGCTAAACTAGAAAAATTGCAACAGAAAGCAAGAATGTATAAAGAAAAGAACCCTAGATTGATTATTAAGAAGCCAGAGAATTATGATAGCCAATACCAAACTCTTAAGGCTCAGCAGGATCAACTAGGTGATATTATTAATATGTTAATTGCTGATCATCCACACTTAGAAAGTAGCTTAGGAGCAATTAAGGAGAAATACGGAATGGAACAACAATAATTTTTTTGATTATTTATATTATTTTTTTATGAGTAAATAATAATTATTAATTTATATCTTTAAAGAAATTACCTTGCTTGGGGTATTGAATTTGTTAATAATCAAAAGAATTAACAATATTGTTAATCTTCTTTATCAAAATGCTCACAGTTTGCAGAAATGGAAATGGAAGATGCTATATTTGGTGTATTTGGAGCATTAATAAGGCGTTAGCATTAAATTAAGAAATATTTTCAATAAAATTTCAGAATAAACAGAAGCAAAATAGAGTTCATATGTTATCTCCTATAACCTACTTAGTTTCAAATAATAAAAACTTATTTTAACCATACAACTTTAAACCATTTATTAATTTATATATACGTTATGTTTGATGTATTTAATTTTCTATTTTTTCTTTGGTGTGTCCTTCTTTGGGGTATCCTTCTTGGGTGTGTCTTTCTTTGGTGTTCCTTTCTTCTTGGAAACTAAATTTGCCTTGAAATCGGAGAAGAGGATACCTTTGAGCTGCTTACCATGGTATAAAATGCCATTTTCGACAATCTTTTTGGCTGTTGCTTCGTCCTTTACTTCGACATTAACTTGGCCACTGAAAATCTTTTCGCCGCCTTTACGATTGATCTTGCGCATTTCTGTACGAAGTGCGGATCTTGGGTATTGTTCCTTGAAGAGGGCCTTGATGTCATCTAATGTTTCTGTCTCATCGAACCCTTCAATATGAACTGTACGATATGATCTGCGTGGATCAGAAACAAACGGAACTTTGGAGCGAACTATTTTTTCAGCTTTGTTAACTTCAAGGTGCTTTGAGGCAGAGCAAGCTTCAATAATGTCTTCCTCAGTAGCATTGAGAGATTTCATGCGATTGAATGTAAGGAATGTAGCAATTTTAACATATCTATCTTCACGTTCGTTAATTGCTTCCTTCATGAAAGAATCAGATTCAATATTGGAATTTGATAAATAAAATTCCATTTGTTCACGAATGGCATCCAAATGTGGTTCGAGTTCAATTTCTGGCTCATCAACTTCAGGAGCTGGCTCGTTTGAACCGCAAATTGCAAAGAGTTTGGAGAAGAAACTCATATTTGAAAAATTCTTTTTGAGACACTAATCCCGCCAAATATAAAGAAACTGCCTTCATTTTTATAATTTGATTTTGTGTGAGGAAACAAACTAATAACATATGAAAGAAACAAAAATTAGCCTAAAAATTAAATTCAAGTTTAAATTGTATAAGAAGATGATTATCCAAAAATGATTTTTGGTCCTTTGATTCTTTGGGAACTGTAGCTACTTCATTTCCGAGGATTAACTACTTCGCAACTTAATTGAGAATTGTTTTATTCAACCATACTATAGAAAGATATAATTTACAAGTTTTGTAGAGGTTACCAGAGAAATGTATAACGTTAGATCTTAATTAAATTGATTAACTCAAATTAAATTAACAGATAAAGTGGTTGAAATATCTCTAAACATGTTTTAAAATGAGAGAATATCCGTTTGGTACATCAAAAAAGTCTCTATAAATAAGATCATTCAACCAAAAAAAAATTATTAAACGGAATTTGATTATTTTATATTTTTGACACACGTTATCAATAAAAAGAGCCTATTTAATAAATTTATGATTGAATGCGAAATATTTTATCGTTTTCCTTTGGAACGATATTAACCAGATCTATTCAATTTAAAAAGCTGATTTATTAAAAACATGATCTAATATACAATAGAAAAATATCTTTACATGTAATAAAAAAAATAAACGCTTTAATGAATCACTTCAAATTTCGATGATAATGGACCATTTATATATGAGCATCATAGTGCTCAAGTCGAACCACAAAAGTGTCGAATATTATTTCGAAGATTGAAAAATTGTGAACCGGATAATTTATAAATACTCAAAATGAATGTGTTTATATTTTTGTGACTTCGAAATTCATTTTGCATAAAACGTAAACTATTCAAAATTCAATTAATCACTTTTTGGGAACAAAAAGTAAATATTGTCAATGTTTGCGATTTTCTCAATCCTTGCAACATCTCAATTACTGAAATTGGGATATTCTAAAATCAATTTTCAAGATGGAGATGCACTTGTTGTGCCTTCAACCCAAAATGTAAAATACGCCGTTTTCATTAACCTTTCTGATAGTGAAATACTTGCTAAAGCTGATCTTAAACCTGGAGCTAATTATACGGCTAAAAATAGTACCAAAGGAGATGTCCCTTGCTATGTTTTCTCTTACCCTTCAACTCTAAAAAGTATTATTACCTATAACTACAACCTCAGTGGAGCAAATATTCCTGTAAACACTATTTTGTTTGGATTCTTTTCCCAAATAGTCGAAGCTCGGTTTTCTCTTACAGATCCTAACAAAACTTTCTTATCAACTGAATTTGAAGTTAAACTCGGTGATAACCATCCAGAATCTGGAAAATATCTTGATACATGTGGTCTACTTTATTTCGCTCTCGTAAACAATGATACCAAACCAATGAACTGCACTCTTTGTGATCCAATTTTTCATCTTGGAAATTACAGTATGACAACTTCTAATTTTACACATAATTCTTCTGCACCCTCAGTAGCAACCGGAAACCTCGTTTGTGTTGCCCCAGGTCATTATTTCGCATTTCGTAATTATTCATCAATGAATACAACTATTTCCAGTAAATACAATACAACGGATTTAGTTTCAGCTGCAGCCGGTAAGCCTCATGTTTTCCTTATATACAATAAGACTGGAATTGATGCAGTATTATACTTAGCAAAGAGTCAAGTTGTTAAAATTAATACATCCGAACTTTCCACATCCAGTTCAAAGTTAGCAATCATTGCCTCCGATCAATTGCTTAGGACTGGATTTATGTTATCTCCAGAAGTTTCTGTAAATGCTTACTTTGGAATTAGTAATATTGGAAACCCTACAACAGTTTCGGGATATCAATCAATTGATGTCTTTTGCTATGTTCTTGAACTCAAATTAAATTCTTCAGGAAATGTATCTGCATATACACAAGGTATTGTTGAAACATATTATTATGCAGGAGAAACTGCTCCTAATTCTACTGCTCCTAATTCTACTGCTCCTAATTCTACTGCTCTAGTCGGCAATCTATTCACAGTAGATTCAACAGAATACCAAATTGTAACTTCAGCAAGTACTACTACTGGAGCTGCCCTGTTAAACAAAGATAAAAAGTGCCTATTCCCACCAGGTTATGTTCTAACTTACAAGAATTCCACTGCAGCTGGAATTCAATATGAAACAAATGTATACACTTCATCTGAAGACAGTACTAAAATTTTCATTTCCAGCTCCCTCTACACTAATTCCCTTATCCTTTCAGGAAATATTACTTCCTATAAAATGGTGAGCCCACAAAACAAATCATTCTCCATCATTTACTACAGCACTAATGATACAAGCGTTAAGTTCTTTGCAGAAGCAACAAACATTGTTATTTCAAGTGGCACAACTTCAGGATATATTCAAACAACTGCACAATTTTACAGCGAAATTCAGGTCCCTGCTGGAAAATACGCTGGCTTTATTTCATCAACTTACACCGGCTCAGATACAGTAGAACAGAAAGGTCAAATAGCAGTTTCTGATTCAATCTACCCATTAATCGCTGGTAAAAAACAAATTAATGTTACATCTAGCGGTGTTACTGTCATCACCCCTCCAAGTACTGAGGGCAATACAGGTGTTGCAATCTTCACAAATCCATCAGGCTTCAAAGCTAACGGTACAGATCTCAAGACAACATACATTAACTCATCTAGGATGGCAATCACAGGAACAGGAACATTAGATGTTGCATTCCTTATGATTCCAACAACAACATCTGTTTCAACTGTTATCAACATGGACAAAGCTCACTACATGATCCAACCACCAAAAGATCTTACTCAAAAATACATTTTCATCTTGGCATCCACAAAAGGATTCTATTACTCCTTCGTCCCTGGTGATAAAGTATTGTTAAATTATTACCAAGGTAATGGTTTTTTAGCTGGCTCTGGTACAATCACAACAACAACATCATACACATACCCAATCTATGGTGTTCTCACATTTGCAGAAGGTGCCACTGCTTCCCAGCTTAACTGTGTTGCTGCTGAAGCTATTCCAGATGGTGCTTCTAAGACCAACGGCCCACTCGCTGATGGTTACACTGACATCCTCACCAAACATTCAGGTGATTGGACAGCTATTGATAAAAACTTCCCATCCCAACTTTCAAGTGGTGCCTACTACCTCCTTCCAAAGAAAGAAACAACATTCACTGTCAACGCCGCATCTGATGTCTTCTTTGTTCCAGACGACAAGGATGCGAAGGCTTCATGCATCTTAGTTTACTCTAAGGAAAACTCTGAGAAGCTTCTCGGTTACGATATCTTCGAAAAGAAGATTTACGGTGTCCACTTCTCTGCTTCAAGCCAAATCAGACTGAAATCAGAGAAGGCAATCGCCGTTTACGTCTTCCCATCATCTGGGGTCGCAGGCAGAAGTGTCTACTTCTTCTCTGGCAAGGAAGGCAAACTTGAAAAGCCAGCTGATGCTAAAGGCGAAATTGATGTCTACATTGGTTTCTCAAGAAAGTCATACGCCGTTGTAACACTTGATGAAGCAGGTGCTGCCAATCCAAAGACTATCACAGGTGCCGCGGCCTTGTCAGTCTCTGGACTCCCACTCGCCTACACATTCAGTAACCTTACCAAGTTCAAAAACATCAGCTACACACTCCCTGGAAATACAGGTGACGAAGTTACCTCAACAATCTCATCTACTTCATCTGATTCATTCGTTGAATACAACAGCAAGAAGGCAGATGCTGAAGAAATTAAGGATGGAGGTCTCCCAGGATGGGCTATCGCACTCATCGTAATCTTCATCATCCTCTTCATCGGTATCGATATCGGCCTCGTCTTCCTCGTCATTTGGTGCAAGAAGAACGAAAAGCACCCAGACTTCAACGTTGAAGAAGAAGACGCACTCGAGGAAGCTGGCGACGAAGAAAAGAAGGACGAATACGAACACCCAGATGATCAAAACCCAGGTGCTGCCAGAACAAACGATATGGCCAATCCACAGGCTTCCCCTGATGAACCATTAAATGCTTAAACAAAAAGTAGAAAAAATATTAACAATTTATCAGGCGGCATAATTTCATTATTAAAAAGGAATAATAATTTTAAATAAATAACGAATTTCATTAATTTTAAAAATAAAAAAGTTATGAAACTTGTATTTTTGAGTTTAGTTTTTCTTCAAATTATTTCCGATATCGAACAGTAGATTAAAGAGTATGTGATTTCATATTAAAACTAGCTTAGCTACTTAGAATATTGATTGTTTCAGGTTGACAAATTGGATAAAACTCAAGATATAAAATAAGATTCCAAGAATTATCCCCATATTGAAGAAATACAATGCTTAAAAGCTTTTCAGTTCTTGACTAAGTTCAATCAATAGGATAACTACTTTTAAACTCAAGAAAAATTCAATAAAATAAAAGAAATTGACAATACCCGAGTTTTATCCTCTTGTAGAACTGATAAATTCATTATATACTTGTTTTTATTTTTGATTTTGCTTAAGAATTGAGACATTCAGCCACTTTATAAAAATTCATACAGTAATTTATCCGAATCATTAAACCCAGATGATGAACAAGTGAAGCATTTGGTACATAATGTTGATCTACTATATAATTTGAAAAATCAATTTTTTTGAAAATATATTTCTAACTCATCGATAGAAAAGAAAGAATTTAAGATAGTAATATAGATAAAAATATAAAATAATATAATATTGTCTATTCATTTTGATCTAAAATTTTATTTTTAGCTTATTATTCCTATTACAGTTCCAATGTCAGAGAATTTTTCCAAAAAAATTTCAAATTTGATTTTATGTCATTTATTTCCTGGCATTTTCTGGATATTTTCGAGATTTTGAATTTTTTTGGAATCTGAAACTCTCGAGTAGTCTTCTCCTGCCCAAAATAAGCTCCTAAACGAACGAAGTTCTAATCTAATTCAAACAAAAAAATACTTTCACAACATTATTGGTTTTAAAAGGCTCATTCGAAATACCAAATATTTCAATCTAGATATTTCGAAGATTTTATCAAATAAACTCTATAAAGATGCTTCTTATTGCAAGCTTTTTACATATATTGGAATATCGAAATTCCGAATTTATAAAATCACATTTAAGATACATTTGCCTTCTGATGTATAGCGAGAGGGTTAAGCAATTTCATCTGATTTTCTTGATTTACAATTTTATGAAATGTTTGGGGTAAAGAAGTTAAATGGAAACATGCTATTTATCATTATAATAACTACGCACATGAATTCTCATATATACTATTACTAAACAGACAATATGTCAATTTTTAAAAACATTGATTTTGGTCAATGAATTTGTTATATTAATTAGACTAATTATGAGAAGTATAGTAACTTGATCATATTACACATGGTCAATTCAATATTTTTTGAATTTGGATATTGTAAAGATTTTGAAATACGATAAATTTTAAAAAATTAATGATACTTTCGGACGTGCAATGAGATTTAAATAGAAGCTCATTACTTTGAATTATTGAACTCCAAAATTTTAATTCCATATTTATCGCATATAGAATGGTTTTCACATAAGCTACCAAATGACCTTTACTGTAGGCTCTATATAAATTTTCATTGATTTATCATTCTTTTATTACTCAATTGATAAGATCATCGAAATTTAATATGAATAAATGAACTCATAAATAATAGTATATGATTTCCTTCATCCATGTATTAGTTTAATTTAAGTTATGGTGATATTCGATTCTTCCATACCGGTATTTTTTTCGACCAATCAAATTAGCTCAAAATTTTAGGTAAAACAAATAGTAGGTATTTATTACAATTTGTTATAGTATTTAAATGTCGTAAAATCAACTATTCCTACTCCCTTATTGATAAAATTTAGAGAGGCATATTTATTTTTTCTGGGAGTTTTTCAAGCACATGTAGGAGACCTGTGTTATAAATCGAAATGTTTTCCACCTACCGCTTTTCTTTTGAAAAGCTTTAATATTTTTTATTGATTGGCGCAAATCCATATAGTTAACCATTATATCTTAGGAAAAATGGAACAACCAGAAATAAATGGCAATTTTATCCATTACCTACCTGCTTTTTTTCATTTTTGGAAATTTCATATCATCCAAATATTTCATTTCGAAAAATCCTGGAAAAATAATCAGTTGATTCGATTACAATTAATCTAAATAGTGTTTTTCTTCATTATAGGTAAAGGATTTTTGTATTTTTTTGAAATTAATGATTAACCATTCTATAACATGTATTTCAGATATGTGAAACCTAATTAGGATCGCCAATACTATCGAGGGTTGCAGTACCATAGTCAGGCTTCGACCATATATGCTTCAGAAATTCAATTATATGTTGTTTCATCGGGTTCTCTTCACAGACTTTGAAAACCCATAGAAAAATTCTGAATATATTTGAATGACACACTCAGAAAAAATTCTCAAAAATTGAGGCGCGGCTGGCCATCTATTTTTCACAAATTGAATGATAGGTGTTCACATAAATGTTTTTTCGAAATATTACTATATATCATACATAGATATCGGCTAATCAAAATAAAAGTGACTTCATCTCACCCATATATACATTCAACCTGTACTTAAATTCTAAAGTATTCAATTTAGATCATTTATGTCAAGTGATATTCACTCCACCAAGCCCGAGCTCTTCACCCAATTGGATGAAGCTCAGGCTATGAGTGTTCAACCACTTCCAGAGGAGCAATTGGAGCAAATCCCATTGTCTATCCCAATCTGCTATAGTCTTTTAGAAGCTCTTTACAACTTCGAACGCAGCCAAGGCTCAGTACCAAGAGTACAAGCTATTCTCGATTCAATTGTTAAATCCGAATCTTTCTTTTTCCAGGAGTCACCTGTAATGTACGAGCCGACAGGCGGATTCCTCTCACTCGTTCCAGATGATGGACACGTTTACAACATCAACTGGAAGGCATTCATTTTACAAGCACACATTTCATTCCTCATCGCTCAAGGATGGGATTCAATCTCCGCCAACCGCAAGAAAGGATTTTCACGCTCAGACAGCAGCGAATTACAGCAGCCAATGCAGACACCACAGTCTCTCATTGGATCACGCGCCGGCACATCCATTGGTATTGGATCTCTTGCCCGCCGTCAGCAACTTGGCCCAGTTGGCTCATTCGCTCAGAGATCAGCCATCGCTGCACCAAGCAACATCGGCTCTCTTACACTCACAGAAGTTCCAAAGCTCGAACGTGATGAAGCCGCTCAAGCACAGCCAGAGAACCTCCCAGCTGACTACGATCCACAGCACATGTTCTCCATCCAGATCCAGTGCGGAATGCAGTCACCAGTCTTCCGTGCTATCATTGCTGCCATTCTTGCACGCGGCCTTCTCGATGTTGCCTTCGCTTACACACTCGTCAACAACTACGCCAAGGAAATCGAAGATGCTGATATCAAGCCAGCTACACAGAACGATTCAACATCTGCTTTCGATAACTTCTACCAGACACTCAATGCATCAATGAACATTGACGAAGCCCAGATCTACGAATTCGTCGCCAAGGACAAGATCAACGCTATCTTCGATGCATTCCAGAACGTTGACCCATTAGTCTGCACACCACACGCACGCAACTTCATTGAGTCAATCATTGCACCACTCTGCTATCACGAGACACCAAGCTCAGCTCGCCGTGCCGCTGCTCTCTACACAAACTTCCTCAACTACCATAACTGGGATCCATCCGTCACAAAGGTTGTCACATACAAGACACCAATCTTCTTCCCACAGCAGGGCGACAGCAAGCTTCTCATTACTGCTCCAACAAAGAACGGCAAGCAGTTCTTCCTCCGCCAGACAGGCAAGTACACACCAAACACAACAGGCTTCTTCGATGTTGCTTACGCTCGCATCCTTCCATCCGGCGAATACGAAGTTGACAAGAACGTCCAAGTTGTCAGATACGTCGTTCTCCCATCAACAGCTCGCCAGGAAGTCATCCACGAGCTCCCAGCCTTCGACCACAACGGCCCAATCAGATTCGACGCCCTCGAAGCACAGCTCGAAGACCTCGCCGACAATGGTGTCACAGCTGTCCACGTTCCAGGTGCTATTGCCACAACAAAGCCATATCTCCTTACACACGTTACAGATCACTCTGTCATCTCCAAGGAGTGCGGTGGCATCGAACTCTTCAAGCAGTTCGCTGAGCACGCAAGGAACTTGAAGCTCCGTGTCCTTCTCGACTTCGAACCACTCGTCTCTGTTCTCATGTCATCTCGTAAGTACTCAATGTACAACACAGTCCACATCGACGAGTTCGGCAGATTAGTCACAGTTGTCTGCCCGAAGACAGAAGTTACACTCCTCAACGTTCGTTCCACCAAGTTATGGGAACTCTTCGCTAAGGAGATCTCAACACTCGCCGAAATCCCCGGAGTTTCCGGCTTCTTCCTCGGCGATGTTTCCCATTGGGATCAAGTCTACGGCAGAGATCTTCAGGAACTCACAAAGATCGATCCAGATGACGAGCCACACTACAACAGATTCAACATCTTACAAGGCACTGTCGTCGACATCAAGTCCGAGAACTGCGGCTTAATCACACGCAAGGCCAAGCGCTCTCCATTCCTCATGAAGATCATGTCCATGATCTGGGCTGAACATCCAGACACATTCGTTTGGATGCAATGCCAGCCACAGCAGGAAGCATTCTGCCTCGAGTCCGGTGTCATCCCACAGTGCAGCGAATTCGCTGATCTCATCATCAACGAGATCAACAACGCTTCACACACAGAGGACTTCCACTACATCGCTGCTTCCTCCAACCTCAAGAAGTTCTACGAGGAACGCCAGGAGAGACTCCCAGAAGGCTACCTTGTTGTCACACCATTCTCATCAATGACAACAGGCATCGCCCCACTTCCAATCGAGAGATACCAGCTCGCAATCGACTTCCTCTTCTTCCACACAGATGTTCCAATCACAGGCAACTGCCTCAACCAGCTCACTGTCTTACCAACAGCTTACGACATGACATCAAAGCCAAAGGTCTATCGTGTCAACCCATCCGCCACAAAGTTCAACGCTTGCCTCAAGCAGCGCGCTCAGTCTCGCTCCAGAGCTGACTGGATCTTCAACGGCGATGTCCAAGTCTTACCAGCTACATACAACCACGAAGTCAACAACGCAGTCTCTGCCACAATCAGAATCTGCCCAGAGAACAACAGATGCGCACTCATCACATCCTCATTCTACCCACATCCACTCATCTTCGAGTTATCCATCTCCAACTTACCAATCTTCAAGAACATCTCACACGAATCAATCATCGAAATTGTTCCACTTCTTCTCTTCACACAACAGGGCTCATCCAACTCAGACAAGCCACAGTACTATGCTTACAACGAAGCTGCTTCTGAGGGATCACAGCTCTTCTTCGATATCTTCCCATACGCTACAAACCTCTACGAAATCCGCCTGAAATCACCACCAATCGAACCAACAGTCCAGAGAACACTCAGGGAACACGTTTACACACGTCTCGAATTGGCTCTCAACGTCAACTCCATCTCCGTCCTCGCCAACAACGAGCTCATGATCAAGATCCTCGACATGTTCGATGATGAGAACAAGGACCCAGAAGCTCTCGAAAAGATCATCGCAATGCTTCCACTCAGAAACGCACAACAAGAAATCATCTTCAGAAACGCTCTCTTCTTCGCAACACGCCACATCCGCTCCAACAGAGACCTCATCAAGCTCTCTGAGAAGGAAGACGAAGTCATCCAGAAGCGTGAGAAGATCGCCATGCGCGCACTCAAATGTGCTCAGGCCTCCAAGATGGTCACACCATCACAGTTCGCACAGAAGGTTCTCGATTCCAACAACCTCGGCCCAATCTTCTTCGTCACACCAGAACTCGGCCCATTCTCTCGTGTCGGTGGTATCTCAACAATGGTTTGGGAACTCGCCAAGGAATTGGTCTCAATCGGTGTCGATGTCTCCGTCATTTCTCCATACTACAACATCGGTCCAAAGGGTGAGACAAACTACCTCACAAAGTGGGATATCAAGTTCCAGAGAACAATCGATGTCTACGCACCAGATAAATTCGAAGTCGGTGTCCACTACGGTGTCGTTGATGGTGTCAAGTTATGGTTCCTCCACAACTACACATTCTTCTCAACACCATATCCAACAGGCTCCACATCATACAAGCTCCAGTACCTCATCATGATGGCTAAGGGTGCTCTCGAATTGCTCTGCCAGGAGAGAATCATCCCATCATTAGTCATCACAAACGACTGGCCAACAGGTTTAGTCGCTGCCTACGCTAGACAGACATTCGGCTCCGTCTTCGAAGGCACACAGTTCCTCCACATCTTCCACAACTTGGGTATCGGTTACGCCGGCAAGATCTGGCCATCAGACCAGAACACTGGCGCCCTCCACTACCTCCACAACTTGCCAGATGAGCTCATCGTCGATAACTTCGACCACTCATTCGATCCATCACTCTCCGCATTACACTGCACAGACCAGTGGGCAACAGTTTCCAAGAAGTACCGCGAGGAGTTGCTCGAAGGATCTCCATACAACTACTTCTTACGCCAGTTCCCGAAGCCATTCGCCTTCTCCAACGGTATCAGATTCCAGGAGAGACTCAAAGCTCTTGAGAACCTCAAGATGAACCACACAGAGGCAAAGGCATTCATCCAGAAGAAGTACTTCGGAAGCTCAGATCCATCAAAGTGCTTGTTTGTCTTCGTCGGCAGAATTGTCGAACAGAAGGGTGTCCACTTAATCACAGACACATTCGAGGAACTCAACCGCGAATTCAACGGCAGATTGCAGTTCATCGTCGGTGGCCAGGCTGCTCCAGATGACAGATCATACGGTCAACCAGTCTGCGGCAGAATGTGGGATCTCAAGAACAGATATCCAGAGTCATTCTGGGCTGATCCATCTGCATTCTTCACAGATGGCTTAGCTTGCTGCCACGGTGCTGATTACTTCCTCGTCCCATCAATGTTCGAACCATCAGGCATTGTCCAACAGGAGGCTTTCGCTTCAGGAACACCTTGCATTGCCTTCAGAACAGGTGGTCTTGCTGATACAGTCTTCGAGTTCGACAGAGAGAAGCGTACAGGAAACGGTGTCGTCTTCTGGGCTCACAGACACAGAGACTTCATCATGGCCGTCGAGCGCGCTATCGCTCTCTTCAATGAGCCAGATCTCTACAACACAATGAGAAAGAACGCTTTCGAATCAGTTCTTTCTACAGAAACAGTCGCTCGCGCTTGGGCTAGAGAATTCGCTAGACTCTTCCAGAAGATCTACGATGATCCAGTTTCCAACTAATTACATTAACTGTCCTATCTCTCTTTTTTTATTATTTGAAAATTACGATATTTATTTAAAAACTTGACATTATATTTTTAATTTACTTTTATTTTTTGAAGATAAAACATTTGAGATAAAGAACATTCTTTCATATTGTATGATAGAGGCTGATTAGATGATCTTTATTCATGGTGTGTGGATGTCCAAATATATCTCAAATTTGTTTTAGCAGTTGATAATTTGAGAAGGAAAAAAGGAAAAAATTGTAGTTTTCATCAATGAAAAATAGACTTAGAACATTTTTAATGCTGCGAAAATTGACCTAATAATAATATTACTGCCCTACTTTATTATCATATAGTTCTTTCGGCCTTCTGCAACATACTCTTATTTTGAAGAATCTGACAATGCTATTTTATATTTTTATGAAATAAACATGTACAATTAATATAGAATAAGATCAATATCGTATCAATTCAATTCAATCTATAGAAAATATTGAACATTCTTGATGGAAGTTAATTCTTCAGAGAGGCAACTTCCAGATCCGACTGATTACTACACGTATCGAAAGATATGTGGTCTTTCCTTAAATTTCGTGCCTTCTCTCAACAAAACTTTCATCAACCATTGGGAAGTTAATCCAGGATTACCAATATATGTATTAACAGTGATGATTACATCATTTTTAGCATTTGCCTCAATTGTTGTACCATCTTTGAAGCTCAAATGGTATTTCGTTATCTTATTGACCGTAATTTTTTCGCTCTTTTTGATTTCATATATTAACACAATATTAGAGGGACCAGGATACTTACCTTTTTACTATCCACTTAAGCCAAACACAGAAAAAGATAAACAATTTGATTTTTTAAGCGGCATCGTTACAAATGACTCACAGCTTAAGATTATCGATAAGAAGAAACTTCCGAAAAGAGTACACTATTTCAAAACAGCCAAAAGAATCGTCTTACGACCAGATCATTACTGTGATTGGGTAGCATCGTTTGTCGGGAAGAAAAACTACAAACTGTTCTATCTGTTTAATTTCTACGGGTTTATCTACATAGCATTGTTTTTCATTTCATTAATTTTCGTTATTAAGAAAGATATTGACCAAAATGCGTTTCCTTTATCGCATTATATATTAATTTTGTATGTAGCTCAAGCTCTTTTCTTTACAATGTTTACGATGGCTTTTTTATGCGGAAGTACTTTTGAAATTTCAAAAAACATCACAGACTTCGAAAACCTGGCCGATATCGCCGTAGATTGGGATAACTCCAGTTGTTTAAGCAATTGGGAAGAAATTTTTGGATCAATATCAAAATGGTATACGTGGCCTATACCATTTGGTGCTTTTCATAACATGGATAGCTATGAGTTAGTTGAATGGCCTCAGGAAATTGCCGAAATTTAATTTTTGTTTGTATATAGAAAATTCTTTATTTGTATTTAATAAACTGTCTTGTATATACTTATGGATATCTAAGATACACGAATTTTAAAAAAATTTGATTTAGTATTTAAACAATTTTATATATCTATACAAAAATATTGAATTAGGTTAAACAACTTAAAGGTTATCATCTTCCATTAGTATTTCTGTAATTCTATTACGAAGATTTCTAAGTTCTTCGACAAATTCCGCCTTCTTTGTATTTAGGAACTTGTTTTGACCAGAAACGATTGCAATCTTTTTCTTGAGGTTCTCTATTTCCGATTTCAAGTCATCTTCCGTAAGAGTTTCTGGTAATTTTCTCCAAGCTCCATTTTCATCATTTAGCGTTGGATCTTCAACAGATGTAGCTTTCTGAAGTATTTTTTTTCGCTTTTCTTTATTGCTTGTATCCTCTTCTGATGTATCGATGAGAGATTTATCTCTTTTTCCAATGAAACTACCAGTTTTTCTTTCTATTCGCTTACGAGTGGGCATTGCTCTCTTAGCAGGTTCCTTTATTGAAACCGAAGCTTGTTCCTGTAAAAATGAAGGGTTAGAAAAGTCAATTGGCATTTGGAGACAGCTAATTGATCTAGGTCTAGGTGGTAGTCTTACATGCTCCACTGGTTCGTAGAACATTCCGGTTCCTTTCACATTTGTTGATGAACTATCCAAAAATGACAAAATTGTTGAAGAATCATCTTGCACGATGGGAGCAGTCATCGGAGCGTAAACAGTTTTTTCTCTTCTTCGAGCTTTTGCTTGTAATTGCTTTGGCAGACCGCTCATTGAGTGATGCATTGGAGGAGGTGGAGTAAATGGTGGAGGATCTGGTATTGATAATGGAGGATTGCTAATACTATCATCTGGACCATAATTTGGAATGGGGATTGTTCTTTTTGGTGGCGGTGGTTTCATGCTTGGTGGTGGCGGTATTGGCAAACTTTTCAGCGTATAGGAACGTTCTTTAGTTTTGATTGGTGGCGGTGGCCTTTTTGATGGTGGCGGAGGTAAGAATTGGCTTTGCCCTCTTGCTATTGCTTTGGAAGAATTGGAAGTTGGCTGTAATGAGGCAACTTCTGATGCTAATTCAGGTGTTGACATTGTTTGCATTGGAGATGTATTTTTATTATCGCTTGAGCTCTGAGAGTCAGCTAATGACGAAGCACGCGATGAATTGTCATCTCCACTAGAATCTATTTCATTAGGAATATATTTAAATAATGGTTTCTCTACGCTAACATCATCTGTCATCAATAGTTTATTTAATGACTAAATTTCAGATTGTAAAATTTAGAAATTCTTATCCAGCATAATCAATCTGATATTTTTTGTTTTTTTATGTCACAGATTGAATTAAATAAAAAACGTTAATTTTTGTAAAATTCAATCGATATTTGATCTTAATAAATCTTTTATCTCTTTTCAGCGTACTGAGTGAAATTTAATTCCTAAAGAGATGAATAAAAATTCGCAATTTTTTAAACATCATTACATTAATGAGGGGTTTGAGAATTCAGAATATGATGCTTATAATGCAATTGCGATAAATCGAAGATTTATATACGAACTGTCTGTTATCTCTCGAACGAATAATGTCAATTTCATTAAAGGAATTTGATACATAAGATTTTGGTTGAAAATTATCATGCTGGAACATCTTATACCTTATTAATACTTATATAAGTAATGGATAAATAAAAAATATTTCCAAAATATACGAAGCCAAACCTAGAGAGTTCTATTAGTTTGAAAGAGAAATTATCATAGTATATTGATTGCTTTGCTAAAATCCATAATGTCATGGCTTAAACTTTATCTATATCATGAGATGCAAAGTGAATTATCATAATAGAATGGAAATTATATCTTAAAAATAAGAGATAGTTTATTAACGAGGAAGGTAGATAATGGTGCAAATAAAAGTGAGTGGATTTACCTTTCAATTTACGAGTTAGTATAAATTATTATTATTTCCGCCATACATTCAATTTTGAATCATATTCTATCGTTACACGTAATAAATAAAAAATGCGTCATTTTTACAAATCTGCGAAAAAAAGATTTTTTTTATTGACATAAATTTTTTTTTTGAGTGTGTTCAAATAAAATATAAAAAAAGAAGGTAATATATATATAAATTCTTAGTTAGCCGGAGAGAAGAATCCCCAAACTTCTACATTATCAGCTTTGAATCTTGGCTGGCCAGCGAGGAACTTCTGAGCAGCTTCACTTCCGTATTCTAAACCAATACCGAATGTATTTTCGATGGTTGAAGCGCAGCGGTCGAAGTTTCCAGCAAGAACCAAATCATCTCTTCCGAAAGCGAAAGAATCCGGAGTTCCGCATAAGAAAACAGGATCCTCGGACTGTGGGTGTGCAGGGATGAAAGCATTTCTATCAATAGAGAAGAGGAACGATGAAGAATTCTCTCCGAAAGGTCTCATTTCGCTGTTCCATTTAGAAGCTGCGAAACCGCCGAAAACGTGTCCTCCAGCCTTGATCAGAATGACCGTGATTCCCTTTCCATCGATCTGCCTGTGCATCTCCTGGATATCTCTGCCATCTGACGATGTAGAGAACATGAGATGTGTTTCAGGCATTCCTTTGAATGGGAAGCAGAGGTAGAGCTTCCTGGCTGTCTCTTCATCTTCAATGATTTCGGATCCTTCGAAAGGAACAAAGTCAATTTCGTCAAATTGCTTTCCGTACTTCCTGCGCTTCCTCTCGGCCATTTTATCGAGAGTTGTGATCTTGGCGCCCTTCTCTGACTCCTCGTCTGCATCTCTATGCGTTGTGGAGGTCGGCCATGATGATTGGTTGTGAGATGTAGTTGTTCCTCTTGGAAGTGAGCGTTCGATGGCCTTTGGAATGTCGACGGGCTTCGGAGACTGGATAGAAAGGCTTCCGAAAACGGCAACATCGGCTTTGATGCCATTAACGCGTTGTAAATCGAGAGTTGTTTCGATATCTTTGTCGAGAACTTCTGTACGATGGAATTCTTGAAGGAATGGTACTGGATCTCCATCTGTATAGTAGTTTTCGAGCATTGTATTCGTAGATTTGAGTTGATCGTATTTACGCTGAAGTTCTGCGAGGCTGGACTTAGCTTCAACGATGCGGCGGCCAATTAACTGCTTGGCTTCGTTGGAAGCTGCGTCTGCAATCCTCTTGATTTCGGCTAAAACGTTAGTAAGATTTGTTTGAAGGTTTTGGACGGTATCTTCTGCTTCCGCGATTGAAGCCTTGAGGACTTTCTCGCGGTTGACACGAACTGGGTTAGGAATATTCATCTTTGCGCCGATTTGTTCGTATGCCTGTGTAATTCCTGTTAATTTATGCTTGAGAGTATCTCTATGGGAGTGGTTACCGTGAACTTTGCACTCAATGCAGACAGGAAGTGCACACTGTTCGCAATAATACTGAACCATGTGATCTGGATGCTCTGGGCATGGCTGGAATGTTGGTAAGACCTCGCCGAGTGGTTTTCTGACATGGTTCTTCGCAACGCCAGAGCTGTGGATCTTCTGGTCGCAGTTAATGCATAATTTCATGTTATCATTAGTGCAATAGAAGACAGCGTACTGTTTATGGCAGTTGTCGCATTTCATGCAATCAAGTGGCTTAGCAGCAACGTTGTCACCACCTTTGATTTTGATGATATGAAGTGTATTGTATTGTTGTGGTTTGAAAATTACAAAATCACCCTTAGCAGATGTTCTCAAGCTGTCGTATCCTTGTGGAATGTTAGCAGATGTAACATTTTCTAAAGGAAGGAAGTTATCTCCTGAAATTGCAGCAACAGGATTGAGATAATTGGACACTTTACCAAGAGCAACGATAAGGTGAACAAGAGTATACTCTTCCTTTCCTGGAGGAAGTGTTACTTTTGAAGCATTGAATTGCAATCCGTTTTTAGTTGGAAGTCTGACGCCTTTTGATGTAATGTCAGCTACTCCTTGTTGAAGAGTGCTTGCATCTAAGAAGACATGAACGATATTTGGATTTTCCATTGACTTAACGAAAGTTTGGAATTGAAATGTGCCTGCTTTTTGCGTAATATCTAACATTTCAGTAATCTTTAATTGTGGTGCTTGAGTTTGTATACGAAGATGATGTTCGACAAGGCCGAATTCGTCTCCGAACGGTGAAACTTGAGAGCTCATAATTTTTTTCTCGTCTGTTATCAGCCGTTAGGCGTTTCCAGTGTCACCTTTTTGCTTACATTTACAGGTGTGAATTGATATCAAAATCCTTTACAACCAGATGAATACAAATAGTATGAGCAATACTGCGTGAAAAGTGATCAATTTGCGTTTTGGTCAGTAAACACAATAATCCAAAAAAATTTCAAATGATGTATGAAAAAACAATACTAAAGCTATTTTGATTTCACGCTTAGTGATAATATTTAGTGCTTTTGCTATGTAATGAATAGAACAACAGAAGTTCTCATTACCAATGATCAAATTCCATTGGATTTGTTCTGTGATATTTATCCCATTTGATTCATATGCAAGCGGTCAGGAATGTAGTTATTCATTTAACATTAATGTTATTCATAGTCTAAGTAACATTTTGTTTAGGCAATCATGTTTTTCTCATCATGAAGTAATGAAATACACTCCTATTCAAACATTCTTTATATAGGTTGCAATGGAAATATACATCCAAGATAACAACATTTAACTTTATCAATAAGTAGTTATGAAATATATAAGAAAAATTAAAAAGATAATAAATAGATAACATATTTATTTTGATTACAATTTAGCGTCATTAAGAGTGACTTCTCCACCAGTTTCATCCATATGAATACCGTATGGAGTAAGCATTTTATTAACAGATTCCAATGCGACGTGTGCGTCATCAAACTTCTGTTCCTCGAGCTGTTGCTGAAGAACTTTAAGATCGTGCTGTTCTTTAAGTTCAGCCTTCTTCTGTTTGATCCATTTCTTTCTCTCATTCATCAATTCCATTCTCACGTCTGTAAGGTCTTTGCGGAACTCATTCACTTCATCTCTGTACAGCTCCAATTTGCGTGAAACCTCTTCTAAATTGAATTTCTTTGACTTCACTTTTTCTGAATATTCTGTCACTTTTTGTTCTAATTCAATTCCAGGTTTATGTCTTACTTGAGCGGACAACATGTTGTACTGGCTTTCCTTCTCCTTGATTTTATCCTGTAGATCAGCAACTTGCTTTGTTCTTGCGACCAAATCAGCTTGTAATTCCTGATATCTCTTTAATCTTTCGAATCTTTGGGGATCTGATGATTCCAGCAATGTCCAGTTATGAATGTTAATAGGAATAGCTAATTCTTCTTCCATGGCCGCTCTTTCTGCTCTCAATTGCATCAATTCTTTCTGTTTTATGTGAATTTGCTCTCTTCTTTCTCTTAATTGGTCATCGATTTGAGCAACTTCCTCTAATTTGGCCGATTTCTCGTTAATCAGCTTGTTCAAGTTTGCAATTTCCATTTCTTTGAGGTCATAATCTCTTTCACCTCTCTTTACCTGTTTCTTGAGGTTCTCCAAGATTGTCTGGACCTGGTCCATCTCTTTTTCTTTCTCAACGGTCTTGTTTGAAATAGCATCTGAATCTTTTTTGACATTTTCAAGTCTGTGAAGGTGTTTCTGTAGCGAATCTTCAGCGTGCTTGATACTCAAGTTGATCTTGCTTATTTCTGCATCATTAGCAACGATCGTAGAGTTCAATGTCGTGATAACAATTTCGACTTGAGTCAATTTCTCTCTTAACTGGGAATCTTCATCTTCTGTTCTCTTCAATGACTCTATATCTCTAAGTTTCTCCATAGCCTTCCTGTGGATATCATCTTTATGTTGTTCAATTGCGAATTTCATTCTTCCGAAATTGTTTTCTAGCTCTGTAATCTCTGCTTCCACTTCTTTGACCTTCTTTGATGAGATCTCACGTTCGCTTCTCACCTTCTCGTAAAGGGATTGCTGTTGTGCAACATGTCTATCTCCATTCACAATTTCGGCAGTTTTTGATTGAACTTTTGAAGCCAAATCTTTTAGAGTTTCCTGGCCATGGAGGAACTGTGAAGTAGCAGCTGAGAGTTCCTCGCTGTAGTGCTCTCTTTCCGTCTCTATTGAGTAGATTTTCTTTTGTGTCTCCTGCAAATGTTGTTTAATTATCGAAATTTCGCAATCAATGTTGTGAGCTTGGTTCTTGTACATTTGGAGTATTGTTTGGGCTTGTGTCTGATGCTGTAACTCGCCTTCGTTCTTCTTCAATTTGCTGTTTTCGTCTCTGACACAAGTATCAATTTGTTTCCTGGTCAGTTCACCTTCTCTTCTTAATGTTGCAATTCTGTCTTCTGTTGCATCTACTTGTGTTCTGACGGCGTCTGTGTCTTTGCGGATACCTTCGTAACGCTCTTGAAGGCCTTGTACTTTAAGACGGATCTTGTCTCTGTTATTATTTTGTTGTTGAGCTTGATTAGATACAGAATCAGCCACTTTTTGGCGTTCGATGAGCGCATTGTGGTTGTTGGCAATGTCTGCTTCGATAGCAACAATCTGGCTGTTTAAAAGATCAAGTTCTTTTTGGTATTTTTGACATTTTTCGGAGATCTCTTGTTTTTCGCTTTTTGCAGACTCGAAACGACGTTTTTGCTCACGAACTTTCTTGTCTATCTGCTTTACTGTCTCTTGTTCTTGAGCAACTTCGATTGTTTTATCTGCAACTTGTTGTTTCATTTCTTTTAGACGATTTCTGGTATTTTCACGGTCACGTTCGAGTTCGAAAAGATGTTGTCTCTCCATTTGGTCTTCGCGTTGCTTGTCTTCAACTGTTTCGTCGATGCGTTTTAATTCAGCAATGGAATCTTGTATTTCTTTGTCTTTTGCTGCTTTCTTTTCTTGTGTGATTCTGTTGTTCTCTTTTAATTGTGGGATTTGTTGATTTAATTCTTCAAATTGTTTTGTCAATTCGACACGCCTTGCTTTTAATTGGCTAAGTTCATCTTTTTGACCTCTTTCTTCAAGAACGCATCGTTCTAATTCGTTTTCTAAGCCAGTAATTTCACTGGTGACAACTTCATTTGCTTCCATCGCTTCATGCAAGGAGGCAAGCAAATCTGTAAGTGCAGCTTGTTTCTTATCGCGATCTTCGTTGAGGTTTGATATAGAGCGTGAATCTTCTTCTGCTAATTTAGAAACTGTTCTAACTTTCGCTTTATTTCCTACAATTTCAGACTCAATAACACGACCTTTTTCAATATATCTTGCCTGGTTTGTCATTGATTTCTGTAAGATACCGAAAAGTTTGGCATATTCGTGTCTGAATGGTTCTAATACGGAATCTTTCGCAATTTCATGGTTTAATTCATGAAAATCGTGTTGTAAATCTGTAAATGTCGTTTGTGAGAATTCAGCTAGCTGCTGCTGCGCATCCGAAACGGAGGAATTCGTTACACCTTTCTCCGTCATTCAGAATAACGAGTTTTTTTTTCACGAGGTGACACTTTTTAGAATATAGTGTAACAAAGATTTACTGCATTTAATTACTAAATTAATAATATGATAAGCATTTATATTTCATAAATGGAATCTATTTTCAAATATATCGAAGAATTTTAATTTGTTTTTGGAATTTGAAGTTTTTAACAAGATCCAGTTATATCATATTTGTTTCTCATAGATAATAGCAATAATAGAAAGACATATTTCAAAATGCAAGATTATTTAAAGGATATTTTATCTAGTTTCTCATATTTATGCAAATAATATAGTACAAATCTTAAAGTATCATTTAGATATATTCATTGGTGATTGTTTGTGATCAAAATAGATTGATTTAATGTTTTATCTTATTAACATTTTCATTTCTGCTTATGGTTCAAATCCATGGACCCACATTTTGAAAAAAAACAATTCTAATTGTTGTATGTGTGTGTTGAATAGTGTATTATTGAGATCAATTATATTTGTCGATAAAAACTGAGATTATATTCTAAATAAACACAATATTTACATTAGTATATAAAGCGAAAGAAAAAAATACAATAAATTAACAAAACTTAAAATTTCTAAAGCATATTAACAGGAACATCGTACATATCATAAGGAGATTCAGATCCTGGATGATTATTATAGAATTGTCTTGCTTTAGGACACTTAACTCTCAATGATAATGAGTAATTCTTGTAATCATCATGAAATTCTTGAGCAAGTTCTCCTTTTTCCATATTATCATCACATATATATCTTACTCTAAATCCTCTTTCAAATGTTTGTACGAATTCTGTTGGATTCTCTGAGTTATCGATAGGAGTAATCATTGTTTGCAATTTAGAACAAGCTTGGTTAAGATTCGTGTAGCAGAACCTATATCCGAAGTAGAAATTAGTGATTTGGCCGGAGAATATCTCAACTCTGAACGGAATTGCAGCATAAATACTCCAATCAGCGTAAACATCAGTTCCATTCTTTAATTTCCACTGGGAAACTGTTGTATTATAAAAGATATACGCTCTGTCCTTTTCAATGTGGTGGGCGGAGATTTGAGGCAAAAATTGGTGTCTTCTGTCTTCCAATTCTTCAGGAACGTCAGGGAAGAACTGTTCTGCAGATGGATGAAGGTAACTAGAATATCCACCGGGGCGATCATCGAAATATCTCTCTAAACAAAGAGCAAATCTGATATCTGATCCAACATTTGCCAAATTGAACATATCTTGGCAAGGAATGAAGTACTCTTTGACTCTATTGATGAATGACTTTGAAAATATAATGCCAGAGCCACCATGAATGAAATCGTGCCATTTGTGAATATTTCTGAAGAACGGAGTTGAAAAACTAGCAACACCATATGTAACACCATACATTGCATCTTCATTTGGATTATGAGCTTCAAGAAAATCGAGTAAATTATCCATAAAGAAATACGTATCATCATCAAAGAAAACGTACCAATCTTTATCAGGCACAGCTGTAACAAAGTCATGCATTGATATCATATGACGTGCTTGAGCATGATTCCAAGCTGTATCAAATTCTGTTCCAAAAAGAGCATAAGTTTGCAAATCTAGCTTACGAAAGTGAATGCTTAAGTGATTGTTTTCTTTGACGATTTGTTGTGGAACTTGGTCAGGATAACCTTCTGAATAAATATAAACTTCTGGAAGTAATTGGTACCAAGTCTTTGAATTTGGCAAAATTCGACTTTTAATGCATCCAAAGCCACTCCATGAGCAGAATGCTATCCTTGAAATATTAATAGACTGTGAAAAAACTAAAAAATAAAACATTAAAAAATGATTAAAAAATAATATAAAAGGGTCTTACACCTTTGAAAAGACAGAACAAAAATGAGTGCGGCTCCGTTATCTGAAATCTTCTCGCAGCCGCCTCCAAAATCAATGCCTTCTTATACTATTTATGATAATGACGTTGAGTCTTCCGAAAAAAGAAAGCAGCAGCACAAATTAAACTTTCTTAAGTATAAAGTACAGCAACATAACAAAAAGGCTCAAAATGCATGCGTCGAATGCTATAATGCTTTATCAAAGGTTGAATTGGCAGCATTTGATTGCTTGATTGCTGACTATTTCCTCGGTGATTGCCAAATTAACGAACTTCGAGATTTTATTGCATGTTGCGCAATGCCACCTTTTAGCTTAGTGAATGCAGATCGAAATGATATTGCAGTAGCAGAGCAACATATCCAATACATTTTTAGTAAACTCCAACAAACATCACAATCACTTCAGCGTTATAAAGATCACAAAATCGAACCTCAGAAACGCCCATCAGAAATTCTATCCTTCTTGCGTGAACAGAAATCAAACTTAGACAGAAATAGAACGGATATCAAGCCAACTTCACAGCAACAAATAGATCAGATGTCCTCTCCAAGTAACCAAGCCGTACCTTCCAATCCTGGCTTCTACAAGTGGCTCCGCAAAACAATGAAATCCGAATTATCAGAATCAACAAGAATACGGCAGTTAATAGCAAAAGTTTCATCGAAATATAACACCGTTGCCGATCTCAGAGAAGCTACAGAAAACCTTCGCCAATCAAAAATTGCGCCACAAACAATAAATTACGAGATGTGCGGACTTGACAACATTTTACACTCACCATATATTTCCTCTGCTCATAGTAATTATGTATTCTTACAATCAATGCTCAGTTCCATTCGCAGCCAAAAATCATATCTCATTCCTCGTTGTCAGCACCTAATTTCGCGTTGCCAAGAGATGATCACCAACGTACAGCAAAAAACAGAAAAGATGCGCGCGGAATCAATACAACAATCCCAAACTCTTCGTTCAAGTCTCGATAGAAGAATAGAAGACGTAAATGAAATCAAAAAGAAAATCGAACCTTACACAAGAAGCCTTATCGCAGCCGAAAATGTCAGTTCGCTTGAAAAATTTACCGAAATTGCAGAAGATCTCGATAAAATACTCAGCGAAAAGATTACAAGCAAAGGAAATGCCCCAGAACTTCTCAATTTGCTTAAAGAACTTCGTACAGCCAGAAAAGATACGCAAACTCTTGCAGAATTTGAAATTAATAAAATGATTTCAGCGGCTACTATTCAAAAGACATATTACAATGTTATTCGTGATTTCTCGAAGGCTGATGACCAAGTTTATCAAAGTAGTCGTGAGCTTACCCAACTTACAAGTTACGAAAAATATCTTACAGAGCTAAGTGATCTTCTTAAGGTCCGCGACATAGAGAACTGGAATCAGAACTTAGCTCTAGTCACAACGGCATTCTCCGAGCTCCAGGAAGAAAGCACAGCCCTGGCTGAAGCTGTAACTCCATTAATTGAAGTAAAAAGTGACACCGAAAGTGATGCCGAGCTTGAAGCCATGGAAAACAAGGTAAATGAGCTTCTTGAAGAGCGTATAAGGCTTAGCAAAGAGTTAACAGATATAGCACTTGATAATGCCCATGCAACAGAAGAACTTTATAATACTGTGACGAAATTTACTGTTCTTGAGAGCGATTCAGCGAATTGCAGGTCAGAATCTGAAGAAAAACAGATTCTCAAGTTGCAGGAGAAGATTCTTTGCCCAATTTGCCATAAAAATAGAAGAAATTGCCTCATAACAACTTGTATGCACCCGATTTGCAAGAATTGCATGGCAGAAGCTGGCGGTCAATGCCCAATTTGTGGAGAATCATTTGATGATGAGGATGTGAAGATGTTTTGGTTCCAGAACTAAACTTTTGTTGTTTTAAATAAAAATTATAAAAAATTTATTGCAATTTCTAAATGATTATTGTATTTACCTCATTAAAATCATTAACACTATCATATATTACATAATTTTTTTGAATTTGGTACTTAATTTTAGCTCAAATCAATTGAATATAACTGTTATTCTTTGAAAATCATAGATATATGCATCTGGTAGTGCTTTAGACTTGGAGAAATAGCCTATATCCTTAACATTATGATGAAACATATAATTATTGATATATAATCATCTGTATTCTTGATCAAATTATAAAAGTTAATGATTAAATCAATTATACTACAGTCACAAACACCTCTCATTACAATAATACACTTCACGAGCAAAGTTCAGATGAAATTGCTGAATCATCTCAAATAAAATCTTGGAATTTTGAAGAGAATTTTTAAACACAGACATGTCATTGCATGGAGAGTTTATCTTTATATTGATTAGATTAGTCATAACAAGCCACCGATTAAAGCGGTTTTGGCCGCCTTTTCAGCATGGGACGTATTCGTACAAAGACCACAAAGAGAGCTGCCCGCCTCGTTATTGAGCGTTTCTATGGCCAACTCTCATTCGATTTCCAGGACAACAAGCGTGTTTGTGATGCTGTTGCCGATATTCCATCAAAGCGCATGCGCAATAAAATCGCCGGCTACGTAACACACCTTATGCGCCGTCTTGAGCGTGGTCCAGTCCGCGGCATTTCCTTCAAGCTTCAGGAACAGGAGCGTGAAAAGCGTGATAACTGGATGCCAACAACCTCCAAGCTCAACGTTCCAAAGATCCTTGTTGATCCAGAGACAAAGGAAATGCTTGCCGCTATCGGCCTTGGTGAAATGGAAGGTGTTGAGGTTTTCACACGCCGCGCTGGTGCTCGCCAACAATAAACTTTAATACTTATTTAAATTACTACTATAAAGAGATAATGTTAACTAAAGCTGTTACAAACAGTTCAATTAACACGAAATTTTGGGTTTGTTTTATTGAAATTTTAAAAGAACTCAAAAACTAAGTGTCAAATCAAGCCGTGCGATTGAGAAAGTAAGTGGATAATGAAGTGGAATCTTGAAAAATAATGAATTGAATATTAATTTTATAATAAAATACATTTTATAAAACAGTTAAGGAGTGTAAAGCTCCATATTGTATAGGAAGATCTCTAGAATGCGTAAACTAGAGCTCAAATCAAGAATGGGTATAATTTGATTATTAACAGTCGTAAATGAATGATATTTGATTTTTGATGAATTTAAGCTAGTTTCTTTGCTTCTTCATCCATTAAAGTAATGACCTCGGAAATTTTCTTAACACATTTCTGAACTTTGCGATTCCAATTTTCTGCTTCTGACTTTCTGAGCTTTTTCATTTTTCTTTCGAAAATTTCCTTGCCTAAGCTGGCAAGTGATTCAAATTGAATGAGTCCTTGATTGTATTTTTTACAATTCTTCCAAATCCTATTTATACGCTTTTTATATTCTTCTACACTTTCAATATTGTTCGCTTTCAATGCATTTTCTACATCAAGAAGACAACTTGGATGTTTAATAACATCACTGTATCCTGGTGCAATATCATCTGAAACAGGATAAATAAATACCTTGAATGCATGTTTCTTTTTTAGATCCTTGGTCAGTTTCAAGCAAAAATCTCTCTCATAAGCATTCATGTTTTGACACTTTTTTTATCAAAAAAATCGTGAAATTATAGTTTGCAATTAGTTGCATTTAAATATGATAGAAAGCCGATAATTTCGAACCATTTTTGAATACAGATGCTAATTTAATTTTTTGTTCAAACAATTTGAGAAATTAAGATGATATTTTGTAATTATATGATTTACTGTCTTTTATTTATTACTTTTATTGATTCCAAATTCTCTAAATTTTTTTCTGAAATACAAAAATCACCAAATATTCTTAAAAATTTAAAATGGAAAAATAAATTTCAAAATTTTTTTGGAAAAAATTATAAAATATTTAAAGTATTGAGATTGTCTAACATGTATGTTAACAATAAGATGACGCACATTAGCAATATTATCACAATTTAATGAATTTTGTAGGTGATATTGTTTAATTTCTCAGTTGAGTTTCAAATATTTTGATGCCTACCTCTATTAAAGTCTTCAATTAATCTTTTTAGTCTCAAATTAGCATAACATAGTCTTCAAGCTGCGTTGATTTAATTGAAATCTATGATAATTTGATATATATTTTGAATCTGAAGACATTTCACTCAATTTAGATGTAACCGTAACAGGAACAAACCATATCTTTTGGAATTTATTGTCTATAAACAGAATCTTAATTCAAATTTTGAAACTTTCTCAATATTTTCAATAACTTTAAAGTGCGAAATTTTTCAACACCGAATACACTTTATATTTTTAAGTTTTGGATAATTGGTTCTGCGGTGAACGTTAAACGCCTTGTCAGAATGAGCGGTGATAAAGAAGTCTCGATTGAAGAACTCGAGTACGAAACGCAACATCGCTACCAATTCAAAAGATTGCTTGGCCGCGGTGCTTATGGTGTAGTTTTTGCTGCAAAAGATAAGCAAACGGGCAAATTAGTTGCAGTTAAACGCGTTGAACGCATTTTTGAAACGACTTTAGATGCGAAACGTTGTCTCCGTGAGGTGTGCATTCTGTCCCACTTAAAACATGAAAATATTACAAATTTAATAGATGTTACTGCTAATCCAGATTATTCCAAATTCGAGTCATTAATCGTAGTTATGGATTTAATGGAAACAGATCTCTATCAAATTATTAATAGCCATCAACCAATTACAGTAGATCACCATAGATTTTTCATTTATCAAGTTTTACGCGGATTGAAATTTATTCATTCTGCAAACGTTCTTCATCGTGATCTTAAACCTTCAAATCTTCTTGTAAATTCAAATTGCGACCTCAAGATTGGCGACTTCGGTCTTGCACGTATCAGCCAACCCGATGAAGATTCCGAATTCTTATCCGAATATGTTGCTACTCGTTGGTACCGCCCACCAGAAGTACTTTTGAACTACGAAACATACGGACCACAACTTGATGTTTGGAGTGTTGGTTGTATTCTTGCCGAACTTATTCTCCGCAAGCCTCTTTTCCCAGGCCGTTCAACTACTAACCAGATTTCCTTAATTGTTGATATAATCGGAAGTCCATCTGAAGAAGATTTGGCCTCTTGCCCTTCGAAGAATGCCGTTCGCTACGTTAAAGGCCTAGGACCTAAGCCAAAAATCCCCTGGAAGCAAATTTTCAGAGGAAAGCAATTTGATGACCAAGAAATCGATCTTGTCGATAGAATGCTTACATGGAATCCAGATAAGAGAATTACAGTCGATGAAGCACTTGAGCATCCATTCATGGAGAAATTACACGATCCTACTGATGAACCAGTTACTTTCCCACTTGATGACTTCGAATTTGAACGTGAAGATATCAAGTTACGCGAGCTAAAGATGAGAGCATGGAATGAAGTTCTTAAGTATCATCCAGAATTCGGAAAGCCCAAATAATTCTATCTATGAAAATAAATTTTTATTTGTATTTAAAATTATAATAATTTTAGATTCTCAATCAAATAGTTAGATCTTTAACTAAGGATGTCAATTCGGAAAATTGTTTTCGTTTTAGGAGAATATAATTTTCCATTTGGAAAATTTAAAAAGTGAGACGCGCAGGATTCGAACTTTTTTAAAAGTTGATTTAAATATATTCTAGTGTGGAATCTAAGGATAATATCATATTTAAAATAAGAATATACGAGTTTAGGTAGTATTATTTTTTTCGATAAATTTGAGAGTATGTACGTTTAGGGCATCAAAAGTGTCAATTCGCTCAGCGAAAGCTGAGCTAGCTTCGTTCTCGAAAAAATAGGGAAGAAGTGAAGGAGAGTGATACAGATGTTGACACATTCATATAATTTCAACAAATTTTGATCAAATTGAAATTCAATGAAATTCAATTCACTTCATATCCTTCAGTCAGTACATTGACATCCTTCTACATCACAATGATAACTCGGGAATCAATAGTTCTACAACTAACTCAGAAAAAAAAACAAGATTTTTACTTCCAGCTTGCAGCTTTTAAAAAGTTTCGATGATAAAAATCACTCTACTCTTGTTTATAGATATGTGATGATAGTAGGTAAACATATTCTTATCGATTTTAATAAAAATATTTTTACGAAAATCTGAACCAATTACAGAGTTATTCATAAAGTTTATGATAACTGTAATTATTTCATCTTTGTTTTATATTTGAATAAACAATTTAATTTAAATTGCATAATATTTTTTGGTTGAAAGACAGGAAACTTAGTTGAGTTTGTATTATTTTTATCGTTTAATTCATCGAATCAGTGAGTGATCCAGATATTTAAGATATTTAGAAAAAAATTATTAATTTGATTAACAAATTTTAATCAAAATAGCAAAAATCTATTTGATAGCTGTAAACAAACAATAATTTTTATTTCAAACAAAATCACTTATTTTCATCTAAACGTATAAAATTGTCAATTTTATAAAAATAAATTGAAAATCTCAAGAAATGTAAAGGAGAGTAATATTTTTCAATTTTCGTTTTTTCTTTGTCTCAAATATTTTCTGTTGGGAATTTTCTTGTTATCAAAAAATAATTTTAATATTTGTTTATTTTATTACATACAATAAAATTTTAAAAACTCTATTTCTTCTCAAGAAAATTTTTTTTTCATATGAAGAAACATTTTTCTCCATTTGATACTGAGTCTAAATCTCGATTTTGAATTTTCTTCTTTCCAAATTTCTTTTTCCAAATTAGAAGTTTAATTCAAATTTTCAATAGTTTATATATTTTCTCAAACCGTCTCAGATTTTCTCACTTTTTAGAGATTTTCTCTCAAAATATACAAAAATAGTAATATCAATACATGTGTCTAATATACTTTAAACCCATCGTGACAAAATTCAAAAACGAAGAGTTCTTCTCTCCAAATTTTTTTCAAAATCAAAAAAATGAGATAAAAAAGTACGTTTGGAAAATTCATTTTTAGCATTTTAGGAATTTTCTCACTTTTCTTCCAAATTGACATCCTTACTTTAACAAAATCATGGAAAGCTCTTTCAAGTAATTTTTATGGTATTGATTTTTTTTGTTATTTCTAACTAAACATATGTAATAAACAGAAATTCATCAAAAGTGACAGCTCTCAATTTTTTGACATTTGTAAATTCTAAATTGAATGAGAAAAATGAAATAATACTAAGCATAATACAATATTCTAAATTTAATTATAATTAGGAAAAAGTTAGTTTTGAGAGTACTTTTCATAGGCATATAGAATGAAATCTTCTGAAAAATAATATCACATAAACTCATATTATTTTCTAATATATAACTATTTTATATAAAAATCAAATTCAATGATCTTAAAAGCGAAGGATAAACCTCAAAATTTACGAATATAATGAGTGGGAATATAATGCTTATCTATCATAAAACCATATGAAATATCAATTTTTGCTTTACGCCTAATTTTGACGACAATGATTAGCAAAAATGTTAAATGTTAACACTCAGTCCATTTGAATATGAAAAATAAAATTGACTTTGATTAAATGTTTTTATTTATCATGCAATTCTTCTTGCGACCAAAGATTTGAATAAAAGTTCAAAAAATAAGATAGCTTAAAAAATAATATACGGTAGTGTTTACTAATAGATGAATAGTATATAAATTCTATTAAAATGGATTTGATCCAAAAAAATATATAAAATTTGATCATAAATAAAATCGTTTTTAATTACTTCTTCATTTAAATTATAACAATTATTTTTGGTTTATATTTTTTTGGATCAAATCCATTTTAATAGAATTTATATACTATTCATCTATTAGTAAACACTACCGTATATTATTTTTTAAGCTATCTTATTTTTTGAACTTTTATTCAAATCTTTGGTCGCAAGAAGAATTGCATGATAAATAAAAACATTTAATCAAAGTCAATTTTATTTTTCATATTCAAATGGACTGAGTGTTAACATTTAACATTTTTTGCTAATTGTCGTCAAAAATTAGGCGTAAAGCAAAAATTGATATTTCATATGGTTTTATGATAGATAAGCATTATATTCCCACTCATTATATTCGTAAATTTTGAGGTTTATCCTTCGCTTTTAAGATCATTGAATTTGATTTTTATATAAAATAGTTATATATTAGAAAATAATATGAGTTTATGTGATATTATTTTTCAGAAGATTTTGTGTTCTTCTTCAAAATTTTATTTTTTTATTAAAAAGAATCTTTACAAAATATACATTTACTTTAATTAATATTTAAAATCGTGCTCTATCAAAAGTTCCAAAAATTCAATATTTTAGCTTTTCTGAGGTGTCACTTTTGATGAATTTCTGTTTACAACAACATATTGAATACTAACGGATTTGACCAGTTAAAAATAAAAATATCTTCAAAAATAAGTTTTATTTTGACTTATTGAAAAAAAAATTTGTTATTATTATACTAATAACGAAAGAAAGATTAAATTATTACTGTTTGCGGTGCTTAGCCATTTGTTCAACATGAACATAATCGACATAGTACCTTCTTGGGAAGTCCTTATCATCAATTGGACCTCCAGTAGCACCAAGAGCGAGGTTAAGGATAAGGAACTGTGGAGTCATGAATGGATTGTGAACTGGAGATGATCCTGGGTTAGTTGTTCTAGAAAGAAGAACGCAGTTCTGCATTTCATCATCAAGGAAGAGCTTGATTGCTTCTTCATCCCAATCCATTCTCCAGACATGCCACTTCTCGTTCCAGAATGGATCATGCTTCTTCCAGTAGTCGGAGTATGGTGTTGTGCGTGTAGCCCAAACACCTCCTCCCCAGCAGAGGTTGGCAAGTGTCTTGTCAGTGTAGTACTCAAGAAGGTCGACTTCTCCTGTTAATGGCCATTCGCCAGTAACGTTAGCGTGTCCAAGGAACCAGATAGCTGGCCATGAGCCACCAGAAACTGGGATCTTTCCTTTGACAGAGAAGCGTCCATAGAGCCAATCAACCTTTCCATCTGTAATGACAGAGGATGATGTGTAATTGATCCACTGTCTCATCTTCCTGTAGTCTACCTTTTCATTTGGATCATACCATGGGTTTGGTAAATCGTGCTCCTTGCGGCCTTCGATGATTAATGATCCATTGGCAACATAAGCGTTGTCTGACTGATACCATTCCATTTCTCCATTTCTAACGAAACCATATTCATAGTCCCACTTAGTTGGATCTGGTCTGCCATCAACATCGAAATCATCAGCCCAAACCTGCTTGTATGTTGCTTCATCTGCCTTCTTCTGTGCAACCTTAGCAAGATCATCATCTGTTGCAACAACAAGCTTGAATGTAGCACCACCAGTGAATGTTCTGTTATTACGTGTAATAACAAAAGCATGAATATTGTTATCAATGAAGATTGGATTTCCACCCTTCTGAACAATCATATATGAGTCATCCTGATAGAATGGGATAACTTCATATAAGGTAGCATCACTTTCCACGGCGTTTGCTGTTGTACCATCATTATTACCGTTCGAAACTGATGAGAAATATAAGCCTGTATGGAAGTTGCGAATCTTATAGTATTCTTTGCCATCTTGAATAACTAAGTCAAAGAACCAAAGAGCGTTTTCATCGTATGTCTTGTCAAACCATCTCAAGCTGGCGCCTGCAGTTGGCTTTGTATTGTAGATGACTCTTCCATGACGGTCGTCTGAAACAAGTGTGTTGGAAATGATCCACATAGCAAGCCTAGGAAGGATCATTTTTCGATTTTAATTGATTCACAGTTTTTAAAATTGAGAAGGTATCTCAATTTGAATTAAAACAATTTGATGAATTTAAATATATATGTTTGAATACATATGTTAATCAATATTCAATAAAAATCAAAACCAGTGGATTATTCTTTTCAATTCTTAATTTTTCCTTATTCATGGATAATCATAATAATTGAGCATTTTTCTTTAGATTTTCAGAACGGTTTTTTAAATGGGTATCTATTTCTGCTATGCTTAGATAACTCGATGTCTTAAATAAATCGAATACACATATGACATTAATTACAGATTATTAGTTGTTTCGAGCTTTAGTAATAGTTTGAACTTGTCATTATTAAATTCAAATGGGTTATTTGCATTGAATGTATATGAATCAGCTAGTATTTTGGTTACAAATATAATTAACTCCAAAATTTGATTCTCGCGTTAATTTTTTCACTTGAATTTTTGATTTTGCATTTTTTTTTGATCCAAGTCAATAGTAGCCATTCAATTCTATGCATAGTAGGGCTGTACAAGATTTAAAAAAACATTGCCGGGTTACCGTAGAGGCCTAAAAAAATCGCGCCTCGGCGGCAAGCCGCCTCGGCATTAAGAATGCGCATCTAAATTTTTATATGTCCTTCTTTCTTTTATTTTTCCCTTCCCTTCCTTTTCTTTTTCTTTTTTTCCCTCCTCTTGCTCTCATTTACCTTTTTTTTCCTTTTCTCATCATTTTTCAAAATTTAAAATTTTTATCAAAAATCTTGCCTATAAAAGCAGATTATGGAAACTTTTAATGCCTCTTAATCAATATTATACAGCATAAAGCATATTAAATGAAAGTAATTACGTATAAATTTATTTTATTATCTTATTTATTAATTCTTTAGCATGTATTGTTTAATATTAACTTTTCTGTACATTAAATATGATATCTCCAAAGTAGAATGCCTTGTAACGAAACGAAAACTTAATTTTATGTTGAATATTTGTCACAAACATTAGATTATTAAAATATATGTTGGATATCCCTTAGTATGAGACTTCATGACTCTTGTTGTCTAACGTGAGCTTTGGATTGCAAGCTTGCTACAGCACATAAGTATTCTGTGGTTAAAAAAACCACATGAGCTTTAAAAAACTATAAAACCAAAAATAATTGTTATAATTTAAATGAAGAAGTAATTTAAAACGATTTTATTTATGACAAATTTTATATATTTTTTGGATCAAATCCATTTTAATAGAATTTATATACTATTCATCTATTAGTAAACACTACCGTATATTATTTTTTAAGCTATCTTATTTTTTGAAATTTTATTCAAATCTTTGTCGCAAGAAGAATTGCATGATAAATAAAAACATTTAATCAAAGTCAATTTTATTTTTCATATTCAATGGACTGAGTGTTAACATTTAACATTTTTTGCTAATTGTCGTCAAAAATTAGGCGTAAAGCAAAAATTAATATTTCATATGGTTTTATGATAGATAAGCATTATATTCCACTCATTATATTCGTAAATTTTGAGGTTTATCCTTCGCTTTTAAGATCATTGAATTTGATTTTATATAAAATAGTTATATATTAGAAAATAATATGAGTTTATGTGATATTATTTTTCAGAAGATTTCATTCTATATGCCTATGAAAAGTACTCTCAAAACTAACTTTTCCCTAATTATAATTAAATCTAGAATATTGTATTATGCTTAGTATTATTTCATTTTCTCATTCAATTTAGAATTTACAAATGTCAAAAAATTGAGAGCTGTCACTTTTGATGAATTCTGTTTATTACAGCATTGTTATTAATAATGAAAAATAAAGCTTATTTCAATGAAAATTGTTCTGCAAATTTATTTCACTTTGACCTCACTTTTTCCGTAATTCAATTTTTACTTTTAATTATTTTAGATCTTCAATAATATCATTTGAAAAATTAACCATATAAAAAAATCAAGTTATCAATTCACTTTTTCCGTAATTCAAAAATCAAAATATAAATAATATATCTTTTTATCAAATATTATATTATATTCTATGAAAAAATGAGGTCCGGAAATTTTGCGGATTCCCGTAACTCAATTTTACGGAAAAAGTGCAGTAAACTATTCAAAATACGGAAAAATTGGTGTAAACTAATGATTTTACGGTAAAATCACGGAAAGTCCCGGAAGAATATATGTGCCTATATGAAATTATACAAAAATGAATCAAACGCATTTTAAAAGATTGTTCTTGTATTATAAATGCTATTCGCAGATTTATTAGTTGAAGAAAATTACCAAATTTTTGCCGATTTACAAAAAATGATTTACAAAGCATATTTTTATAAGGCTTTAAAAATCTTTAAAATGTGACCGGTGACGGAAATCCATGGTAACCAACCGCGGTTCCCGTTTGGAATGCCATAATGCATAGTTTACGAGAATGTTTAAATATTAAAAGATCAAGGATTTCATTCTCAATAAATTACAGGACCCAATTATTTTACGATTCCATTCATTCTAAAGATCCAGATTGATAGGATTAAGATTTTTCTCTGAATTAAACAATCCTTTTCAAACTCTGATGTATTCATCCAAAGTTTCCAAAAATGTGTTCAGAGAATTTCAATCAAATTCATAATTTGCATTAAGGACATTTCCTATTTACCGAGAGATATGATGCACTCATCATGAATTCCCAAGGAATTAAGATAAAAATTTGAAATTTAAAAAATGATTGCAATTTGATCTTTAAATTCTATAATTTTTAAGTTTTAATATATAGTCATATATTCTTCCGAATTTTGATGCTATTATATATGAATATCACTAACATCAATTTATTTGGGACATAAAATACATACCATGCTATGATTCGTCCATTGAATAATTTTTTGACCGGAAAATGTTTTCAAAACATGTTCAGCATGAATGCAAAATCAGTTCAGTGTGCGTTTTTCTTATTATATTTTCTTCTAAAAAATTTTTTTTCTTTGTCTCAAAAAATTCGAAATAAAACTATAATAATTTCACCATTTTTTATTTATAACACTATAGAAGGAGCTAAATCCACAGGAATTATTGATGCTTTTCGAAGGAGCAATCTAAAATTTTTGTAAATTATTCGTTACCAAGAAATGAGTGTTTCTCACAGGGGTACAGAGACACTTGAATCTTTAATACGAGATACAGAAGCACTCGACATTGGTATACAATTTAATCCCTTGAAAGATATTATATTAGAGCTTGCTAATAGAGTGGATTTTGCAATTAAAAAGACCACTACCGTGCAAAAAGTTGACGATTCCACCACGTTAGAAGACATACAGAATATAAACAGAAAAATATCTGATTTACAAAAGACTCAAGAGAAAAATGGAAAAGAATATTCTGAAGAAATCAGAGAATTAAAGTCTTTCTTTTCTTTCCAAATCAAAGATGTTAAGGAAAAATTTGATAAATCATTAGCAAATATGCTCGATACCATATCAACTGGCGAAATGAATAAACCAATTGCCGAACCAATACCAACAAGCACAAAATCATTTGATGATAACCAATTGGAAGAAGATTTAAGTACACTTAAGAAGAGATTTGATAACTTTTTAATTCAATATAATCAACAATATCAAACAACTCAGCAATTATTACAATTATTACAACAAACTCAGTCAGCTGAACCAATCATTACCCCAATACCTACACAAACCCCTTCAGCAAACCCCAAATCAGAACCAACTTCTCCGAAGAAAACAACTTCATCAAGAACAGGATCTACAACAAAAGAATCAGAAAATACAGTCGAACAAGCACCACCCCAACCTTCTGAAGAAAATAAAACTGAAGTTGTTGAAGAAAAACCAGTAATTGAAGTTCAAGAAAAAGATTTTCATCCAGAGACACAAACAAATCCAATACAAGACGCAGTAACAATAGAAAGTCCTAAATCAGATACAAAAGATCAAGTTCCTTCACAGCAAATCTCATCAGTACCAGTTTCATCGAGAAGCGACCCAAGGATTGATGATATTCTTATACAACTCAACGCTCTACAAGATGGAAGAAAGGCTGATAACGAAAGAAGCAGCCAAATGGCTAAAACAATTAATAAAATTATCGCAGAAGCAGAAAACCAACGAAAAGACCACTTGCAATTTAAGACAGAGCTATCAGGATACTCATCAGAATTCGAACGTTTACTTGAAAAGATCACAGAAAACGCCGTTGCAATGGAAAAATTAGATAAATCACTTACTCAACGTCAATATGAAATACAAAACGAAGTTTTACAATCACAAGCAACATTACAAGATTTTATCAACAAATACAAGCCAAACGAACCTTCTGTAAGTCCGGATGAAATATCTAACATAAAATCTAGCATCGAAACAATTCAAAATGAAAAAACAAATACAGATGCACGCATAGAAGGATATATTAATAGTCTTAAGCTTGAAATCGAAAGTCTTAAAAATTCATTAAATGATATCAAGTCAAAACCAGAAAAGACCAAATCTACAAAGCGCTTATCCCAAGCCAAACAAGAGAGTGCTAAAAGTTCTTCAAGAAGTACAACATCTTCAAGAATACTTCAAAAAGAACAGTCAAAACTCGATACTTTGGTCGAAGAAGCCAAGAATGAACCTGCAGAACCACAAACTCAACCAAATATTCAACCCGAGAAGCTTCCTTCATCGAGATCTACTGTATCAACAGATTTACCTGAAGAACAACCAGTTAAGACCGTAAAGCAGAGATTGATGCCTCTTGATATCCCTACAAGCACAGAGTACTTCGAAACTGAAACTCAAACAGAAATAAATCAAATTCCAGTTACAAGGTATTCCATTGCCACTCCAATTGATTCGAAGCCAAATGAGATTGCAGTACATGAAATACTACACAAGGATGCAGAAGTAGTTAAAGTTTCTGAACAAAAATCTGAAGTAATTCTTTCTCCAAAGGAAACTACAAAGCCATCGAGAGAAATGTCACAACCATTCATTGTAGAAAAGATCATTGATCTCTCTACAAAGGAATACAGACCATCTTCCCCTGTTACTCCAAATCAATCTGTTATTACACCGAAAGAATTCACTTTCGAGCATCTTTCAACGGTAACAATTGTTTCTGAGTACAAACCACCTCCAGTCATCCTTCAAGTCGACGACGCAAACCAAGACTCCATCAAGAAATTACAAGATTCATTAACTTCCCTCATGAACAAAAGTGACAACGAACATTTCAAGTCCATTGAGAGCTTAATTTCAGTCCAGCAGGGCCAAATCAACAAGATACAAGATCAAGTAAACTCATTTAAGAACAAGCCACAGATTGTCTATTCGAATGCCGTTTCACAAGCCTCAATTGAAATTCCACAAAAGATATCTAACCAAGAGATTCCTCAAATTGTCACACAAGAGGAACGCGCCTCATCACCAGTTAGTAGAGGCTTTTTTTCATCGCGTACAGCCGATGTTTTACCAAATACTTCAGCAATAATCGTTGGACCAGACGGATCTACTTCAAATGGCATAGCAACAGCTGTTACTTCCAACGATCCAACACCAAATCAGCCTCTTTCAAAGGCAAGTTCCAAGTCATCCCTGAAAGAATCTCGTCCTGTAACTCCTGCATCTAAACAGCAATCAAGGCCACAATCAGTTGAATCCCAAAAGCGACCAGCAACAGCCGAATCCTCCAAATCCACAAAGGAAAAGCCAAATAACACGCTTGTTCATGTTATTCAAGCAGATATCCCTGCTCCTAAGAAGATGACTGCCATTCCAACATATATTCCATCAACAGGAGACAAACCAGATGCTGCAGTCGTCAAAATGATTATGGATCTCCAACAACATATGGTAGATTACGAAATGGAGAACCAGCAGAAGAAAGAAGAGCTCGAACATGTAATTTCCAGACTGGATTCAGACGAAAAACAGATAAATAACATAATTAGTACCATGAGATCCCTTAAATCTTCAATTAAATCTCATAATTCTTCAGAAAAGATACAAAAGCAGGAGAAAACACCGAAACAAGAACATACATCATATAAACCACCTGAGAAAGAACTTGTTAAGCCAAAACATGCTTCTCCTCCTCAATCTCCAAAAGAAAAAGTTTTAGAGCGAGAACCGCCAAAGGAAATCGCTCCAGAAGCACCCAAAGAAACAAACAAACAGGTAACAATCCAGTTACCTGCAGAAGAAGAGTTACAAGCTGAAGAAGAAACGAAATCAAATTTGGAAATAAAAGAAAAACCAGAAGAAGCACCTAAATTACAACCAAGTAGAAGTATGGACCAACTACAACAGGTTACTGAAGAGCAATTACGTATATTTAGAGATGCAATCACTGATTTGAGATCTCGAATCCAAATTTTGGAGAAATCAAGAAGAGATGCCGTTTTAATGAACAGCAACCATCAATTACCAATTGATAACATATCAGATCCTAATTTGGCCGGCCAAAATCAAATTAATTCCAATTTTGATAACCAAATCCGGAGTTTGAGAAAGAGATTTGACGACCAAATCAGTAATTTGGACATGACAACCAAAGATCAGAGGCAGGAACTCTACAATTTCATGAAATCAGCTCAAGATCAGAATTCAAAAATTGTAGATTCAGTTTCTCATCTTCAAGACGACGTCAGGAACCTTCAAATTGCCATGGAGAAGGTCAAAGATGTCCAATACACCGCCCCACCTCCTTCTCAGCCTTTAACAATGCCACCAACTCTTGATTTGGACAAATTCCAAATTAAAAAGAACAAGAAACCGAAATTCGATGTTCCAAACGAACCTCCTGTTCTAAACATCACTACTTTAGATGTTCCAGAAGTCAATGATGAAAGTGGACCAGACACTCCTATCATTGTTGAAACGAAACCATCATCAAAAGTAGAAACAAAAGCAGTAACTCCTAAACGAGTAAATTCATCACAACAACTTCATAAACGACCAACTTTGGATCAATTGATTGAAGTTGCTTCACAGAATGAAGATGGAACAATGCAGATTCCTGATAACATCATTCCCGAACCAACAAATGCTCCTGCTCCTTCAATAACAAGTGAAGATGAACAGCCATTCTTCGGCAGAAGAATTCCTCAGCCTGTTGAAGAAGTTACAGTTATGAATGCCGAGAGAAGACAAGACATTTTAGAGACGATGTTGCCATATTTAGTTGACTTGAGGACAGACTTACAAATGAAGATTGACAATGCTGTTGAAAGAACAAGAGTTGCTGAACAGAATGTAACAAACAAAGTTGATAAAGACTATGTTGAGAAGTTCTTTAGAAACATGAGATATCAGATGACAGAAGTTGTTGAAAGGGTTGAACAAGTTCAACAAGCTGTTCCTGATAGAGTAACTCATGAAGAACTCAAAGAGTTTATCAATGATTTGTATCATACTTTGTCTAAAGAAACATCTACACCTGCAGGAACTGTTTCTTACAAGTGTTTGTTCTGCGGACAGACAAGAAATACTATTGCTGGCTTGATAACTGATCCGAAAGTAGCTGATGCATTGGGAGAAGTTCCAAAGACAAGAGCCGCTTCAAGAGGAGGAATTATTTACGGATCTGATAAACAGGCGTATAAAGGAACAACAAAGTATGGAAAACCTACTGTTGCTTCTTCTTTGGATAAGTATTTGCCTCCACTCAAATCTCCAACAGAATCAAAATAATATGAATAATTTTTAATTGTTTTAATTTTTGTTTTATGAATAATTTTTTTTCTCTTTGTAAAATTTTATATTTCAAAAATCATTTTTTTAAAGGGCGCTGTTACGCCCCTTTGACATTGCCTTCAATTCAGATGTTTAAGGTTAATTTTCAATGATGCTCCACACCAGTGGTCAAAAATTTGAATTAGAGTCAGATGGGCGTAAGCACAGCCTTAACTAATCTATAAAATTTGGGCATTATCATTTTCGTCTGGAAAAAGTGACAAAATTATCATTTTCGTCTGGTATCTGATTTATTGAACTATAACACTATTTCTATTAATTTAAGCGCAATCCACCCATATACAACTTTATTTAATAACTCCGTGTGCATATTATCATTCTAGCTTCAAATTATTTTATTTTTTGTGGATTTCTAGTCAATTTTTTTAGCGAAGTCAAAATCATAAACCCAAATTATTTAATTTATTTTCACCAAAATTTCCTAATAGTTGCATTGCAATTCAAGTAGGTATCATTGCATTGCAATCCCATAAATTTATATTTTTAGCAAGACCTTGAAAATAAAAAATTATCATTTTCGTCAGATGAAAATGATAATTTTGTCACTTTTCCAGACGAAAATAATAATCCTTCTATAAAATTTAATATTATAGATTGAAACTCTAAATATTTTCAATCATACGGAAAAATAAGGTTTTAAATTAAGGATCCCGGATGGTTAAAATGTGACAGATGGCTAAAGGATTCCAAGAAAGGAATTTGGCTAACGTGGGTGATATTTCACCCAGCCATAAGGATCACATTTGAGAGTTTTACATGTAAAGTTGTCTCAAATATTTTAGAGTAAATACACCTGCAACCCCTGGGAAATAATGAGATTTCAAATTAACTTAATTCTTTTATTCTAGTAAAATTACACATTATAGCATAATTATAAACACAAATTCCACTTACATATACATTCACCATCCAATAACATACTCATATATTGAAATTCGAATATGGGGTCCATTATAAATTACCCCATTATTATGAATACGGTACCATTATTATAAATTCCATTTAATTCGAAAAATGGATTAATTTGAATAACCGCCATTTCTATGTATACATATTATTAGATTATCATTTATTAAGTCCTAATTTATTTATATATTGAGTTATTGCAATGCTTCATTTTTAAAATAATCAGGTATAACCCCCATTCTTAGGGCCCAAATTCAATTCAAAATAATCGTTTTTGGGCTTTTTTGGGCTCCATAGATAACCCCTTCGAAAATTATGTTATTTATGGGATCATCTTTAAATTCGTGTGTATTAATGCAATGAAATGTTTATTTTTAAATAATAACCAAGTTAGTAACTTATTTTGTTGCATGCTAAGTTCGGTCAAAATGTAAACCTCTCAATTTTATCATCGGGGGAAGTAACTCAATTCCTTCAAAATTATTCTTTAAATATTGAATTTAAAGTTATTTAATTTGGATTATAAATAAATAGGCTAATACAATATTTAAAAATGAGAAAAAATAACTTTTCAAAGAACTTTTCATAATCTCAAAGAAAATTTTTTATTCAATAATTATATAAATTAATTAACATTCATAATGAAATTGGATTTTTTTATAAAAAATTGGTCCTACTTAACTTTTTGAGAGAATTTGGCTTTCTCGTAAACGAAAAAGGGATTTGACGGAGTCAAATCCCCGCTCACAAAAAGTGGACTTTACATGTCAAATTTTATATGCATGTAATGTCCACTTTTATGAGTTTTAGGAAGGAATTGGAAGCCATGAGTTACTGACATTGCATCAGTATCTCATAGCCTCCAATTCCTTCAAAAAATGGGAGAAACTTTGTCCGAATAGTTTAACATTCGGACAAAGTTTCTCCCATTTTAAGAAGGAATTGGAGGGTAAGAGATATACCATATGAATGTATATCTCTTACCCTCCAATTCCTTCTAGAAAGTGTCCAAACTTTGGGTTAATTGCAAAGTATTAACCCAAAGTTTGGACACTTTCAAGTGGAGATGGAAGGCTTTGGGGTATATATTAATACAATATACCTCAAAGCCTTCCATCTCCACTACAAATGTGAGAAACTTTGTCCGAATAGTTTAACATTCGGACAAAGTTTCTCCCATCTTTCAATGTAATTGCTACCTGTGAGGTACTGACTTGAAGTCAGTGCTTCACAGGTAGCAATATCCAAAAATTTAAAAACATTTTATCAGTTCGTTAGAGAACTAGAGCCTCCTAGGTACTGAACCAGAATCAGTGCCTAGGGGACTCTAGTGATCTATATAAATCTGAGAAACTTTGAGGAAATTGTTCGACATTTCCTCAAAGTTTCTCAGCAATTTAGCGAGGAATGTTCGTTATCGTGTAGATATTTATAATATATACATAATAACAAACATTCCCCGCTAAAAGATGTAAAATCTTATAAGAAATAATTGCAAAAGAATAACAAATTGCAACAAATTTTATATGAAACTGAACCTTATGAGGTAGTGATTCAAGATCACCGCCTCATAAGATTCAGTTTCAATCTCAAGTATCTCAAAAGTAAGGCTCTATTTTTTGCCATGTAAAGTGTCACTTTTCTGTCCAAATGATAAGTTATTCAGAGAAAGTTTCCCAGCTATCAAGAGGGAATTGTTCCTTATGAGGTATATATTCATACTGTATACCTCATAAGGAACAATTCCCTCCTTAAAACGAGAAAACTTGTTCGAAATTGTTTATCATTTCGAACAAGTTTTCTCGTTTTTAATAAGAAACTAAAGGCTATGAGGCACTGATTATATATTAGTGCCTCACAGCCTTTAGTTTCTAATAGATAGCTGGGAAACTTTCTCCAAATGATAAGTTATTCAGAGAAAGTTTCCCAGCTATCAAGAGGGAATTGTTCCTTATGAGGTATATAGTTATAATGTATACCTCATAAGGAACAATTCCCTCATTAAAATCGTAGATATTTTTTACTTATTACTCATGCTTTCAAAATCACAATCCTCTGAAAAGTTATTTTTTATTAAGAATTTAGAATTTTGATAAATACCTTTTTTCAATTTGATATAATACTTATATATTTTCAAAAAGACATTTTGAAAAGATATCTCAAAAGTTCTCTGAAAACCTATTTTTGATTAATTTTGAGAAATATCCGTATTAAATTAATCAATAAATTCATTCAACACTACTTTAATTTTTAAATTCAAAAAATTATATGTGCTTCTTAAAATGTCTCACAAAAATTTTATTATAAAATTATATACAATATTAAAAATCCCACAACATTTTTTACTTTACATAATCGTACTTCCTCGACGATTAATTTCCCCTCAATTCCTATCGTTGACCGAACTTAGCATGCAACAATTTAAGGGTGCACAAGGAGGATTACGGTTTTTTAATCCTCTCTTTTTTAGAAAAAAACAAGTCTGTTATGATTAAGTTAAAATTTGTTATTATCTTAAAGGTCTTAAATCCATGAAATAAGACATTACAAATGAGAAGTGTAGTTCAAAAAAATAAAGAGATTTTGAAATTTTATATCAGAATCAAACCCTTAAAAGCATTCAGTTAATTCGTAAATAATCGAAAAAGTTTGAACAAATAGTTTATCTCTATCTTAATACTTGATATAGCTTATTTATTGTCAATTTTTTAATTATTTCATATTATAAACAATAATGTATGTTAATATTTGATAGATTGGTCGAGGTTAACGATCGCGTTAGTGTGGAGGTGGTAGGTTGTGGAATTTCGTAAGAATGTAAATTGAAATATTGAACGCAAAGATAAATTGAGAAATTCTAGAGATAGACATTCATAGTAAAGACCTATGAGTTGGGGTACTTCGTTGCAACAATAAATATTAAGTCTGATTCAGAATTTTCTAGCACTTCATCTAAAAATGTTTTTGTTTTCTCAAATTAAAAAAATTTGAGAAACCAAAAACCGTTTTAATAAATTGAGTGATGCATTCATAAAATCGAATAAAATTTAGATATAAATCAAAATTAAAAAATGAAAATTTTGTGTTATTACGATGTGAAGTGAAAATTTCCCGTTAACGTTCCGTTTTTGGTACATAAATATTTGAATTGAGCCTGGTGTCAACGGTGAAATATCAGCATATACTAATAGAATTATGCCTCTATGTGTTTTTTAGACTTCTTATGTCTTATATAAAATTCATAATCTCATATTATACCAAATTTCTTAAATATTACATGTGTTGAATAAAATTGTCTTATAGCTACATATTTCATAACTAGAAAGTCTCAAATACAAGGAGGTGAAGTGTTTATTATTTGAGACTCTTAAAAACGATCGACAATAGAGGTTGATCACATTGGATTATGGGGCTACTTGTTTGATAGCCCCACAATCCAATGTGCAACATCAAATTGTTTGAATATTGGTCAAGAGATTCCGATGCGCATAACACAGATTACTGCCTTTTCCCATTCTGCACATATATATGCAGGGTCTATCACTGGCACCCTGCACCTATATGTGCAGAATGGGAAAAGCTTGCACTTTTACCTTTCGATGTGAATGTGTGAAACACTTTTCCCATTCTGCACATATATATGCAGGGTCTATCACTGGCACCCTGCACCTATATGTGCAGAATGGGAAAAGCTTGCACTTTTTCTATAGAATGTCACATCGAAATTTAAATTCAAGAAAGGAGTTTACAAATGCAGGGTATTGTTCCTTTACCCTGCATTTGTAAACTCCTTTCTTGTAAAACTTTGCTGCAATAAATTATAAATACCCTATATTTCCAACTCTTGGAAAATTTTCATGACCCCCTACCCAGGGTCCTAAAATGGGTATTTTCCTCACACAGACACCGTGGTTTTTTGAGCCGGGAAATAAATAGCGCAGACAGTTTCTACATATAGAGACATGCTTATACTTAGAGTTTGACGGGAATCTAAAGTGATTTTTTTCTGCATCGCGAAATCTAATGCAATC